ACGCATGCTAGGCTCCAAGAAGTATGAGAGAGCCTTGGTGCAATCACCAGCATCCGCTCGGAGACTCTCAACCAAGTAAGCGGCGTGCAAGAAGATCACCTTACGGTAACTTAGTCCCTTGATTTCTGTAGCCTTGTTGGGAATCAATTCAGTGAGATGTCTCTTCTGCAGCGACTCTCTATCAGAGCTCATGCCTCGGCGCAGGACAGTGTTAAGCTCGATATCACTCTCAATCTGTTCCCCTCGCTGTTCGGCAACCAGAGGGGGCGAATGAACGGCCATGATTCGAAGCTCATCGAGATAGGTCTTGCCCATGTCGGTTTGCGTGGTGAAGCCGTGGACAACAATGTTGAACCAAGCATCTCTGACCATTGAGTGCGACTCATCATCGGTAATAGAGTTGAATGCCAGATCGTTGGTTGACATGAAGACAGCCAAGGGATGCAGCAGCTCCGCAATCTCCCGTGCAGCCAGCTGAACATCGGCCTCCTTGGTGTGATTCGACTGGTGAACATCGCCCATGGAAATGATGCTTTCCAATAGATGCTCCCAGTAAATATCATAAAGGGGAGATCCACGGTGGAGGTTCGCTGAGATGTATGTACGCGCCTTCATGACCTACTGATTGTTAGACTTGGGCAATCTTGAAGACGGTTAGGGAGGCACTTACAGCAACCAGAAGGAAGTCCTTGTGGCCAACGACCCCAATGTGACATATTCTGGAGAACACCTTCAACAGCGAGCGGAACTCGAGCTGTCCGCCCTTCAACGCCAGAGCGGCAGCACCGCTGACGATTTGAGCATCGACACTGCTATTGACTTTGTCGATTTTCTGCAGCAACATGGACTGCGCCAAGGCAGTGATCTTCTCGTCATTGCAAGCAGTCGCAATACCACAAATGGCTTGAACGACGTTGCCATACACCATTGCGGTTTCCTCCTCGCCAGTGATAGCTAAGGAGATGCTGCTGCCAGTCGAGTGGCGGTTAGGGTACAACGTAGCAGCAGCGTCCACGGCGAGATCACCGTTGGTACCGTTCGTCATGGATCTATCGGAACCAGGGCTGAGAACGTTGCCCAATGTGTAAAGAGTTGTGATGACAGCGTCATGAGAAAGGAGCTGCAGTACAAACGCCAGACTTTTGGACGCAACCGCAACAGTGCGAGCGTTGGGCGCGCTCTGGACAATGAACCGAGGCAGCAGTCTACTAGCGGTCGCAGCGTATCCCCTGGAGATCTTGCAGACCAATGCGATCGACCTCAAGACGGTTGCCGCCAGGTTTTCGTCCGCCATTTGAAGAGGGTCTGCAAGTGTCTCCTCCAGCCAGTTAATCAAGACATCGACATCTGCAACATCCTCGTTCATAAGCGAGCAATTGAGGTAGCTGATGAGAGCTGCCGATTTCACTGCAAACGCCAGTCTCTGCTGCCAAGAGGACCCAAGCTTGAGGTAGTCTTCGCCGGCCTCGAGATAGTTCATCTGGTCAACGGCTACCGTGGTGTACATGTCGAGGGACCGATAATCCGCATCAGGACTACGTGGAGAGCCTGGTCTGAATGCACCATCCCCTGACATGAGCAGGTCGAGTATGTGCGTGCCGCGCAAGAGGGATGCGTCGGTGACCAAAAGCGAGGTGCCAGAGACAAGAAGCCACATGTAACTTCTCTGAAGCAGAATGGCTCCGAGGGGTCGTCCTGCAGCAGAGTAGTGGCGCAAGTATCTTTTCCACTCTCTAGCATGGCGGTCCGAGGATTGTGAGTTCCTGATCGTGGAAAAGGCCGTCTCGACAGCAACCAAGAACGACTCTGAGAGGATATCTCGGAACCGCTGAACAAGTGCCAGTCTACCTCCAGCCCTCCAGAAATCCGCTTGTGCCGACGCCGCATCGAGGAAGCCAAGAAGCGAGACTGCAATCGTAGCTGTCCTGATGGCGTCCTCTAAGTTCGGGTCTTCATCATCTGCTTGAGGGGGAACAGTGTGATCCGCCGCATGATCACAGGCATTGACAAAGGCCCAGATGTTGTCGGAAATCATCTCGTGCAGGTCATCGTAGTGGGAACCCAGGGACAGCAGCGCGGCCGTAACGTGGAACGCCAGTGCCTCCGTCGGCGATGGCTCGACCTTTCTGAAGAAGGGCGACGGAACAAACACCTGGACATGGGCCTCGAGAACATAGGGTATCAATTGATGGGCGAGTTTCTGAGCGCTCTGGCTCGTCTGAATGGCCGGCGCGGCTTTGCATAGCGACAGCAGGACCTCGAATTCGCGAATTGTCTGTAGAAATAGGAGGCTTGTTAGCCACGGTTCACTGCGAGATACAAAAACATCAATCGCATGGGTTTGTAGAGAAGCAGTGCACTACCATAGGACATCTCCCGAGAGACGACGAGTTCTGTTTTCCGGAATAGCCATTGACACCCTTCCCAGCGGCTTGAGTTGCCTTGCACAATCGGTCGAGATCAGATCGGTCGAACGACGTACGCGAGCTGGCAGCCGAGAGCGACGCGATCTTCTCCAGCGCCCGCTGCCGAATGTCGCGGGTCATTTTGGAGGGAATCGTAGGGCACTAGACCCCGTAGCGAAAGGATTTGTTCGATTTTCCAAGGATTTGGTTGTTTTCGTGATTTATTGAAGCATTTCGCGATGAGGAGGTTTTCCTTGGAATTCGCGTCTAATTGCTGGCTGCTGCACAGTGACGATACCTCCTTAGTGCTGTCTGCAAGCCTCCCCCCAAATTTCCCTTTCGTGAGCAGCCACATCCCTGCACAGCACCTGCCATTCCTGAGCTGTTCTGACTTAGTCATCAGGTGAGCTAGCTACCCCTGCCAACCACCACCCGCTCAGCAAGGCTGCCAGCTTGACGCGTGCATCGGAGCACTCAGCAGTAGCAGCCTTGAACCTCAATCAAAGCGACGACGTCCCATCAACCTAACCCCACCAACGAACGAACCTCATCGAATTGACGATAACCACCCTTTTGACGACCGACATTTCCATCACGACCAATAACGAATAAGCTCCATTTACCTTCAGATACCGCAACCATGGCTATGTTCAGCCAAAATCCCCTGATGAACGGGCCCAACTACTCCTTCTCCGAGGCCCCCAAGACCGCCCACGGCGAGTTCAGACAGCACCGCTTCAACCCGTACGAAGCTTCCCTCGACTCTCCCAATGTGCCCGAAAGCTAACCTACCTTGTGCTGCAGCTACACGGACAACGGTGGTTCGACCCTCGCCATCGCCGGCGCCGACTTCGCCATCGTGGCCGGCGACACCCGTAGCACCTCGGGCTACAGCATCAACTCCAGATACACACCCAAGGTCTTCAAGATCGGCGGCACCACCTCAACACAAGAAGATGCGACAATCATGCTCTCCGTCGTCGGTTTTGCTGCCGACGGCGAGGCCCTCAAGGACCGCCTCGACACTATCTGCAAGATCTACCGCTACCGCCATGGCAAGCCCATGAGCGTCACAGCCTGCGCGAAGCGTCTCTCGACGATCCTCTACCAGAAGCGCTTCTTCCCCTACTACGTCTACGCCATCCTCGGTGGCCTCGATGAGGAGGGCGTCGGCGCCGTCTTCTCCTACGATCCCGTCGGAAGTTACGAGAGGGAGCAGTCCCGTGCTGGTGGTGCCGCCGCCAGCTTGATCACACCATTCCTCGACAACCAGGTCAACTTCAAGAACCAGTATGTGCCGGGCAGCGGTGTAGGCCACGAGCTGCAGGAGCGTCCCCGCGTTCCCCTGGAGCGCAAGGAGGCTGAGATCCTGGTCAAGGATGCGTTTGACGGAGCGGTCGAGAGACACATTGAGGTCGGTGACCACCTGCAAATGATGGTCATCACCAAGAACGGCATCGAGGAGGTCCTCCTTCCCCTGAAGAAGGATTAAGGTCATGATGGGGTTTGGGGGAAGTCTTGCGGTTGGGGGCGTTGTACAATACAGACAGGTAGCAATGCCAAAGAGGCAGTTGTTCAGCTGATCAATCATCGTACGCGGTTCAATCTCAAGCCTGCGTATTCACAGCATACCAAAGTTCCATTCGCACTTGATATGGGTAGCTCCTCTGTCAATCTCACGTTGCGGGACCATCTCGAAGCTCTGGTAGGTCGTTCGCTCTGACCCGGAATAAGCATGCGGAAATAGAGGAATGCAGGCAGGGATATCTCATCTCGCCTCGCACAACGCATCGGCTCCCCAGGACGAACCGATGGTCTTTGACCCCTTTTCCGCCGCATGTGATGCCACACAGCTCCCACGGTGTATGCGCCAGGCCATATAGATGACGGAGGGAAAGTCTAACAGGGACGAGTACGAATACGGAATGACGGATCGGATGCTTCAATGTTCCAACTTTCCCCTTTGGAGAACCATCCCCCAACATCGCTTGAAATTGGGGTGATATTTGATATTTCGCTTCGTAAGACTTGCGTCCATGGTGCTAACGAACCAGACATTCAGATAGCAGGGCGTTCCTCTCGCATCCTTCTCTCGCACTGCCATCCTGTACTGGGAAAGCTGGTCATCCTCGGGAAAGCGAGCCCTCTAAACATTTGGGGCATGGGTAGAGCCCAGGGAACAGCGCTAAGCGCAAGCGAAGGCGGACAGACATCAGAGGAGGGAGAACATCCGGGACGGGTATTGGCCATTGGGCCGCCCGTTCCTGTCAGACTACATACGGTACGGGCTGGACCGAGACAGCGAGGCACGAAAAGCACGGAGGCTCTCGTGGGGATCGCGCGGGACCAATAGAGCGTGGCAAAAATACCGCGTACTCGGCGCCCGCTGTTTGAGATAACCGCCTGGTAGGGTTCTGGTATTGGCCTCCCTCACCCTCTGTCTCTGCGTGAAGTGTGTGTATCTGTAGGTCGGTATTTGTCTCCCTCGAGCACAGTCACGCCAAGGGAGCCAGCTAGGCCTTTCGCCGACGTACCCAATCTATCGAGCAATCCGGGATATCGGTAGCGACAACGGTCTTAGACGTTGAGGTAGTGTTAACTGTCACGCGGTAGCGGCAGGTCCGGGTCCTCCGTATCAAAGGCCGAAGGCTTCCTTGGAAGTTGGGAGCCCTTGCCAGGGTTTCGAAGAGCCAGAACCGCGAGCACCGCATAGCTTGGCGGTTGATGCAGGGTAACGACGGAGATGCCTTTCATCGGGGAGGCTGTCGAACGGGGTATCATTGGTAGCTTGAACGAAGCAAAGATTGCAGCTTCCAGTACCCCTGGCCTCAAAGACCACCTGACCCAAACCTGGGTGCCTGGGCTATCGGGGAGGCCATCCGAGTAGAGGAGCTCTCTGCAGTTTGTTGTCTGTCATTGCCACAATTGTACGATACAAGGTTATTGAATTCTCGATCTACTTTGATATACCGCTGTACTACGGAACCGCCTAGGGCTGGAAGGGGGGCTATTGACAGCTAACGTCGAACAGCTGATTCGTAATCTAGCATAAGCTTCTCCTCTTCAGATGCAATGCCGCGATGGGCCCAGAGAGTTTCGAGATGCGATCGTCGTCGGAAGCTTACTCTGCAAAGGTCTCCTCTCTGAACCCACCACCCACAAGCCACCGGGCACCGCCCAAGATCTCAGCTTCCAACGCAACAGGTGGTCTGTTTGCCACCGGAGACGTATGCTGATCCTCTGGGCGTAGTGCAAAGAAGGGACGGACTACGGGCCAGTACGTCGCAGGCCTGGAGAGCTGAACCCTTGCTGCATTGCTGGTGAGCATTACAGGGAATTATTCGTCTTAATACGACCTGAACGGGCTTGAGCTTGGAGGAGGCGTGTCACCCCAAGACGGGAAAAAAGCATCTTATCTTCGGTCCATGCCGATTGTGGAGAGGATGCCGATATGACGGTACTCGAGAGGATATTTGGCTAGTTCTCGGCAGATCAGGGGATTTGCCATCTCGAGAATAGCCATGGCCGGGATTACGTCAGGCATATTGCCCTTTCTAGCTGAGATGAGTTTATATAGAAATATCAAATGGCCTATGTAAATCGTCGTCAGACGTGCATGGGATTTACAGAGAATCGTTGTGCATTCGGGTTAGACGTGGCTGATGTTGCATCTAGTGTGTGGCTTGTAACGACAAGGGTCGCTGATGTGGTTGCACACACTAGCATCACCGCCCAGGGTCTCGGAGACGGCTCCTCCAACGAGATGAAGTGTGCTACTGTGCAGCCAGTCTCAAAATTGCTAGGCGCTGGGCTTGTAGACATGGACCACCTGGCGAACGACATCGCACACAATCCTTCAAAGCGACAGATTGTGCGTTGCCACCGCGGCGCACGGTCGAGATCAAGTCAGACGGTGATGCACAGAACTGTCAAAGTCGAGACTCTAAGTCGAGGTCCAGTATCGAACTCAATGGCTTTGGACGACGGTCTCTGTAGCTCGGGCATTCTGAACCGAGCAAGCACTGACGTTGAGAGTTGTCGGCCCGACTACACTAAGCGGAATCTGGCTCTGGTTGCGAAGAAACGAGGCTTCGACCTTTGAATTAGGAGACCGCACTTGCGTGTCTTTCGTCTGAGGGTCGAATTATATGTCAAGGCGATGTCACCTGTATGTGCTCGTCTCGAGTGACTGCTTCTCCTCATGCAGCCGCGGCTCCTGGCCAAGCGCCCAAGTGCTTGAGTTGGCATGTTGCCTAGAGGGAGTGCTGAAGCTTGAGCCGCCTTGTCATCAGCGTTCTTGGCTGATCATCGTTTGAGGTGCTGTATACCTAGGTATTGTCAGTGACATAGAAATCGGCATATGCCGCTATCTAGGGGCCGTCTTTGAGTGACGGAATTCAAACCAACCACTGGTGCCACTTCAACGAGATGATGAGGTAATGCAACGCCAAGATGATGCGGTACGCAGCGACTTCATACCCAGTCTCTCGGTCGAGTGCCGTTTCTCCTTTCATCTGCACCGGGCCACTGTAGGCTACATTAGCTAATTCAATTGTGTCCTGTAACGGCAGACTAGCCGCGGAGGAAGCTGCCAGACCAGCCTTAGCGTCTGAAGACGAGGCGCCGTGCTATCACGGCGACGTACCCGTCCGATTGGGTTGCACTTGTAGCAGACAGGTGCTGGTGGGCGTCTTAGGTGCTGGTCGGTCGTCAATGAAGCTGTGAATCGGTCACGCCTTCAGAGGTCTGATGCACTCGGCAATACGGGCATGCTGGTCTCATAGCACTGATGGTACGCACAAGTACACCTCGCGTGCCTGGCCCAAATTCGAACGCCGTATGATGTCCGGATAGGTATTGATCATGGCACGCATGGCACCTCGGGTGGCATGTTTCCGGGGTCGGGGTGCAGGAAGGACCCTCAATGTTACTGCTTCGACGGGTTCTAGCCATGATCTCACCCCCGGATCATGATGTGGTAGCAGTGACGATTCTCGGAGGATGCGTGCCACATGCAACGAAGATCTCGGTGCGGATGGGGTAAAGGATCGGCGCCGGTCAAGCTGGAGCCTTGGTCAGTTGTGGCGAAACTCCCGACCGGCAAGCCGCAATCCTCGGCCGCGCGGTTTTTCTGGCGTCAAACGGCAGTTTGGCATCCTCGCATCCTTGGACGGCCTGCGCCGTGGATATTTTCTGCAATTTTTTTTTTGTTCATTTCCACCTCCGGCCGCCCCGCGTTCCTAGCAAATCCAATCGAACGTATACTGGGCCCGGAGAGGAACTTCCGGCCGTCGCAAGTCTGGATAGCTACACTAAAGTTGCCACGATTGATCGGACCCAGATGGTTGCTGTGGACGGGTAAGGGTCCTGCTGCTCAGGCACAGGGTTCGGGCGATGACTCGTGCTGTCGGGGTTGGCGCCGGAGAGGTATCTCTAGGTGAAAGAAGCGATGAGATTGGACAATGGCTTGGGTGACTGGTTGCGAGTACCGTCAGAAAAGCTTCCCAACAAGCTTGAGACAGACCTTTTCGCCACAAGCATTCGAGATGGTTGCGGGAGGAGGAAACATGCTGCCGCTACAGGCTTTCGGCTTGCCCATTGGCGTTGATGAAGGGATCAGGCCTGCTGGAGAAAGGAGAGGGAGACCTTCAAGTGCAGCGGGGGGCCGCAATGTAAGTGGAGGTCTGAAAAAAATCGAAAAGTTTGGAGAATCCCATGTTGGCAGTGCCGTCAAAAGTCTGGCGCGGCGGCTTTGGATAGTCGTGATTGCAAAGATTTCGGGTATACATAGGGGGCCAGGGGGGCGTGCGTTCCCCCGAGTACCTCCCCAGGTACCTGCTCTGTACGGTGCATGGTACGTATCTAAAGTGGCCTCCAATGACACAACAAGCAGGCACGCAGACTGGAGCATCACTTCAAGGAGGAAGGAGCAGAGAGATGTGAGGCGAGACGAGGCAAGACATTTGACAACCTGGAAGGAGGGAGGAACAGGGTACACAAGGCAAGAAGCAAAAACAAACTTGGCTACCCATCTTAACTTAAGGTGAAGTACTCCGTACCAGGTCAAGACAAGACAAGACAAACAAGCACCGATGGCCCCAAAATTCGAAGGCACCACCCTATGTGTGTGCTTACCTTATTCTCTGTTGGCCCAATAGGATACCGAAGGGTACGTCAAGTTGCTGGACCATGAAAACTACTTGTGAGAAGCCAGCTGACTGGATGTCAACCAAAGCTTGAGGGTAGGTAGACAGAGAGATCTCTTGCTGGAGGATGAATTTGCAGTTCGCAAATTGGCATTACGCGGAGACACTCCGGCAAGAGACCGAGCTCCTCAAGACAGAGTTTTTCATGCTCCAAGTCTCCATCTCACTCATGGAGTCATGGTGCTTGATGCTTGGGGCCCTTGGGCACTCGGGGGACAAAGTAAATGGCCGCCTGTCCTTACATTAGCCACCAAAAAGCGGCCATTCAACTTGTCCCCCGAGTGGAGTGGAAGAGGAAGAAGAACCGGCGGCAATAGATTTGCACACTTACGTCAAATGTCACGGTGCAGTTCTTTCCTTGGCCTTGGACCCTCCAAGTTGGAGCGTGGGGCATGTTGGTGGGACGGGTGGGGTCCTGTCCAGACCGATTTCCCACTGTGGGCGACAGATGCGCATTGCGGTCGGTGTCGGTTCAGTCACCGTCAGACTTCACTGTGAGTTTCCCGTTTCCGCCGCGGACCCCGTCCACGACTCCAGCCTCCTCCTCCACCACCACCACCCCCCCGTCCACTTGGAATGTCCGCAGTTCCGTCCAAACCGCCAAACCGCCCAGACAAAGGACCGCCGCCGGCTCACTATGTAGTATGGCATCCGACCGCGTCAAGGACGCTGACAAGTGACAGTGGACTGGACGTGGGGTGAACCGCGCGGGCTCCATACTACACTACACATACAATCGCGATTCGCGATTGAATCACGGCTACTGGTCAGCGGCATAAACACCGCGCCCCGTACCGCCACAAATATTTCCTCCAAGGCTCCAATGTCTCGACGGTCTTGTTACTCTCCGAGGAGACTTGTCGCACACTCTCCGACGTGATGGAGCTGTCTGGTTCCCCAACTCCTCCATCGTTGTCCCTCGTGGACACTGTACTAGTCCACTCGGCCATCTTTTATACTCCGACGACGAAACGTCTCCAACTGAGGTTTACTCGGCCTAGTCCGCGTTAGCCACTTTCAGCCTTCCACCTGATACTGCAGCTCCGGCGTTGGTCTAGTCTTCGTGGACTCCGCTGGCTCTCTTCACTCATCAAGCTTTCGTAGCATAGCTTTCACATACCTTACGGTCACGAAATTCCACAGCGGTTGATCGATGCCTGTACTCCGTACCACCTTTGCCCCAACCACGTGGGTTTAGACGCTTGGCCGGCTTGCCTTGTTACAATTTTACCACTGCCGTTGGCGAGCGGGAGAATCAACATTTGGGGGCTGTGGAACGATCAGACCACCAATGGGCCGAGGGCCTGCGTCAACTTACAGGCCTCTCGTGCCCAGAGATCATCCAGATGTGCTGGATGCGTTATGGGCTGCCTGGGTAAGGGGAGAATGGTCTAGACCACCGGTCTCCCCGCACAATAGCTCCCTCATGCGGCTAACAGCCAAACCAACTCATGCTGCCGTAGCTGCAATTTGAGCCTCTTACATTCTTAGCGCGACGCTTCTCAGGTCTGATATCTTTTTGTCACTGGGCAAGCACGCAAGCTGGGACATTGGACGGGATGATGCCGGATTTCTCGAAGCAGCCCTCGATCCACAGCGGATAGATGAATCTGCCAGGCATCTCGGCTCCCTCCACGCCCTTGTTTTCGATCACTGCGATTCTACCTTGTTTTGCGCGGGTAGTGACAACTCGTCTGTGTACTTGACAGCCGGCCGACGCATAGCCACGCTACGGCGAGGCCTTGGCCGAAATGGAATGATGTTCCGGCACCGATGGGAGACTGGCTTGGAGTGCTTCACGACACATTCTTGCAAGCGCAGCACCGAACATCCTCCAAAGCTTAAGGATACTCAACTTGCTGAGACTGGCATGGTCATCTACGTCATGACTTTCGAAAGGGTGACGGCGACGCTCGGCGAGCCGTTGGTTGTGGGAAAACGGCCAATGAGCCAGTAGGCCTCATAGGCCTTATTTCAAATTGCCATGCCACGATGAACAGGAATGAGACATGGGACTTCTCTCCGCGCCTCATGCCGGTGTAGCTTGATCAGACAGGATGAGTCTTGCCAACCCAAAAATGCTGTAGGCATGTTTAGGTGCACGTTTCCTCGAGCCACTCCACCGCTGAAGCAGGATGGCCAGCTCTCTGGATTTCACTTGCCATTGGCCTCGGAAGCGCATAGCCGCCCCCAGATCACCAGTTGAGCACGTTGCTCGTTGCCCAAACTCAAGTCAGGCCGATGCGAGGGCGAGGGTACGGCAGTCTAGAGCTTAACGCCAATTGGGCGAGGCTGAAGATGTAGGGCGAAGCTTGGAGAACTAGAGCGGGAGATGCGGTCGTGGGCCCCAGTCCCCAGCCCAATGCTTTCTTTTTTCTTTTCGCCTCGGTGCGGTACTCTGTACGAATACCGCATGATCCCGTGTCGCAGCTGTGCAGCAGCAACCCAACATTCACAAGCCCAACAGCGAAGAAAAGCATTTCAAAGCAGGCAATGATCTGTTGAAGGGTCTCGACGTTCCCGATGCTTTGCTGCGTTTACCAGGGGTTGATTGTCTATTGATAGCACAGCTGCGAATGCGATGCCTATCAGTCAGGTATCCGCCACCCACCTGGCACGCCTTGTTTAGAATTTGAGGCTAGCGATCCATCAAGTGATGGGGGGAAAGCCAACGTCAGTCAAGAAGACGCGAAGCAGGAAGACGAAAGTTTTGAAATGCAGGGAGCACATGGAGCACACAGGAAGATACGACGTATACCTAGGTGCGACTGTACCTTTCCCCTGTACACTGGATGTACCTTGCCGAGTACCTCAAGCGATACGTACCGGGAGGCGACTTTGATTGACCGGGGAAGGCCCAGGACCGATGTGGCTGGGCGTCCGGGCCAGAGACGGGACTAACAAGACACACCAAGACCAGAACGAAATCGAACGAGTGGGCGAGCAAGCGCGGTCCCTGTCTCTCTTTCTTCTTTTCTGGGGCTCTTCTTCTTTCATCCCCTCATCCCCTTGCACTTTTGGGAAGGGACCTTGAATCTTTAAACAATCCAGTCGGCAGGCAGGTCAAGTCGGCACGTTGTATTACTTGGCAAGAGGAAAGGATAGCACGAGGAGCGTGGAGGTAGGTAGCCACAGGCCATCGGCCACAGTACATTTCCTTACCTCCTTGCGCTACGAGATACTTGGCTACGTACTCGGACACAGATTGCTTCCTGACTCTGGAAAGTGGCTCGGCGGGTCGAGTGGCGAATGCAAGACTGGGTCGCTCTCCATCGGATTCCTCCACCCGTCGCCCTGCTTGTCTCTGGTGTTTGTCGCTGCTCTATCCGTTACCTTACTCTGTTGTGCTCTTGCTCTGTTCTGCATCTCGCTCTCTCTTTCTCATAGGCCCTTGTATTCACTGCCTGTCTTTTCCATGTCTCCGTCAATACTTGTCTCATTCCTAGTATTCGATCCGTCCGTACCTGTGTTATGCTTGATCTAATCAACTACGAGTGTCGAGGCGAAGTAAGATATCTGATGGGTTAATCATTCTCCTCCTCTGTCTGTGTCGCCATCTCTTCTACATCATCCTCTCTCTTTCTGTCTCTCTCTCTCTCTCCACAAATTACGGCTTCATTGTTACTCGATAGCTCTCGTACTTGAAGTGCCCATGCCAATTGAAATTGACCAAAAAACAAGACTTCCATTTACAAGTCCATCCCTGTTGACACAAGGTGACAAGCTACCTTCGTCTAGTTTAGTTCGTGGCCCGGCCAAGTGGGAGGGCCACCCGACCACATCTGTGTCCCTTGCACATCTCAGAGCGGCAGCCAAGAACCGAAGAGAAAAATCCCATCTTTCTTCATCCAATTTGATGCTACTGGTTCCAGAACGGGCTCCTGGCCATGCACATCAGTTCGTTCCCACATCATGGATGCTCCCCTTACCCGCATCGCCCCTTCTACCGCCACCCCTCCGTGCCCTCTTTAGTAAGGTAGGTAGGCTCTTCCTCAATCCTCATCCCTCCCTCTTCCCCATTCCATCTGGGCTGAACTGGCCCGGGCTACCTTACGAGCAAAAAACTCTCTACTAGTTCTACTAGTGCCTCTGTGTTTCTCAACCTCTACCAATTCCTTCCCATGAAGCGGGAAGCTGTGGCTCTGTCATCTCTGTCTTCCCCATCTGCTTCTTGGCTTCACACACAAGCTTACACGCCTCTCCTCTTCTAACTTCACCCCTCCTCGAACGCCACTTAACCCACTGTCTGGCCCGGTCGTTTCCTTCTCGCCTTACCCGTCGCTCATCCAGACTCGACTCTCAACCCGTCCTGTCTTCTCTCTCACAACAGCCTCGGTGAAGTGTATGACGGTCCCCTTCGCTCACGAGCACTGCCATCTCGGCCTCTTCCTTGTGGTATCTGTAAAAACCACCACATACACTACGGCAATAACGGACGCAAAGCGGCGAAGTGGTTGCCGCCTACATCCCGGAGCTCCTCCTCAAGTCGGCCAACGGCGCAATCTTGGAACCCACCTCCAGTGCTCTAGCACCTCATCGACAGCTCCCCCGACCTCGAAACTGTGGGCATTATCCCGCGCAATCTACTCTACTTCAGTACGTGCGTTTCTAGCATCCCACAACTCCTCCAACGTTTTCTCTCAAACCCCTACGCCTCAGTCGCCGCTTGCCCATAGCTTTCATATTGCTCAACAAGCAACTGGGATTCTTAGAGCCTCCGCACTCTAGCAAGATACCCGGCCCTTGGGTTTTGGCCACCATCCTGTCGGTAACTCGTCACCTTCCTTGTGCCGCTATTCCACGCCTTTCTCTTTGCTGTCTGGGTCTCATGGTAGCCGTTGCCTTCCTTCTTCCATAAATATCATTGGACGTTGGGAGACCAAGCACTCTTAGTGTCTTCTTCATCACTCATCTACCACAGCAACCTCTAACTGGTACGCCAGGACTCTTCTGTCTAAACCCTCGCTTACGTTGACTTGGTCTTTCTCAACGGGTCTCGTCTCGTCTCGTCTTGCCACTAGGGCTTCTCAGTCGTCAACTCTCTTTACTCCTCTATCCTCCCGAATCGCACTGGATTGGACGTCCGCTGGCGCGCAACACCACATCGTCATTCTAACTTGGATTCCTCCTATCGCTCGCATTCGTCCTTGCAGCATTGGAATCGCAACTCATAGAGTACTGATCTATCAGTCCTGCCAGCGTACAGCAGCAATCCCTGCGTCGGCGCCCCGAAGTTCAGGTAAGAGACAGCCCTCGTTTAGTGGCAACCGCACCACCCTGAAGCCGCACCTCTCCACACGATGTGCATGCCTGGAGTTCCCTAACCTAGCCCCTCGCGTCTCGTTTCTTCGTCCGTCCCGTCATCTTCGGCAGCTCCCCCTTCACCCCGGTACCAGAGGCTACGCCGTGCCCCCTGCTTCGGGCTCTTCTCTGCATTGGTATTGGACGCCCAGACGAGCTGATCGCCTTCTAGGAATTTCATTGAGCCACACATTACACGCTCTCCTTCCTGAGCAGGGTTAACTGCCACATATACCCTTGGGCGCTCGGAAGCGTGACTTTCCAGAGGGAACCCCCCCTTTCCTTCAAAGGCTGTGCAAACTAGCCACATTGGCCACAACGTGAGCTTTCACTCATCTACCGCAAATAGCTCAAACTTGTTGTGGCGCTCAGAATCATACATACTTCCCGTCACATCCTGACCGTCTTTCCTCTCGTCTGGGTTTTGCTCCGTTAGAGCTGTCCGTCGACCTAGAGCTCAGAGGACTGGACTAGTACTTGGCCGAAGGTATAAACTACTAGACGGACCTCATCCTGGCTATGTGGCGCCGTTGGTCCCGGCCGCCGACGTTTGGGCATTTTGCTAACTCGGTTGCGACAGTTTGTGGGCGGCTTAAACTCCGATACAGCTCGCACAATCACCATACAAATGGGAGATGTTCAATCCCCTCCCAAAGTCACTGAGTATCCTATCGTGGACTCTCACAAAGGCGTAAACGCTGCAAGTGTTTCGCCTATTTACCTAGACGAGAAGTCGAGAATGGAAGCTCAAGGCATCCCCCACCCGCAGCATCAGCAGTACGGCCCTCCGCAACATGCCTTCTCGTCTCAACTCGACATGGCTCAGCAACCCGCAGCCGGCCGCCCCGGGAAGTTCAACATGAACAACATGGCGAACGCGTTGCCCCAGTCCAACATGAGGCATGGGCACTATGTACCTGGTGGCCAGCCGCAGCATCAACAGCAGCGATTCAGCCCTGCTACATCCTCGCCTTCGATGATGCCGCAGATGCCGCAGATGGCTCCTCAGTATCCTGGTCAAGGCGCGATGCCCATGGGAAACCCGCAGTACTACATGCCGCAACATCACCAGATGCAGCATTACTATACCAATCAGCTCTCTCCGACCCAGCAGCAAGCTCGCCCGAACATGGGATACTACCCGAATCAAATGGTCATGAATCATCCACAGCATAACCAGATCCCTCAAGGGTATTACTATCCTCCAGCTGGCCACTACTCCCAGAACCAAGCTCTTCACAATCCCATGGTCTCGGCACAGTACATGGGAACGCACACTGGGCACAGTGACCCTAGAGTCATGCCTCAGATGCCTAACGGGATCGACCCTAGCGGTATGAACGCTCCTTCGAGTCACAGGTCGAGTGGTATTGCGTGCCCAGTGCCAGTGTTTGGGAGAAGCATCACTGACAGAACCATAGATGTGGGCGATGGCCGATCTGGTGTTGTACGCGGCCCACCGCGGAAACCGCGCCAAAGTGGTTAGTTATCCTGCCACTCGAAAGTAAAACTTGCTCGCTAACAACGATACTAGGACATGCGATCTGGGTTGGAAATCTTCCGCCTCAAACCGACCTCATGAATCTCGTCCACCACGTTTGCAAAGAAGCGAATGGCCTCGAGTCACTTTTCTTGATATCGAAAAGCAATTGTGCATTCGCCAACTTCAAGGACGAACAAATATGCATAACAGCTCAACAGAAGCTTCACGACTCTAAATTCCAGTCCGTTCGCCTCGTCAGCCGCTTGCGCAAGAGCACCGTCGAAGGCGCAACGGGCGTTACAGCACCTACGGGCCCGGCGGCCTCTTCTGGATCGCAAACACCCCATGACGTGGTTGCACCACCCAGTGCTCCTGAAGCTGCCCCCGAGACTGCAGTGGCAGAGTCCAACGACGTCAAACCCGTCACTACAGTAGAAGTAACGTCGCAGAAGGACAAATTCTTCATCCTGAAAAGTCTGACTGTGGAGGATCTCGAGCTTAGTGTCAGGACAGGGATTTGGGCAACCCAATCTCACAATGAGGATACGCTGAATGCGGCTTTCAATGTGAGCAGCTATGCGTTCTTTTGGTTTTGCATGTCTGACTTATTTTTATAGGCCGTTGACAACGTCTACTTGGTGTTTTCTGCGAACAAATCAGGCGAATACTTCGGATACGCAAGAATGACATCCCAAATTAACGAAGACCCGGACGCCGCGATCGAGTTTGCCCCCAAAGCGCAGTCCGCAAACGATGTCGACTTACCGAAGGCAATTCCTACCGAACCCACAGAGTTTGCGCCCAAGGGCAGGATTATTGACGACTCGGCCCGGGGCACCATCTTCTGGGAAGCAGAGCGTGAGGACGGAGAAAGCGGTGACGAGGAAGAAGAGACCGAGGTGGAACAGAGCGATGTAAGCAGCCGAAAGAGCGGGAACCAAGAAGCTGATGGTACCACCAAGGCTTGGGGGAAGCCCTTCAAACTCGAGTGGCTGTCGACGGCACGGCTTCCATTCTACCGTACCAGGGGTCTTCGTAATCCATGGAACTCGAACCGAGAGGTCAAGATCGCGAGAGACGGCACTGAGCTGGAGCCGTCCGTCGGAAGGAGGCTGATTGGGCTGTTCAATAGGGTCCAGAGTCCCGGCTCAGGATCTGTGCCGGCCATGCGACCTGGAATGGCGATGATTGCAGGATATCCGCCCATGCGGCCACAATATCAACAATGACGGGCACCGGCATTGCTGGCGACATGGGCAGGACTCCTTTTCCCAGTCATTAGTTCATTTGGATCCGGACTCTGTGGCTTACGATCGGTTGGACATGTTTTTACGACAACAGCCGCATATGCAGGCCATGGCGAGCGCTGAGATGGTTGGTTTACTGGATGCTGCTTCTCAATGTACCTAATCTGGCTATCTAATTCTACGAAAGAGTTTGGTGTATATTGCGCTTGAATTGGAGTTGAAGGGACGGCGCCTGGGCGATAAGACAGCTACCGAGGCAGTTGGCGCGGATGGACTGGTCAACTGAGCAGATTTTCTCCACTTCCCATATCCCGCCATATGCGTGTGAATCACCACTTGGGCTGACGAGATGAAGGCAGAATGCAGGATAATAAAAGGTTGGATAACATGCCATTGTCACTGCGAATCCAAGACATGTCGTCGATCAGCTGTGGCACCTTTCCAGTGGCGACATCCACATTGTGGCTTGACCCTGGAAGGGATGAACCCGGACGAGCGTCGGGATCACGACTCGAACTGTGACCTCAAACCTTAATTGGCAAGGTTGGACGTCGCATGGCTCACCGGGCACGTATCATTCGATTGCCGGTTTTCTGTTACTGGGAGCTGATGTCAAGATGCGCGAATTGCCCAAACAGATGATCAGGGAAAGCTTTGCGGGATCGACTGCCACATGTGACTTTGCATCAGATTCAAATTCGATGCCGGGGTTTCGTCGAAAAGTGAAGCTAGCGTGGATAATGTACCGTCGCATTTGAGTGGGCAACGGATGGATTTTTGCTGTCAAGGATACGGAGCACCACAACATTTGAGTAAATCCACGGTACGGCCAGACTTCGAATTCTGCGAATTCTTTTTTCTTGGTACGGATCGATATCTCGTCCAAGTTTCTGTTGCGGGGTTGCTATAATTGCGACGGGACGATTACTGAGGGTCTCCGTCTCTGGAGTGAGGCGAACGTTTTCCCTACCTTGCCTTCTGAGGTACACCTGCATACCCACTAACTGACCACCGTATTGTGAGAGACCAACCCCCTGAGGCCGAAGGTGCTACGCCGAGCGGGCTTGACGTATCCGCAGGTAATGTATGGAGTTTGATGTCGTAATGTCTCCCATCGGCATCTGCCATCGGCTCCTCCTCCGCTCAAGCGGCCCAGCTGCATTGGAAATTTTTTTCTGCTAGTCGTGTCCTGTCCTACTACACTACCCAAAGAAGTGGGAATATCGTGCAACAGGTTTCGACGGGAAACCACACCGGACATGCAGACTAAAGCGGGAGTCGCCGTGGGCTGTACCACTTTGCCCTCCCCCCCGATTTGTGTGATTCGACACGATGAGGGGGGCCCGCGGGCTGGTTGGGAACACGAGTCTGGACCTGGCCATGGGCGATTGAGAAAGCCTGGACTCTCATGGACTCTCGCCGGCTCTGTCATGTCTAGGTCTGTGTGACTGGACGAGCTGGGGGCCATGGGCCTGGGGGGATAAGGAAGGAGGGAGGGGGAGAAGTGCCCCTGCACGGACCATCCGTTTGACGTCAAGGGAGGAAATTCGATTGGTTGAGCGAGAGATGGCGTCTTGCTGGACCCTGGTCGGAGGCCGGAACTCTAAAAATTAGGCGAGGTGGACGAATCGCGGTGGCTTACAGCGGCTTGGAGCTTTTGCAAGACCTGAAGATGCGGTTTCGACATTGTGGATGTTGACATATTTGTCGTATTGATCAGATGAAGTTGCTATTGAATGATTGAGATGTTGCGAACCTACAGGCCTTGAACTTCAACAATATTCTTCTGCGAATTAACGTGGTTCGGTTAAGTGATGCACCGCTGCGCGGATGGCAAATCTGATGGAAGCCGCTGGAAGGTTCCAGCAACTTCCGCGCCTCCGAAGCTACCAGAACCCTCTCCCATTATGAGGCCATCGCCAAAGAGAAGCTTACAGATCCTTCCAGAATAGGCTTTCGTAGCATGCGCGTCCCTTCCTCGTTGTGCGAGTTCATTCTCGAAGGACCTCGCGGCGAGTTCTTTGGTTTTTCAGCGAAATTTCCGGAACGCTTGGGATGGTACGATGGGGCCTGCTTCCGTTGTATAAATCCGTCGTCTTGATCACGTCTTACATCGTTTCCTTTCCTTCAGATCAGAATATCAAGAACAACAACAAGCAAACACAACTACAACTCTCTCACAGACAGCAACAAAAACAACCCTCACTCTCAACTACTATATCTTTTCTACTCATAGATCAACCCACAATACTACCACTCCACACCCTCACAACAACCAACAACAACACCATCAAAATGGCCGCTTTCTTCCCCCGCAACTTCTACAACTCCGATGCCTCCTTCACTCCTCTCTTCCGCCTTCTCGAGGACTTTGACAACTACTCCCGCCAAGGCAATGGTACCTCTTCCGGTGGCGCCCGCGGCACCCACCGCAACCACGTCCCGACCTTCCAGCCCAAGTTCGACGTCCGCGAAGTCGAGGACGCCTACGAGCTGCATGGCGAGCTCCCCGGCCTGAGCAAGGAAGACGTCTCCATCGAGTTCACCGACCCGCACACCCTGCACATCCGCGGCCGCGTCGAGAGGTCTTACACCGCCGGCACCCCACCCACCGCGGGCCTCCTCCAGCCCTCTTCCGGAACTGAGATGAGCGGCGCCATCACCGACGGTAGCAGCAACGATACCTCTAGCACCACCACCAGCACTGAGCGCCCTCGCTCGCCTCACCAGGCTACCGTTGAGGATGAGGAGGACGACGAGACAAACTCCACCGCGCAGCCTACACCCGCCACCACCGTCGCCGAGGTCGACAAGTCTGCCTCTGCCGCTGCTGCTGCCCACCACCACAAGAAGGAGCCGGTCGACAACGCAAAATACTGGGTCTCGGAGCGCAGCATCGGCGAGTTCAGCCGGGTCTTCAACTTCCCCGGCCAGATCAAGCAGGATGCCGTCTCAGCTGGCTTCAAGGATGGTATCCTTTCGATCCGGGTGCCCAAGGCTCCCAAGCACGAGACGCGCCGCATCTTCATCAACTAAGATGGCTCCGATGTTTCTGACACCATCACCATGGCAATTGCGGCCTGTTCGACTGTACAACAGTAAACAATAATGAGAACTAAGTGGATCGGGATGGATTTGATGGAGGAATTAGCATAATGGGTCTTGCATTGGGATTGGTGTTTCGGGTTTCTTCCTGCTTTCCTTCGCTATATACTAGCAATGAGAATAAAACAGTTCAAAAACGGATTGGGTCCAGCATGCACTTCTGAAGTTTTCTAGTATGAGCTCAACTTGAAAAGAGATTGTGACGGTCTGAGCTAGGAGTTGTAACACCTACCTATATGTGCTATTACCAGCTGTTGAAAGCAAAGACCACTGATTCGAACAGTGGCTCAAGGCGAGTTCTCAACCGAGTTCTGACATTTGAAGACTGCGACAGACCTGCGAATACCTTATTGTGAGGATGTTATGGAGAATTGCCGCGCTGCTCACCTGGGGATGTCTTTGATGAGTATGAGGGAAGCATCAAGCGTCTTAGTAAGGTAGGTTGACGCTAACTCCAGGCACACGGTGGGGCCGACCGGCTGCTTAATTGCTGCACGTGATTTGGCGTATTTTCCTCCCACTCGGTCGCCACCACCAGTCATCCCCGACGCGTCTTAAGAGCCCATGCTCGCCCACCATCAACAATTCCGTAATTGTGTGAACACCCAACCCGCTTCCTGACGTTCGACTTCGCGCGCAGAACTGCTGTATCTACCCACGTGTAATATAAGCTCTACATCACGATCATACGTTCACGAGCACAATGGCCGACGCTGACGGCTATGACGAGGGCCATGGCGATGAGAGCGGCATGACCGGGCCCGGCGCGCCCACGCCACTCACTGCGCTCGAGGTAAGTCTTGCATGGACATTTTGCGTCGCTTTTTGTATGCTAATGAACACTACTAAAAGGGAGTTGCCGGCTTGACGAAGCGCGATATCCAAATGGTCGTCGACGGCGGCTTCAACACCGTAGAATCAGTAGCATATACCCCGCGCCGCATGCTGGAACAGATCAAAGGCATCTCGGAACAAAAGGCAACCAAGATTCTCGCTGAAGGTATGTGACTGCAACCAAGACTTTTCACGCGTATTTTTCTGACAGAAGAAAACCAGCCTCGAAACTCGTGCCAATGGGCTTCACGACTGCCACCGAGATGCATCAACGCCGCAGCGAGCTCATCTCTATCACAACTGGCTCCAAGCAGCTGGATACACTTCTCGCCGGCGGTATCGAGACCGGATCGGTGACCGAGCTGTTTGGAGAGTTTCGTACGGGAAAGAGTCAGATTTGTCACACTCTTGCTGTGACATGCCAATTGCCCTTTGACATGGGCGGTGGCGAGGGCAAGTGTCTGTACATCGATACTGAGGGTACATTCCGTCCCGTTCGACTGCTGGCCGTCGCCAACAGGTTTGGTCTCTCTGGAGAAGAGGTTCTCGACAACGTGGCATATGCTCGCGCCTACAATTCAGACCATCAACTTCAGCTCCTCCAACAGGCTGGTGCCATGATGTGCGAGACTCGATTCTCGCTCCTCATTGTGGACAGTGCGACGGCGCTTTACAGAACCGATTTCTTGGGCCGAGGTGAACTCTCTTCGAGACAAACTCACTTGGCCAAGTTTATGCGCACGCTTCAGCGTCTCGCTGACGAGTTTGGCATTGCTGTTGTCATCACCAACCAAGTCGTCGCACAGGTTGATGGTGGACCGAGTGCCATGTTCAACCCTGACCCGAAGAAGCCAATTGGCGGTAACATCATTGCCCATGCAAGTACCACGAGAATCAGCTTGAGGAAGGGTCGAGGCGAGACTCGTGTCGCCAAGATCTACGACAGCCCCTGTTTGCCAGAGAGTGACTGTCTGTTTGCGATCAACGAGGATGGCATTGGCGACCCGAGCCCCAAGGACCTGGAGAAGGACTAGAAAAGGGATTTTGGTGCGGGATAACTGGACGAGAGTAGATGTGATGGTGTTATGCGCATATGAGTGAGCTTTGATACACCCCGGTTGGGAAAGATGGCATGCATTGGTGCTGGCGTTGGGCGGTAATCGTTACACTGGAGTTGTGGTATCTCTGTTAAAGCATTTGCTAGAAACGTAATGAATCAAAGTACCTTCGGAATGATAGGAAACTGCCATGAATAAGTAGCCAAAGATATATCATCGTCTGCTTTTCTGTAACTACCTTATTTCACCATACCCCAGCTGAACTTCATAGTGTTGTACAGTGTCTTGTCCATCGTTCGCACTCAAGACACTGTACCAAGCTGGTTGCTGTTTTTGGATTAGCCCCACCGGGCGCGTTGGAGCCTTCAAACTGGAAATTCCATCAACTCAATCGCGACGAACTTTTTGCTGCCACAGATTGCTTTATGCGCCGAGCCCGACCCGCGACTCTCGCGGCCTCTTCCTCTTTCTTATTTACGGCGTTTGAGGTCTTTGCATGTTAGGGGCAAATCGAAAATGGATTCCGCAGACACCCAATACCTATACCGAGAGACTCGTCTCAATCTCGAACCGGCCTCCGCCTCGTCCATCGTCAACATCCGTGTCCCCTCGCTGACGTCGAACGGGAGGGGCGCGACCCGCAAGCTCACATCCGGCGACAAAAACATCAGCGAAGACGAAGTCAACTTTCGGCTCAAGAACCTTGCTCCCGCTTCGTCGGTCTACCACCGCAAATGGCACGATGCACCGCGGAGCTTCCTCTGGAGGCTGTTGGATGACGGCCTCGTCTTGAGCCTGCGAGTCGTCGACACCTGCCGACACGAGAAGACGGTCGATGCGCCGCTGATCCTTAACTTCCGATTCACGGTCCCGATTCAATCGTCCTGTGTCGCTTTCGCCGACCCCCGAGAACATGATGCGCTGTCCATGTTCGTCCTCGACGAGGCCAACTGCCTATACTCCTTCACTCTCCGCCCCGACTTCTTCAGGAAGCGCTCCGCCATCGAGGCCGGCCCGGGAGATGCTTGCAAGGTGTATCAGCCACAGGTCTTTGGCTTCAAGCACCCGCATCGCATGGTTGCCGCGAGCACCGACCAGATTGTTATTTCTCTGCACGACGGCGGACTGGTGAGGTTGGACCGGAATAAGACACAGGATTGTATGTCACCCCTTGACCGCTGCCGCAATAAAGATCCACGACTAACTTGTGTATAGCGACGAGCAACCCCTGGAAGGAGACGATCTACAATTCACAAGGCTGGGCGCAGGGCATTCGCAGCTACCTCCCATTCCAGCAGAACCAGTCTATCCGATACCGCAACATTCACATGGACGCCAGCGCGGCGACGTCGATACAGGTCACGAACCTGGGCCTTGATGATGCGGCGTTCCTATTCACAGTCTGTCTCGACCACAGAATGCGCATCTGGAACCTGCGGACAGGCCAGATCTTGTTCACAGGCGACATACTGAACTCTGACCGCAACCCGCAAGAAGTCGGCAAGTGGCAGATTGAGCCTACACAGACAAATTTGTTACAGCTCGTCGGTGATGGAACAGGCAACCGGATGTGCGCCACGTATTCGCCCATTGGGGCCGGAGAGTTCAAGTTCTGGAACATAAAGGCCCGCGACAGCGACACCGTCTACGTGGAGGATGCGTTCCCTGATATTCACCTTACCCCATCGTCACCATCGCTTTCAGATGTGTGGACCCTGGCGGACTTCGTCCTTTCGAACCTTGCCGATGGTGGGATTCAGCTGTGGACACTGTGGAAGAACAACATGACCTACAGAGTCCAGCAGCTGGATCTGAACAGAGACAACATCGCCGAGTCATGGGAAAGCGAATGGGCGTCAGTTCACATCGACACAAGTTATCCTACCGCGCCGACGTCTGCATCCTCAGATCCTACAGACCCGACGGAGAAGTGGTTAGATCTCATTCTTGCCCCTGGCCGCTTTACCAAAGCAACCCTCGAGACAGCTCTTTCCATATACGAAAAGGGGCTTTACTCCCAAAAGGAGGGCAGCTCGAAGAATCAGCATAAGGGCTTGGCAGAGTCCATCTGCTCAGTTCTTGCCTCAACAGCATCCTTGGACCGGAACTCGGCTGGTGGTATGGATTATGAGCAGTTCCGTGCTAGTAGCGAGACCCAGTGGAGGAGATTTTACCGCCTTCTGATCGAGTTGGACAAGCAACGTGGCGAGGCAGTTGCTTTGGTCCTCGACGCCGATTCCGACATGACGTGGGTTGTGTGCGCCGATGCAATCTCAGCCATCAGAGAATGCAGCTCATTGGAGCGGCTGTACTACAACCTCTCGCGACCAGATGAGGCATCAGAGAGAATAGCAAATCTTGTGTCGACGGGCGTTGGTTTCCTCGACGCCATTTCCGACAGCATACAGCAGGTCTGCACTGCCGCCCTGCGACCTGAAATTTACGAGGAGACCCCTCGAACGGATTATGAACGACTCCAATACCTCTTTGACACCACCGCTCTGTGGCGCACCGTTAGTGACGAAGACTGCGCACAGGTCGTTGAGAGTCTAGGACAGTCTTATACCGGTGTTACGATGGATCTTTACGAAAGCCTGACTGGCTTGATCGCAGCTACAGAAGACTCTGGCAGCCGCAAGGCTCGTCAGCCGCTGACTGACTTTGGAAGGAAGCTCATCGTCAAGGCTGTTCAGGAGACGATTGATCTGCAATGGAACATCATCTTCAGCCAGGTCTTGCTTCTGGTACATATGGAGTTCGATTGGGATCAAGAGGAGGACATGCTTTCGAAACGAATTGACGTTGGTGCTGTGTTCAGACAATTCCTCGAGTCACTTCGTCGGTTAGAGCTGCTTCGATGGCTTTCCAAGACTGAAATCACTGTTCCCTTTGGCAACAAGAACGAGCGCAACGATTCTTTCTCAGGCTCGCCCAGCACCACAAAAAGGACTGCAGAAGAGACGCAGACGGTCACCGCGTTGGAAGGCAATGTCGGTCATCTTCTCGGCTTCGTCGACGGCAGAAACGAGCCTCTGGCTACGAGTATCACAGATATCGTCACGGATCTCTGTGCTTCCAACAGCGATATCGAGGTGTCACCTACTCTGATCCAATGCTCCCTCATCAGAAGGGAGCGGGCCGATCTTGCTCTTGAACTCACCCCCTACTGCGCGCAAACGCCATTCGCCATCTATATCCAGGGCCGTGTATTCCTTGCCCTGAAAGACTTTGCTTCGGCCGCCTTCCACTTCCGTAAAGCGGCGATAGGCATGGGTAAGTTGACTTCGCTCTCGCTGTGAGGAAACCAAACTAACGTTGGTGAAAGGTGTTGAAGATGTAGATGTCGACCGACACAGTAGCGGGCTGCTTGACGATACCGAGTGGAACCTGCTCAACAAGGGCCCGGCTAGGTACCACTGCCACGCCGTCGCTCTGTTCGAGAAGGCCAAGGCATACTCCTATGTGATCGAATTCGCCGGACTGGCAATCCAGTACTCACACGCCAGCCCAGAGGCTGCCCTGGTCAGAAGCGAGATGCTTAGCCGACAGTTCAACGCGGCGACGGTACTCTCACGCTTCGACGTCGCCCATGCCAGCCTACTGGCCATGAAGGATAAAGCGATGCAGCTCTCCTCTCTTCGGAAGCTCGTCGACAAGATGTGCGAATCTTACCACAACAGCGAACTCATGTCGCTGCCGTTCCCGGGCCTACAAGACTCGATTGACGACATTTTGGCACAACGGTGCAAGGCGACCATGGATGTCCTGAGCGGCATCCCCTACCACCAGATCCTCTACTCTTGGAGGATCAAACACAACGACTATCGCGGCGCCGCCACGGTGCTGCTCGACCGCATCCAGAAGCTGCGGCACGCTGGCGAGGGCGACAAGCTCATTGGCGAAGACATTCTCGACACGGCGGTCACGAAGCAGTATCTGCTGCTCATCAACGCCCTCAGCTGTGTCGATCCGAAGCAGGCGTGGATCTTTTCCGAGGAGTTGCCGCCTCCCAATGCGAAGGAGTCGACGACCTTCCAGGGCAAGCGCAAGGTTGTCACGTTGCCGGACCTGCGCAAGCAATATCAGGACGAACTTGACCGGATCGCCGCCATTCAGAACAATCAGTTCGGATTCGAGGCTGACGATGTAATGGACATTTTGTAAATGGATGAAATGAGCAAGTGACAAGATCAAAAGAACAGAAAAAAAGGGGGCATTGCGGGCCTAGAGGGGCGAGTTGCAGTAGGGGGATGTGGTTACTTCGCAGGGGATGAAGAGCATGTGTACAAGTAATCAAGAACGCGATCCTGGACCACACAAGAATGATCCAGGACAACCAGATACCTCACGAATTGCATGGATTGGGTTTTGTTTTTCGTTAGTCGGCTAAGGTAGAAGATGAAGAAGAAGAAGAAGAAGAATTTCATTGTTTGTGTATCAGTGCAGCAGACCCCAGCTTTGTTTACCCCAAACGCCGTGACCTATGCTTAAAACTACGTGGGACGGTTCTTGACGAGGACTTTTTTCCCCCTCATTTGGCAGCAGCCACATCATACATAATAACCTCCCCCGTTTCCTTCCCCTTTATTCATCAACAGCTCATTACTTGTAAACCATAGCGTCATTCTTCAGATACTTCTATGCCTGAACAGACTGACCCATCAACTTTGGGTTCTCGGGGGCGGCGGCCATGATCATGTTAGGACCGGCGGCGGCATCGGGGGCTTGGCGGTAGAGGATGATTTCCGACTGCTTGAAATACCGCCGCGCATCTGGAGATCTGTTATTAGCTTACTTTGATTCGACTAGAGAAATGACCATGCATGGGGGGTTGTGACTTACCTTCGTCGATGAGCACAAGACTGAGGTAGTACCGGGTGGAGAACTTCTTGTTCACGTCCCGGAACGTGGGCGTCAGGTCGAAGCCGCCGAGGAAGAGGCGGATGGGGATCGTCTCTCCTCTCGAAGGCGAGCCGTCCATGATCTTGTGCCGAGAGTCAGTACGCGTGATATTTGGAACGGAGCATTACGGGGGGCAAACTCACCTCGAACCGCACCAGGGTCTCGCTCTCATTATACTGGTTCGGCGCGGCGCCCGTCGTCTCCCTCCGGATGATGGACAGCTCCATGTGTTTTATCTTGAGCCGGACGAGCAAGAAGTATATGCGCCCGACGATGACGTCCTTTAGGTGGTATTTGGATTTGGAGTACTCAAACTCAATGTGGAGGCAGTCCTCGATGCCGACGTCCATCTTGATGGACGAGTTCATCTCGGGGGGTATGCGGTACGAGTAAACCCAAATATCCTTTTCGCGGATGACGTCGGCCATGCGGCGGGAGACGGTGACGCGGACAAAGTAGCGCAGCTTGACATTGATGCCGTTGTACGACTCGTACTGCTTCTCGACGTTTTTGAAGTTGAAGTCGAACGTCTGCGGGTGCTGCAGCTCGCCCGGGGCCGCGAGCTCCTGGACGAGGGAGAGGAATTCGTAATGGTTTCCGCGGTCAAAGAACATTTCTGCGCGAGGAACATTGTCAGGATAGAGGCAAGCGAGGAAGTGGGAGCTCTGGGAAACTCACCTATCGTGCCGATGAATTGGACCTTAATGCCGGTGTGTTCTAGTCGCTTGCCGTCCTTGGGTCTGATGGTGACGGCGCCCTTGACGGACTCGCCGTCCATGTACAGTGGGGCCTTCTCGCGACGGTTCTTGTCGAGCTTGACATCGACCATGGACCGCTCGTCGGCGTCCTCTAGCACAATGTCGATGTCGACGGGGGTTGAGAAGAAGTACGACATGTTGGCTTATGCGGGGGAATGCCCGGATCTCGCGCGACTGTGTCGTTTCGATGCTCGGATATAAAGGGGAAAGGGGATCCACGGTCCCAATGGCTAATTATCGTTCGCCCGTCGACGCTGGAAGTTAAAAGATTAAGTCGGATTGATATCGAGGCGTCGGAGAAGGGGGTGTCGCGGAGCTTCAAGGCTGACGTATCTGTATCTGTACGTGCACTGGCTCGGCTTGCGCTGCTCCAGTTGCGCCAGCCCAGCTATCGAGAGTGGGCAGCAATTGGAGCTGTAGGGAATGGATCCCCCCATTGGCTGACATCGACACGTGACTGGACCAGGCAGACATCTTCAGTGATTGCGGCTGGTGCATCCGAATCTGTGGCTGAAGCTCAGCGGCCGTGTTCCGGACGGTCCAGGTCTTTCCTACTCCACCAGCTCCGGGAAGCCGGGCGGCCGACCAGAAATCCAATCACGCACAGACCATGGCTTTTGCCCTCACGTGCACCCAAGCCCTCGCTAGAACTTTTGCACCCCACACCCGAAAATTGAATCGCGACTGCCAGACTCCCCGACTTTGGAACTTTTTTGAAAGTTGAAGAATTGTCCCTCATCGCCCAACGAACGACCAGTCGCCCAGTAGATCGCCCAGCCGACAGCCCTCCTCCCCCCCGACGTCAAGATGAGATACATCCACTCCCAAGAGAGCCTGACGGTTCCCGAGAATGGTATGTGAAGCAATGCCGTCGTCGTCGTCTTCTTGACGATCGAGAGAGCACACAAAAATCACCGAAAAACTCCTCCCCCACGATGCGGCCCCCTGCGAGCTCCGCCGGGTTTTGAACTTCACGATACTATGTAACCTATCTGTCGCCATTCGCCCTTCGAGTCTCTCGCCCTTCCTCTGTCATGGTCGCAACCTCGATGCCGATGGCAACAAGGTCGCTGGCGCAAAAGTACAACACATACATCACAAATGGCAGAGGGATTGGGGAGGCTTGAGGCGGACAAAGCAACATTTGGGTTTTTGGGTTGAAGAGTTTTAGACTGTGGATGAGCTCGAAAGGAGCAGTAGTGGCAGGCAATCGAATGCATGCTGACTTGGATTCTCCAAACAGTCAAGGTTCACATCAAGTCCCGCATCGTCACCGTTGAGGGCCCCCGTGGTAAGTACAGCACTCCCCTCTCCTTCCGGTCGCGATTTCGTCTCCAACGTATCGCGAACGACCGTCCCCAATGTCCGTAGTCAGCGCAAGCAGAGCGCAACGGCTGCGGTGAGGCAGGGACCCCTCATCAAGTCAATATGGCTAACACCCGTCGCCAGGCAAGCTCGTGAAGGACCTGTCCCACTTGGCTGTCAACTTCTCCCAGCCGGTTAAGGGCACCATCAACATTGAGATCCACCACGGCTCAAGAAAGAACGTTGCCACCCTCCGCACCGTCCGCACCCTCATCAACAACCTGATCGTCGGTGTCACCAAGGGCTTCAAGTACAAGATGCGCTACGTCTACGCCCATTTCCCCATCAACGTCAACCTGGAGAAGGACTCCGAGACTGGTCTGTGGGAGGTCGAGATCCGGTATGTCGCAATCTCTCTGTACAGGTCAAGAACAACAAAGCTAACATGTTCACCTCAGCAACTTCATTGGCGAGAAGCTCGTCCGCAAGGTCATCATGCGCGAGGGCGTCGACGTCGAGGTCTCCAAGGCCCAGAAGGACGAGCTCGTCCTCTTCGGCAACTCCCTCGAGGCTGTCTCTCAGTCCGCTGCCGATATCCAGCAGATCTGCAAGGTCCGCAACAAGGATATCCGTAAGTTCTTGGACGGCATGTACGTCTCTGAGAAGGGCAACGTTGAGGAGGAGTCTTAAATGCACTTTTTTCCCACAATCAAACGTACAAATCCCTCTCGATGATATCAAACAAAAACGAAGGTATTGATTGATGTATGAGCCGGAGGAGGGGAGCAACACCAAACAAAAAGGGTCAAAACAGGTCAATGTTTTTCGAGGCAAATGCAAAAATCAAAATGGGGTTTCTGGGTCTTACACACACAACTGGCGTGGCCGGGGTTCCAATTTTACTTTGCATCGTGTAGCGCAGGGCTACCATGAATCTCATCAAAAGTCAAGAAGACATTTCCTGCTCTCTCTCCGAGCGGCTTATCCCAACAACACCTTATTATATACCCCACGCATGAGAAATTCTTCATGGTGAAATGATACCCACTTCAACTTGTCAAAACGTCCCTCTAATGTCTGCCGTGTGAATGTCAATTCCTGGACATGGCCGGAGGCAATCCAACTTCGACTTTTTACAATCTCTGCGTGTGTATGTCGGGGGAAAATGGAGCTATCGTAACAGCTGGCCGAAATTTCCAGACCATTACTCGCCATTCCCAAATTCATGATAGTAAATTTGATCACCAAAGTTCCTCAAAGTAGACGATCAACTCCTCTCCCTCACTCAGTAAACATTTCAAACGCGGTGGGCACATCACAAAATTTCCCCGACGAGGATTCCTCAGTCGACGTTACTTCACACATGACAACTATTCCCCTCTCATCTTTGAGCAATTAACTCAACGACCTACAACGACTTGGTTCACATAAGACTCGATATGACAGGGACGTTCAAAAAGGCATCAAACATCTCCCAACCCCCCAAAAAGGATGACCAGCCTGGGGGTCGAACCCAGAATCTCCTGATACTTTGTCAACGTTTTCCTCGCCCTAGACGAACGAGGGTAAACGCAATCGTAGTCAGACGCCTTGCCATTGGGCCAACCGGCCACTAGTGAAAGTGGGAGTCTGACAGAAAGCAGAGCAGAATCCGCTCTGTGTTGGCACATGGCATGCCAAAGAAAACTCTTTCACAAAGGCCCCCCGAAGGTGGAGTACTCGCAACGGCAACTTGAACTTGGACTTACATAGACCCGACACGCACACACGCAGAGACAGACGCATCAGACGGCTCAAACTCGGAAACACAGAGCGCACATGGAAAACTCGGTTTGTTCGGTGCATGATCAAAACGCTCATGCTGTGCGCAAGCGCCGCGTGTTCATCTCAACTCGTCGACTCTTGCACGGTTTCCCCGAGAAAGCTTCAGCATTGTGGCTGCAGTATACAAGTGAGCTTGAATCAACAACACAATATCGACAGCACGGCAGTGAACAAATTTGTAGTAAGTACGGATACTCCGTAGGTTCGGTCGAAGATTTGGTTTCCATTCCAATGCATTAAGTGCGTCGAGAAGTTTCGTCTATGCCATCAAATCGTCCTGAACATCGAACATGCTATGCGGGTTTGGGGGATGGGTAGACAAAGTGAGCCACGCCAAGGAAAATGAAGTAGGAAACGCTCAAATGTCCAAAGAGATGATCCTCCTCCCGTTCCACATCTCGTCGTCATTTCCAAGCCTCCTCTCTTCGTCACACTCCACCCAGTTTTCATATCTCTCGTCAATCTTTCATTTCCCCCTTCGTCGCCGAATGTCTCGTCTCTCGTGCCTTGTAGTATCTCATCGCCGTGCTTTCAAAAGCTCGGCGGGATTATGATTTCCTCCTTTAACGCCAAAAGAAAAATAGAAAGCAATATTACCAATTTTATGTACGATCAAAGCATGTTCGGGGCTTCAGCCGTCTTGTAGAGAAGGCGGCCAACAGCATATGCAAGTCAACCGAGGTTGAGAAAGAACTTCGGGTGCTACCTCCGTGAGTGACGCGTCGTGTGTGTGCCGCGTGTGTGGCCGGTGCGGTGAGTTCTTCCACCCGAGCTAGAGCTGCCTAGGTAGGACGTCAGATCCGATCGATCCCGAGAATCCCTTGACAACTCACTGGGACTTGTCCCCGTGTACGAGTAGTACGAGTCGGTGTAGCTTGACCGAGGCTTGGCCTTTGGCTTGTCCTTCTTCAGGTTCAGAAGCGCCAGCATGGTCGCTGCGGCGGCTCCCAGGCCCAACCACTTGGCACCTTCCTTCTTCTCTTCCTTGCGACGGGCAGCCGGGGCGGGACGGCCGCCGCCCGCGAACCAGCCGCCGTGAGAGGGGCGACCGGAGTGGGCCGAGGGCATGCGGCTACCGTGACGCGAGTATCTCTCCTCAACAACCTCAACTCGTTCGCGGCTGTGCTCCTTCTTCTTCTTGCCGCCAAAGATGAGACCCCACAGACCGCGGGCGATGCAGCAGAAGCAGAGCAGCATCAGAAGACCGAGACCTGCAAGCGTGCCGATGACAATACCAGCGATGGCGCCGCCGCTCAATCCTCCGCCAGTGCCCTCGTCGGTGATGGGCACGACTGTGCCAGTGCTGGTTGCAGAGGCAGCGGTGCCGGTGGCTCTGGTGCTCGTGATACGGTAGGGAGCGGAGTACTGGGTGGTAATTGTCTGGCCTCCCGATGTGATTGTGGTGACACCTCCGCCCCAGCCATCGCGCTGAGCGCATTGCCCCGAGTAGGCACAGTACTGGTAGTTGGCGCAGCAAATGCTGCCACAGGCCGTCTCTCCATCACTCTGAGGGACACAGGTGGCCCCCGTGCCTCCTCCGGCTGCCGTTGTTGTTGCAGCAGGCCAGTTTGTTGAAATCGTGCTGGTAAAGGTATTCGTCTCAGTCCATGTCGTGGTGTAAATGCCGTAGCCTCCACCTCCGCTTACGGTGCTGCAGCCAGCGATGTTATTCACGGTGTAACACTGCTCTCCAGATCCACAGCAGTACTGGGAGTCGGCTCCGCAACGCTGAACGCAATCGCGCTTCATAAACTGGTCGCCAAGGTTGTAGAAGAGGTTGTTTGCGATATTTTGGAGAGGATATGGGTGGGCGAACACCGGAGTGGGGGCGGACACCAAGAGAAGTAGGCCGGCGACCAGAGGGGCCGCCGCCGACTGCTTGCGCCGTGTCATATTTTTCTCTGGCTGGTTGGTGTCGTCAATTGCCAGGAATGCGCGAGGCCGGGAAAACGGCGAGTTGAGAATGTAAGTCGGCTCTCTCCACAATTGCCAGTCTTGTAAGGTCAATGGGGATGTCGAGAGGTCTTGTCTTGTTTCGTAGCCTCGTGGGCGCCTCAAAGATTGTGAGAGTGAGGAATGTTGCAGCGGTAGAATGAGGTATTAATGGTTGGCGGGGGACGAGAAGAAGAGGGAGGGTAAGCTGTTGGTATGGTCGAGGTGTGATTGAGTGAGAGGTGTGAGCTGGCCGACCTAGCCTGTTAGTGTGCAGACGTATCGGCAGGGACTGAGAGCTTGGAATGTGGTGTTTCTTGGATTAGATGGAAAGAAGGAACCAAGAAGTCGGGAAGAATGAAACCTGCAGGTAAGTCTGATTTAAGAGAGAGGGAAAAGTTGAGAAGGCGCTGACGGACGGGAGTGTCGTATTACTTGGTTTGGGCAGTGGAATTGTCCTTTTTTTTTTTCTTGGCCGTTGCGCGGGTCGATTCCCAACCTCCTTGGAGTCCAACCTCTTGATTTTGCTGCCGCTGTCACCAGGCGCACCCACACTTCTGACACCCACAATACCACCCTCAAATAATGCAAAGTTCCGCAGGGATCTAGCTTCACCGATTAGTTTCTGGCCAATCTCTGACGAGGGTGATTCTGAAGATTCCTCTTGAGTGTGCGATTCCGTCACACTTGGTGCTTCTTTTTTTGTTCTTGTTCCTGAAGATCGGGCGCCGAGATGTGGTTCCCCCTTCACTTAGACCAAGACACCCGGAACTGACGAGGGTTATAAGTGGCCCAGTGCGGGGAGATGCCTGTATGAGTTGGCAGAAACGGGTCGCTACTCGCTACTTGGGATGGTACGAAGACGTTCGTGACTGGCCCGGCCGAGAGCGCCTGGTTCCCACTTGTTTACCTGCAGGAGTCGGTCCGTCCACTGGACGACAATCGATAGGCAGAGAAAGCCTGTTCCAACTTCCAACAGCAGGGCACTCACGGCAGCAACAGGAGCGATTGTTTGCCCTGCCGTTTGTCACTCCCGCCGGGCCCCGTCAGGTCAGGTACCGTTTCGCAGGCTTGTTTCCTCAGGTCGCAATGGAACCGAGTAACGCAGCTAGCGAGCTCCTTCCTTCCTCCCTTGGCCGGTTGCTAGAAGCAGGCGATCCGGGCTTACTCTTACCAGTTGGTGCCTTGCAATCATTGGTAGGAACACTCGTTAGCCTATCGTGAGCTGCTTCAATGAGATCATGCTCATTTTCGCGCTGTCACATTAGTCTCATCTGCCTCGGACCTAGTGAAATGGTCATGACCTCTCGCGACAGAAGTTCCAAGGCAGAGGAAACGGTCTTTGACTCGTATAGGGCAGAGTGGCAGCGCAATGACAGCTCTCGCGCTGGCTTCTGGAACCACGACAACATCTCGGCAGGTGTCAGTCCGTGGGTTCCGCAACTTTGACGGCATCAAGTGCAAGTGAGTCTGGCCGGCGGGATGGGACACCATCACCAAGGAGGCCGTGATGTCCAGGCTAGTGACGCATTTTTAAGATTCAAGGGACCTCTTTCCGTATGTGCCTTGCATATTGGCGTGCGCCAGTCTTACCAGCAAGGGTCATGTATGTACTCCGTATTCCGTAGAAGGGAAAAGGAAAGGCAAGCGGTGTTCAGCTTCATCTGGCGAGCCGAGTATCAACGATAACTGCACTTGGAGAAATAGGGTGGTTGGGAACCGGGGCAACTGGGTCGTAGTGCTATTTGGAGCAACAGAGTGTGTACTCCATAAGAGGCAATGAGCCAAGTTGGGGAATGTGCACCGCCGCAACGCTCGATCGAATGGGTTGATCTAATTGGCTAAACATAGCTTTGGTGGGTTCGCTGGAGCTGCCACTTGTGGCTGGTGTAGAACTGGATCTCAAGCCAATCAGATGCCATCAGCCTGACGCTGTGACTTGAGCAAGGAAGTGACCCAAAAACTGGGCGGGCGCGGCTGCGGGCCTGCGGCTACGGCTTGAGAGCATTACGTTCGTCAGACAGCTTCCCGCCACAACGACCTGCGACCCTCAGCACCTTCGAATCCATCCACGCCGTCCATCCCCAAACCCCTCCCTCGGCGACATAGGTGCATCTTCAATCAAAGAAAGCCGCCCGGGTCGCTACTTCCCTCGACTCGCCGCCATGTCTCTCGATCCTCCCACCTACCTGGCCTCGCTGCAGAACAACATCCGTCAGCGGCCAATCCCCTGGGATGGCGCTGTTAGAGCAGGCACCATCACAGAGGACCACCTGGCCCGCATCCGCGCTGTCGATAAGGCGAAGAAACCCGAGACTAGAAAGGAGATTGTTGAAGGAGACCTAGATGGCTACCGCTCCCTCTTTGTTGGCGAATCTGGAAAGCCCTCGGTGCTCGAGTCCGCCGGCAAGCAAGCCAATGTCGTCCAGTATATCCTCGTCCTCTTGGCGGACCTCTTGCCCAGTATGTTCTATACCACCACTCTAAATCGCCAATTCATTACTTTGGCCAGAATCTCCCTATCCTGCCCTAGTTTCCCCTAGAGATTGAGATACCTCGGCGATCCCTTCATATGCCTCAACCCCCGCTAATGCTGTCGTCTTTCCAAATAGGTGTACCATCACTTTCAAAGGCTATTTTCAAAAACACCGACCCTTACAAGCACTTCCTACCTTTGCTCGCCCACTCGAACAACACCGAGGACCCTATCCCACTGCTTACATCGACGGCCCTGACCAAGCTCATGTCGCTCTCGTTGAACGAATCGCAGGCGACCCGAAACGCCATCCCCGTGCTCCTCTCCTACCTTTCTGGCCTTGCGAAGAGTTCTGATGCAGGCCTTCAAGATATCGCGGTCCAGGAGTACTCCTCCATTCTCTTCGGACACGCTGCGAGACAACAATTCTGGAATCAAAGAAGCGAGACGATTGCGCCCCTGATTGATATCCTCAGAACGGCGGCTGGCATTGGTAGCAACGGCAGCTCTTCGGCAAGCATATGGAGTGGTACCGCACCCACAAGAAATGCCGGATTCGAGGGTTCGCTTGGCGGCGGTGTTGGCTTGCAACTGCTGTACCACGTGCTCCTGGTCATCTGGCAGATGAGCTTCGAAGCTGAAGATATTGGTGACGAGCTTAATGAGTAAGTACAAACCCAGTCGTATGGCTCCCGCAAACTAATCGTGTTTAGCGAGTACGATATTGTCCTGCTCTACACCCAGCTTTTGCGCCTGTCTCCGAAGGAGAAGACGACCCGATTGGTTGTTTCTACCCTCTTTAACTTGCTCAGCAAGAACCAGAAGTCACTCCTCCCTACCGCAGTCCTTGCGCGACTACCTGCGCTCCTCGATAACCTGAGTGGCCGTCACCTGACAGACCCTGACCTGCTCGAGGATGCACAAAGTCTCAAGGAACTTCTTGAGGAGTATACCAAGACAAAGACGACTTTTGACGAATACGTTGCTGAGGTCGAGTCTGGTCACCTCCGATGGTCACCACCTCACAGAAGCCAGGTATTCTGGGCTGAGAATGCGCGCAAGATTTTGGAGCACGAGAACGGAGCCATTGCGCGCCAGCTCGCCGAGATTATGAAGAAGCCATGGGAGAACGACAAGGCAGTCCTCGCTATTGCATGCAACGATGTTGGAGCCTTGGTTAAGGAGGTGCCTGAGATGAGATATAAGCTTGAGAAGCTTGGTCTGAAGACCAGAGTTATGGAGCTAATGGGAGAATCCGACGAGAATGTCCGTTGGGAGAGTTTGAAGGCATTGGGTGGCTGGTTGAAGTACAGCTTCGACAACTAAGTTTGTTTCGGGAGCACGAAGAGTAGGGCTATTGGTCCAGGCTCTGTGTATGTATAAACGGGGGACAGCATTACCCAGGCAGTTTAGAGTGGACCAGGAGTCGTTCCCGCATATTCCATTGTTTTTTTCGTTGGCATACGCTCTCGGCCGAAATGGCGACGTGTGTCCGTGGATATTTCGAGTTTGTGGATGGAGCACGCCATACGGTGATGGTCAGTCGAGCAGGACATTATGACGCGGAGCCAAGGCACAACACCATTGATGAGCATCGTGGGATGCTTCTTTGGTTCCGGGGATGGCCACGGAGGCGTAGGATGGTGCGGATACAGGTGACCGCAAATCCGCCGCGGCGGATAATCACCCGAGGCGGCGAGGCCCATCATGACATTCGGGTAACGTCAGGGGTCGGTCAGCCCCCATCTCTTGAATTTTCCAGCTAGCCAGCCCAATGGGAAGGGTAATGGGACGGGTGGAGCTATGCTTAGGTAGGGAGGTACCTAAAATAAGGGGTGCGTTATGTACTCCGGAGCTTATCATACGGGCGGTACGTGCCCGGCGGGGTTGACGTTTGGCGTGGGGTGGCACGACTACGACCCCTCAGTTATTAGTGATTCTAGATCCCAGAATATCCCACAATGTGGGAAGATCCCAACAGAAACTCCACCCGAAAGAGCTCTCGTGGTTCAGGGTCCATAGCTTACCACAGCTTCCGGTCGCATGTCCGATCGTGTACCCTCCAACCCTTTTCCAAACGCCGAAGAGCCGTTCAGTGCCCACGAACAAAACCAGACACACCCGCTCTTCGCATCCGCCGCCCACGCACACCTCTCTTTTTCCCTCTTCTCTAACCGCCACAAAAGACACACACACACGCGCACACTAACGAAACATTGCTTTCTCCCCCTCTGTATTCGTTGCCTACTTGCAAAATGGCACCCAAGGCAATCATAGCTCCGTCGATTCTCGCGGCCGACTTTGGCCACTTTGGCCATGCGTGCTCCAAGACCATAGAGCAAGGCGCTGACTGGCTTCACGTCGATATTATGTACGGAGACCATACCCCGCCATGAAAAAAAAAAATCAGCACACAAGCATCTTGCGACCGCTTTTTTAGAAAGCCGGTCGCAAGGATTTTGTTCACATATCCGAGCCGAGCCATGGCTAATTTATATGGTTTTCTAGGGACGGCCACTTTGTACCCAACATTTCATGGGGACCTGGTGTTGTTGCCAAGATCAGAGGCCATGTCGAGAAGCCTATCGAGACATGGGGAAAGGGCACATTCGACTGTCATATGATGGTTTCCGAGGTAATTGCTTTCCCTTCACCCTGGGCTCATGTTTTTTTGGCGCCGCCGAAAGTCCATTTGCGGTATCTCGGCATATCACAACAAGCCTACTAACGCATGCGTCGATTTAGCCCAAGAAATGGGTCAAGGGCATGAAGGATGCCGGCGCAGACCTGTACTGCTTCCACTACGAGGCCGCATTTTCCTCCGACTCCGACAACCCAGAGGTCCAATCCGATGAGAAGACGAACCCCCGCGCCCTGATCCGCTACATCCACGAGCAAGGCATATTAGCCGGCGTCGCCCTGAAGCCCGCAACCTCGGTCGACGTTGTGTGGGAGCTCCTCGAGAGCGAAGATCCACTCGAGAGACCAGACGTGAGTTACCTATTCCAGCCCTTATTTTTTTTTTCTTACGAGCAGCTGTTACACACACCACCAAAACGGGGTCTCCGCGAAGGCGCATTAGGCTGACAGGGGTTCTCTCCACAACACAGATGGTCCTGATCATGACAGTTGAGCCCGGTTTCGGCGGACAGAAATTCATGGCCTCTGAGCTGCCCAAGGTCCAGGCCCTCCGCGAGCGGTACCCGGAGCTCAACATCGAGGTCGACGGCGGCCTGACCGGTGCCACCGTCGGCCAGGCTGCCGACGCGGGCGCCAATGTCATCGTTGCGGGCAGCGCTGTATTTGGTGCCCAGGACCCCGCAGAGGTTATTAAGGTCCTCAGACAAGCCGTCGAGAAGAAGACCGGCAAGCTCTAGAGATTCGGTATCCGAGTCCCCACTGCAACAAACCTCCGACTTTTTTTTTTTTTCTCTTTCTCTCTCACGGCCACGTTTTGACGACTTTTCCTTTTTTTGTTGGTTTTTTTTTGTTCTCTATAAAAAGCTATGGGAGCCATGATTTATGTTCAGCGTATATAGATATCAGACGGACAGCAACTTTCCGGTGGTATGCCGGAGTTACAGGTCTTTCTAATCCTAATTCTACCACATTATACACTACTATTTGGACTTTTGTCGCAGTGCCTTATCCAGGGCCGCAATAAACCCCTTGATTTCGTCAACTGCAACTGATTAGCATTACTGACAGGTCTAGTAGGTGTACTTAACTTACAACTGTTATAATGCACCATACTAACCCGAATGATGCCGTCGGCAGGATCGAGTTGCAGAATCTCCTTGATAAGCCGGTACGAGTAGAAGTGGCCCCATCGGAAAGCAAACTCGGACTCATTTTCCACGGCATTCACGAGCTCTTTGGTGCCCCATCCTTGGACCCTGAAGCTAATCGTCGGAACACGGCGGTCGGTACCGGCATCCGTCTCACCGTAAATCGTCACATCATCCCGGCCGTTGAGATACTCGAGCAGAGCAGCCTGAAGCTGCCCCTCCTGCTCGACCTTGCCCTTCCAGCCCTCGGAGTCGGGCGTGCCGAGGTACTCCAGGACCCGCGGGACGGCCGAGACGAGCTCGTAGCTACCGCCCGCGAGCCCGAGCTTCCCCTCGAGGGACTCGCTCGGGTTGAAGAAGTGGCCGAGCGAGCGCATGTGTCCCTCCTGCGCGGCGCGGCTGGCGTAGAGCATGGCCGTGTGCGGGCCGTAGACTTTGTACCACGAAAAGGCGTAAAAGTCGACGCCGAGGGCTTTGACGTCGATGGGGCGGTGCGGGGCGTAGGCCACGCCGTCGACGCAGACGAGGCCTCTGGGGGTGGACGAGTGCACGAGGGAGGCTACGGAGGCGACGTCGTGGATTGTGCCTAGGATGTTGCTCGCGTGCGTGAGGGTTACGAGGCGGGTCTTGTCAGAGAGCAAGGACTTCAGGTTCTCTGCGGTGAGTTTTGGGTTTGTGGCTGAGGCGGGCTTCCACCATTTGAGCTCGAGTTGTTGGCGGGCGGCGAGGTCGACCCAGGAGGCGATGTTGGCTTCGTGGTCGACGGCTGATATGATGATTTCGTCGCCTTTGGAGAAGGTGAAGGTGTGGGAGAGGTTGCGGAAGAGCTGGGTTGTCGAAGCTCCAAAGACTGGGGTACCCCTTAGGTTAGAAGGTTTTTGTCAAAGAGAGAATGTGGAATGGTTTTCGTGTTACCGATTTCGTCGGGGGATGCGTTGATATACTTTGCGCCGGCCTGGTAGCCTTCGCCGTAGGAGGCCGTCGCCTTCTGGCCGACTTTGTAAGAGGCGCCTAGCTGGACGTTGCTCTGTGTGAGATAGTCCCGGATGCTGAGTCGTTGTGTGAGTGATGTCTCTATATAGGAGCTTAAGAGTGTCTGGTGACATACGACTCAATGACTGTGCCTAGCGTCTGACTTCCGCCTGCATTATCGAAGAAGACTTGGTCTTGGTCCAGGGCAGGGAACTTGCTTCTCACAGCAGCGATGTCTATCTGGGACGCCATATCGAATGCTTTCTAGCTGAAGACGTAAAAGATGAATGGGAGTTTCGTCGGAAAAAATCACACAGAAATTCAAAGTGAGAAGAAATGAAGCTATCGTGATTGGAACGAAACCAAGTATTAAAGATACAAAGATTACGATAGCAACTGCGGGGCAGGGCGTAATGGACGTAAAGTGCTGGGTTCAGATGATTAGGGAACTGCCCAATCGAGGAATGAAGCGGCTTGGGAAGCCCGCAATTTGGGAAAAGCCAATTGATCTACGGATAGTGTTCCGTGGATGCATGACGTTTTGCGGGCAAAGTGCTGGCTGGCGGGGGGAGGACAGACCGTCTGACCGATTGAGGGGCAAGCGTGCGAGCGGGCGGGCAGCACGAAGGTGGACGTGTGGGGCGCGGGGTTCGGCGGTTGGGCCCGGCTCGCCCGAAGCTTGCCCGCCCGCCCTGCCATCCTCCTTCCGGGTTTTGGGTGAGAGAACCTCCGATTCCAAGCGCCGTCGCACACATTCTTTTATCTCCAATCCTTGATTATGGTTTCCCTCGACCAGAGGGAATGGTGCCTAACCTACCAACGATTGGGAGGGAATAGGGAGAAGTTGGGTTAAGGTGACTTCCGTTTATTCGACTCCCACCCACCATTTAATGCATTGCTTCTGATATAAGACGTAGCTCATGTAAATCTCAAGCGCCAGGAGCAAACGTAATGGTGCATACCTGATGTATCTAGACACCGGCATTGGCTGTCCCCGCGTCAGGCTGGCGGTACTCAATGGGTGCGCAGGAGAGCGAAGCAACCGGCGCTTGCACCGTCATGCGGACGAGTTTCTGTACAATCCAATTGTTTGAAGAGAGAGAGAGAGAGAGAGAGAGAGAGAGAGAGAGAGAGAGACCCAACCCATTTGCCAGATTTTATCATTGGCCGCACCGATACTGGACGGACGGCGGTGTACCAAGGAGCTCTCCCGACCGTTAAAGTGCCCCCGCCATATGCTGAGCGTAAGACTCGTGGAGAGGCAGCTTTGCAAGCTTTGCAGGGGCCATCGGTGGGACGGGTGCTAAGCCCATGGGACGATTTGGCGCGAAAACAGCTGCTGGGAGAAAAACTTTATGTGGGACCTCAGCCCACGTTCGGTTCCGATCAGCGACAGACAGCCCAGCGCTGGGTCTTCACAAAATATTGAAATTCTGGGAGGCTGCCATCAACTTTTCCTCCCTGATTCTTCCTTCAAAAGGTTGTCCCTACTCACCAAATCGCCCAAGATGAAGCGCAAGGCCAGTTCACGAATTGATGACAAGAGAGCGTCCAAGAAGAAGACCAAGACGAGTTAGCCATCCACCTATGCCCTACAACACGCTCCAACTGTTTTGCCCCGATGTCGTCACTAACACCGAATCTTTTTCGCACCACCCGCAGCTCTCTCGGCCGACGTCGCAAAGTCGAGATTCCGCAAGGGTCTCTTTGACAAGAAAGTCCACGACGCCTACACGAAGCAGTACGCCGAATCGAGCCCCTACAAGCACTCCGTCATCAACGGCCTCGTCGACGACGCCCTCCTCCGCTCCGTCCGCGACGAGATCCGCGAAAACGTCTCCTTCACCCCCAAGGAAACCGACATTTACAAGATCCACCAGTCGGGTGACCTCGCAAACCTCGACGGCCTCGACGATGACGCCCTCGCCAAGCTCCCGAGCCTGCTGTCGCTCCGCGACGCAATCTACTCCGAGACCTTTCGCGACTACGTCTCCCACATCACCGGCTGCGGACCCTTGAGCGGCCGCAAGACCGACATGGCTATCAACGTCTACACCCCCGGCTGCTACCTCTTGTGCCACGACGACGTCATTGGCAGCCGCAAGGTCAGCTACATCCTCTACCTCACCGATCCGGACACGCCGTGGAAGCCCGAGTGGGGCGGCGCCCTGCGCCTGTTCCCCGTCCTCGAGCAACAAGGCAAGGACGGCGAGATTGCAAAGACCCCGGCGCCGGATCACACCAAGGTCATCCCGCCCGCGTGGAACCAGCTCTCCTTCTTCGCCGTGCAGCCCGGCGAGTCCTTCCACGACGTCGAGGAGGTCTACCACGCCCAGACGAAAGCCCAGCTCGAGGCCGAGGGCGGTCGCGTCCGCATGGCCATCTCGGGCTGGTTCCACATTCCCCAGATTGGCGAGGACGGCTACGTCGAGGGCGCCGAGGAGAAGCAGGTCAAGAATTCGGGTCTCATGCAGCTCCAGGGCAACCCGGACCAGCACGACACCCCGCAGGCGCGGCCCGTGAAAGTGGATAAGCCCAAGGCCAGCCTCGAGGGCTTCGACGAGGCCGGGCTCGAGTTTTTGTTAAAGTACATTGCGCCGACGTACCTCACCCCGGACACGCTGGAGCAAATCTCGGAGCACTTTGAGGAGAACTCGAGCATCACCCTCTCCAACATACTCTCCAAAAAGTTCTCCGCCAGACTCAAAGAGTATATCGAATCTCAAGAATCCTCCAAGCAACACGCCCTCGCAGACAACGACAGCGACGCCATCGAGAAGAAGTCGGCGTGGCGCGTCGCCCGACCCCCGCACAAGCACCGCTTCCTCTACCAGCAGCCCGCGGGCGCCGACGAGCTGCGCAGCGCGCACGAGGAGAACCCGCTCACGGAGCTGCTCGACCACTTGCTCCCCTCGCGGCAGTTCCGCGAGTGGCTGCAGGTCGCCACGGGCACCGTCGTCGAGAACCACGAGTTCCTCGCGCGCCGGTTCCGTCGCGGACAGGACTATACCCTCGCGACGGGCCACGACGGGAAGCCCCGTCTCGAGTTCAACCTTGGTATTACCCCGTCCAAGGGCTGGGGCGACGAGGAGGAAGACGCAGAGGAAGAGAAGCCCGAGGAGGAGGAGGAAGAAGAAGAAGAAGCAAAGCCCAACGGCAAAGCATCAAAGAAGCGCAACAAGGGTAAAGGCAAAGCCAAAGCCGAACCCGAACCCGCACCTGCACCAGAAGAAGAAACCGAAGTCGGCGGACACGAAGTCTACATGGCAGGCGACGACGGCGAAGAGGACGAGGACGCGGCGATTTACAAGTCGTCGGGCGACGACGACAACATCCTCTTCTTCCAGGCCGCCGCGTGGAACAAGCTCACGCTCGTGCTGCGCGACAGCGGCACGCTGCGTTTTGTAAAGTACGTCGGGCGCGCTGCCAAGGGGGACCGGTGGGACGTCTCGGGCGCGTTGGATATTGAGGATGAAGATGAGGAGGGAGCAAAGAATGGTGGCGGTGGTGATGATGATGGGGAGGAGGAGTCTGAGGAGGAGTGGAATGGGTTCTCTGATTCTCCTGCCGCGCAGAGCGATAGCGACTGAGAGAGCTGCTCCGGGTTGTGTTGGTGTGTGGGTGTATACACTTGATGTATATCCCACCTGATGCTTTGGTTTTTGGGGATTCACACGGCTAGACATGAAAAGTTTATGAATTACAAAGATGATTGTCTCTATTCGGCCTCACGTATCAATTTTGATATGTTGTAATAACTTCAAGCGGAAACGTGAAAAAGGAACTAGTTTGTGTAACAAACATGCAGAAGCCCCCCCTTAACCGGAAGGTAACTGACATGATTTGATTTGCAATAATGCCATAGAGAAACATGACCCCCGAGGCTACTAGTGACTCGGAAATCCTTACAACGATAAGAAAATAAAGAACCCATAAAGATTTCGCTACCCTTTGCCCATGCTCCAAAAAAAAAAAGGAACAAAAAAACGCCTCTGTTTCTTGCAAATACACAGCTCCATGCCCGGGTTCCAAAAAAAAAAAAGTCTAGCAAATGCTTCTAGGCAAGTTGCAATGACAACAAATTGGACCAGTGACCAATGACTAGGCATCTCGCACGCTTTCTAGCTCTCATGCTTCATCTCTCTCACACACTCTCTCACTCTCTCACTCTAAAACTTCTTGAGCTTCTTCTGCGGCACCGTCTTGATGAACGCGTGCTTTAGGAAATGCAGCCACACCTTATTGTGCTTCTTCTTCTTCTTCTTTCCTCCCTTCTTACCCTTCTTGCCTTTCTTTCCCTTCTGCTTCTCTGTTTCTAGGTCTTCATCTTCATCTTCGTCGTCGTCGTCTGCGTCGTCGTCATCGTGTTCTTCGTTTTCAATCACCTCCTTCTTCTCATCTAACGACTCTTCTTCTTCGTCTTCATCATCGTCTTCAAAGTCCTCAGTAAGGGCCTTGCCTTTGCCCTTTTTCGCATTCTCCTTGGCGATGCGGTTTGCCAGCTTGACGTAACTGCGGACGGTCAAGTCCGATAGCTTGTAAATCTTGTCGGTAAAGGTGCTGTATTCAACCTCGAACGCAAAGGGGCGAGGCTTGGGCTTCTTGGACTTGGGATCCTTGTCCTTGTGGATGCCGTCGCGCCACTTGTTCCCAGATGCGTCCTTGCTCTCGTGCGTCATGTCGTTGTTGAGGTAGGTCAGGTTCGCAAAATACTGGGTGTATCCAAGGAAGGTCAGGGGCTGAGGTGCGTATGCCGGGCCGGGGCCGGTGCCTGCGGGCGGCGGCTGCGGGATGACCAAGTTGGGATCCTTGGGTTTTGTTGGCTTCTTTCCCTTTTTGCCCTTGTTGCCCTTCTTCTTCTTCTTGGCTGCATCGATTTCGCGCTTCAATTCTTCGTGAACGGGGTCGTCGTCTGATGGGAGCGATAGAGCAGGCACGGCGTCGGTGAACGAGTCGGTCCAAACCGCGGCATCCTCGAGGCCGGAAATATTGTACTCCACGATGCGGAGTGTGGGGAAGTAGTTGGGGACGATACTGGGACCGACAAGGGAGAGGTGGTACCGCTCTGCGTACTTGCCGCCCAAATCCTTTCCTGGCTTCTTCTTTTTCTTCTTCTTATCCTTCTTGCCCTTTGCATCCGATTCCACAGTGTCTTCCTCCTCTAGAGCTTTCACGTTAACGGCTGGCAATTTCGCCCAGCCTTCCCGCAACTCTGTGAGGTAGTCCTGTGCCGACTGAATTTCAAGTTCATCCTCGAAGGCTTCGCGGCCGACGTCATCATCTACCGCAAATCCACCCAGAATGTTGATGTCGATTTCCTTGGTGTCGTGGACAATGAAATGATCAATGTTCATGTGACCATAAAGCGAACCAACGACAACATCCCGATACTGCTGCATCCATAGGTTGTACTTTTGCCAGCAGGTTTCATCCCAATTCTTCTTGCTGTCGGTCCGGGCCGGGGGCACGTGGCCCATGAGGATGGCCTTCATGCCGCGCTCGCGGAGGAACTCCAGCTGCACGCGAAGCCATTCCATTTGCTTAAAACCTGGCTCGGACGGCTGCTGACAATCGTCGACACCAGCGTTTCGGTCGAAAAAGTACAAGGTGTTGAGACTGAATACGGCGAGCTTCTTGGGAATGACCTCGGTGTAGAACCAACCGCCAAACTCGAAAGAGTGGCGCTGCTCCTCGGGGATAAAGCGCTTCCAGATCTCGGCATAGTATCCTAACCACTTATTGGGCCCTGGCAGGAGGATGTTGTGCGGCAGGATGTCGTTATTTCCAAAAGTTGGAATTACAGGTACTGCCATTTTCGTGGGGTCCTTCGGGTCGCCAAACGTTTCCGCAAACTTGTCGGCGATCCATCGATTTGTGCCGAGCACCTGGCCCGGGCTACGAGGAATGCTCTCATCGCTGTCGTGGCGCGCAGAGTCGCCAGTCCATATGACGAAATCGACGTCGTCTGCAACATTCGCGGCGATCCAGTCAAAGGTCGCGTTTACGAGGGAAGATGGCGTATCGCAGTCGGACGTTTCTGCGCCATAGTAGCCGGCGGGTCCATCGCCTGAATGGCACGCGACGCCTTCTTCGGTGGAGGAGTGGGTTTTGTAGAATTGATCGGGATGGAAGTCTACGAGGGCACAACAGTCATTAGCTTTTGGTGTCGTCCCACATCTGGCAGCAAGCAGAAAGCGGTTCGCCTCATGTTGCCTTGCCTGAGCGTCACGACTGCAGTCATGTCATGCCATGCTGATCGCGGCGCCCGTGGGTGTCGTCGGGTAGCATCCAAACCTACCAGTAATGTGTAGAAACTTTCCACTTAAACGTCGAGACCCTTCCTGAGCGACTGTGTCTGCGACCTCAGAGCCAATGACGATTTGTTGCTGCCCGCTGGCAACAGGTGTTGCAATGACGCCATGCAGGAACAACTGCTGGAGCAGGGCGAGCTGCAGAGGCAGGGCGGCGCCCACTATTGCGGGTAAAGACCGCATTGCTGGGAGGAGCTGAAGAGGCGCGGTACCTGGTTCGATGTTTCTATGGTTCTGACGCACGCAGGCACGGCAGGCCGGTTGAAAGGTGAATGTTGTTGTTTGAAAAAAGAGAAAGAGACCGTTGCAACGGGGGGTGTTCGGAGAGACCCAGAGTGGGAGCGAGAAAGAAGACGGGGGGGCCAATTCAAGGTTATTAAGTCATGATTTTCCTTTGGCCGAGCTTTGGCTGTCCCCGTAGAAAAATAAATGGAAGCGCGAGCGACTGTCTGGATCAAATGGACAGGGTCTGTCTGACTTGGTTTTCTGGGCTTGGCCGTGGTCGTGACCTGGGCTTTTTTCAGGGCTCCAGGGCTGGGGCGAGGCGGTAAGCAGGGGACCGGGCAGCTGGAGTTGCTGGAATACCACCTTTGGGAATGCTGCCAGACGTGAGCGGTAAGGTACAAATATGTGTGAAAGTGTGAGTGTGAGAGACGGTATCCGTACCCAAGGTATAATACCTTACACGCAATGACACCTTCAGAGACAGAGAGAAGAGAGGGAGGGCGCAAGGGTCCACGTCACAGTTACAGCTCTTGGGAACAACCCAGCTGGTCTACCTTGCTTTGTAGGCACCGAACGTTGAGGGTAGGGAATCGCGGCTTGTTGGTGACCCTAAATAAATAACACCGGTTGAACTTGAGGGGTGATGCTCCCGCACGCCAACCGCTGGGCTTGCGTTAGAGTTGATGGGTGGTTTTTGCAAGTGGAAAGTGATGATGTCCGGTGGCGTCCAATGGTTGCACGTCCCTGCTGACTGACGGGCTGGGCAGGGGAAAGGAAGGGTCTGTGATGGTGGCACTGGTGAGAAAGGAAGCGGCATCAACCATCAACAGGTGCTCCTTTCATTCTGAACCTGGGAGCAGCATGACTATTAATGTGCTTGTCCGCTCCTTCCGATGGCCATAACGTGGTATTGGCACCTCATGCCTTCACTGCCACGACTGCCTCACACGACGATGCAGCAAGGAACATGATTCCCCGCCTTCCCTTTCCTTCCCCCCTCGTGTACGTACATACAACTTACACGCACACAGGTCGCGAGAAACACCGCAAACAAGACCATCAAGGTCCATGGCCTGGCCAAAGGTGAAACTCTCACTGGATGGCATATCCTCCGAAGTCCACCCCCATTTCCATTCTCCATAACAGATCTCCAGCACTAATCCACGGAGCACGATGGCCAGTCCACAAGGCTGAAAGCTTCAACCTTCAATCCGTAGCCAATCGAGCTGCAGCACTCCAACACGTGTGTTGGTTCCACGACACCCACTGCCCATCGAAACAACCCATGGGCTGAGACAACCACCCCCATCCCACGATATTCCATCACTGCATCAGCGAGGTTGCCGCCTGGTAGCGCCGCACCACGAGCCGGTGCCGAGTGCTGATGCGTCCTGGGGCCTCTGACCGTCCCTCGTGGACCACCCTAGGTATTCCATCCTCGGATCCTCCGCCCCTTTGGAGCGTGGGAGGTGACAGGTCGTCAGAACTGAGAGTGTGACCGTCAACATGCACAAAAGTCCGCAATGCCTCATCCTGGGGTGGGCTGGTTGGCGCGAGTCAATCCGGCACTTACTCCAACCCGTCGCTTGATCTGCCCGCTCCCCATCGTGGGGCCGCGTGATACCCCGATATACCACATACCCATGATTTCTCGAATTGTTCGACGACGTCTCGTCCGCCTGGAAGTGCCAAGACAGCTCTTCATGCTGCATCTCGGAGCGAGTCGTTGCGACCTTTCATCAGTTGTGACCGCAGACTCGGCCCGTGTCTGGTCCCCTGCTGACACTACCTTATTACGCTGACGTCATTTCCTAACACAACGGTCAAACTATCACTCTCATGTTTGCTGGTTGATCCCTTGCGCTCAGTTTAACATAGAGAGAAACTGACGGAACATGATGTTTGAAATGCAAAAGAAGGCTCACCGCATTCCATCACATGCGCTCGTGTTGTCGGGAGTTGCATAGTCACTCTAATGCGGTGTGTTCCCCTCAGATGGTCAGTTGACTGATTGTCAAATCCGATCCTTTTAGGGGTCCTGTCAACCTAGCGGGCATGAGGAACTCGAGATCAAGCATGATTGGATCATGGTTCTGCAAGTAACTTTTGCAAGCACGTACTGCCAAGTGTTTCTCATGTGATTGTCCCAGTCCCTGCCAGCCGGTGCCGCCTGGCTACCGAGTCTCTAGACTACTCGAATCACGTGCTCGATGAGCTCCGAAGACAGTAAAAAAAGCAGTGCGCAATGCCTATATGCACGGTGTTGACGGGCATGCAGGTGCCAGGCGTACCGCAGTTGATAAGAATCAAAGCAGAGATCGAGATCGCGATCGCGAGCATCGATGAGAGCCGCAGACCGAGGAACCTGACAGAGCGCTTGCTCGGTGAGGAAGGTCGTAATTTGTAGAAACGTCTGGATGGGTCAGTTCAATAGTTGCATGCTGGTAGCAGTTGTAGTCGTTGACGGTCGCGAGAAATGCCACGATAGCATCATCCAGCCACATCCTTCTGGCCAACCACGAATAGTGTAAAAGCGGCTGATTACACGGGGTGGCCGAGGCAAAGCCGCAAAGGTGAGCAAAAGCGCCGCTGCGCCGGTCCCTGCGGAAGATGGCCGTAGCCTCTCTGGGGGACCTCACAGAACCATCAGCTACAGTGAGGGCGGGGGGCCGCTTTTGTAGTAATGCAGAGCAATCAGCATCGTGAGGATGTTAAGCGAAGAACTCGGGCGTGGGCTCGGGTGTTGGGAGTATCGCCTATCATATCTCCTGCGACGACCGAGGGCGAATCCGGAACTGCGAGCTGGTCAGCTTGCGACCGAAGGCTTTCCGAGCCAGCTTGAGCTCCACTACCGCGGACGGAAGCACCAGAATGAACAGGGGGCTTGTATCCGTAAATCCACAGAGGGGGAATCAATGGAGGCTCGTCCCACGGTCCCAGCCTCCCAGATTCTCCACCAGGAGAAGGGCCCCCCACCAAAGGAGGAGACGCCCCCGGCCGCCGGCCCCCGGTTTTGCAGGCTTGAGTGAAATAAAAATTACACCAAAACAGCGTCTCCAGACCAGAAAATTTTGGTGATATTGTAATTGCCCCTGATGATTGGACGCCGCAACCCACGCATACCCCAAACATCCGAGGTACCGCACGTTAGTGCAAGAGAAACTGGTACATGATAATAATCTCCCTTGACTAGGTATTTGCGGTGGCCCATTCAGTCACGGCGACAGGAGGACACCTGAACAGGAGCCGCCGCATGCCACAGGCTACAGCTGTCGTGGAGTCTGGACTCGTGATGCCCGGAATGATTTCGCAACGAACCGTTTCCATTCCCCATTGCGGAACTTTTTCTTGTACCATGCCGGTAGCATAATTCTCTTGGATCGAGGTCCTGTCGCGGGGTCGGTGAAACAGTCTCCAAGTTGCGTGGCTGGACCAGATGTTGACGATTTTGGCTCGACACCTAGCCACAAGTACCTCAAGCCTTAGTAAGGAGATACCTTTAATCTGTAGCCATCCTGCGCGCTGCTGGACTGACAGGAACCGAGCCGGCTGGACGGGAGCTCCAGGTCTACAGCGAGGTAGCACTATCCAATCGCCCAATGACAGCCGTGTACAACAGTATCAGGTACCTTTCAGCGGCCAAAGTTTTCGGGACATGACTCTGGCTTCTGCAGCCCTGAACGAGATGCAGACTGCATTGCAAAAGTCTGAGACGAGGTCCTTGCGACTGAAATCTACGTCCTCGCGACCTCAGGTTTCTCCGCATGGAGCTGTCCTGGCTTCTCTGGGCTTGTCCTGGTCGTGTGCAATGGACGTTGTCCAGCCGCGTGGGGAAGAAACGGAGAGCCTTGTCGTGGTCGCTCAAAGTCCGGATATCCATAGGTAGCTTGACGCAGGAAGAAGAAAAGGCCGGGCAGGCGGGTGGTGGCCGGCGTTGTCGGGTAAGGCAGCACGTATCCGTCGGTACCTCAAGAACAGAGTATGCGTGGTAGGGAACCTTGCTCCAGGTACAAATCTTCACATGTGGAGGCAACGTGAGGAGCGATGCGGTCGGGTCGTCGCAGACTCGCAGCCCAGTGCTGCAGCAGCGGTAGCCCCGGGGTCTGGAGGCAGCACACCCGTCTTCATGGGGATTAGCCTCGTCTCCGGGCGGAACCTGACATGAGACGGACAAAGTCCAGTCTGTTCTCTTCTGCTTCTTGATCGGCCGTCTTGGTGTGTGATGGATGAGCGGACGGGCGGGCGGTCGGATCAAGGTAAGGTATCGTATAGGCGTGGATACATGCTGTCAATTGAATTGTGCATGATGCTCCCGTTCTCATAGCGAAAGTCCAAGTCAAGACGGATGAACGGGACTGTGACCATATTCCAGAGAGGCCAAGAATTGGGGTAACAAGTGTACCAACCAGCTCAAGGTGACGGCATGCAGCGCAAACAGATGTCGTGGGAATGTTTATCAGTGACGTTTTTGCACCTCGATTCCTTTCACTGGGCGTCTTGCCATTCGCTATTCGCCGTTGCCGTACGCCGTATCCGTCCGAGGCACTTGCTCCTGTTCATGTCATGCCCCGGCTCATTGGTCTCTCTGTAGATGCTTGCACCTATTTTGCCGTTGCCTTCGACTCGATCCTGCAATAGGCCAACCATCAGTCGCCTGGTGAGGCAAATCAGTCGGTGGATGAATATTGATCAAGAATCAGTACACTGTACACCGTGGGATGGAGATGTGTACGAAATTTGTGCGCGATAGAGAGGGGCCGGCCGAAACAGCGATACAAATGCAAAGGTCGTGAGCGAGGGGGATGCAGAGGGGGAAAAAAAAAAGACTCGAGAATTGGTACATGTGGCTTTGGACAGGGGGGTATTACCTCTGAGCACTGAGCAGTTGCGGTGCAAGGTCTCCGCAATGTAGCAGGCACGAGCAGGGAAGACTGCGATACGGAGCAGGGGGAAAGGGATAGAATGGGGGGTACATTCGGAAGGTACTTTCCTGAGGTCGTCGTTGTTCCCGTGAAAGTGAAGAAAAAGAGCCCCACTCCAGTGTCGTTGCTGCTCTTTGCTGCTGAGTGAAAAATAATCCAATCTCGCTGATTCGTCCGTTGGCCCGCCGTCGCCTTCGTCATAGCCGAGGAGCCCCACTCTGGTCGACCCTGTTCCTCAGCACCTTCTCCACAGTCCACACAGCAGCGCGGCAACCAGACGGCCTGCGCCCAATTTGAGCCGAGCACGCACCGTGGCACCGTGGCCACCCCCCCAGAAGCTGCCGCGGAGAGTGCCCAGAGCGAGGTGAAAGAAGGCAAAAGTGAGAGTGATCCGGAAAGAAGGTGCGAGTTTTTTTTTACTGCCACCCCCATCCGGAAAGACCTAGGCCTGGTTTGCTTTGCCGCCTTTCTTCTACTACTTCTCGTCCTCGTCGGAATTTCTCTCCACCTTCTTGTTTTCTTCCTCTTAATATTCTTTTCCTCTCCTCCATCCTCACAAACAAAGTCCCTTGAACAGGCAAGGGCACTTGAGATATCTGTTACGAGCTTCATCACAGCTCGGACAACTCTCCACTCCATCTCAATTGATCAATCTGATCGCTGTTCGCAGTGTCAACACCAACCATGTTGGCTTCACGACAGCTCCTGGGCTCTGTTGCCCGGAGCCGCACTGCCGCCAGTGCCCGTCTGGGACTGCGTGGCATGGCTACTGTCTCCGACTCTCCTCTTGACCGCAAGGTATGATAGTTCCCCCCCTCTGACACTTGAAAAACCATTGTCTATGGCCTCAGCTGTTCTAGACAGCATAGCCGGATGCTTCTTTGGCATCGCGTACGTGTTTGCTCGACATGACAAGGGTGCTGACTCGCCGAAAACAGGTCAAGCAGAACATCCACGAGGAGGGCAACTTCATCAATTACAAGAAGATGTCCGAGAACCTGTCCATCGTTCGCCAGCGTCTCAACCGCCCCCTGGCTTACGCTGAGAAGATTCTCTACTCCCACTTGGACGACCCTCACGGACAAGAGATCGAGCGTGGTGTCTCATACTTGAAGCTCCGCCCCGATCGCGTTGCTTGCCAGGATGCCACCGCCCAGATGGCTATTCTGCAGTTCATGTCTGCTGGCATGCCTTCCGTTGCCAACCCCACCACTGTCCACTGCGATCACTTGATCGAGGCTCAGATTGGTGGCTCTAAGGATCTTGCCCGTGCCGTTGGCATCAACAAGGAGGTCTACGACTTCCTTGCCTCCGCTTGCGCCAAATACAACATCGGTTTCTGGAAGCCCGGCTCTGGCATTATCCACCAGATTGTCCTCGAGAACTACGCTTTCCCCGGTGGTCTTCTTATCGGAACTGACTCTCACACTCCCAACGCTGGTGGTCTTGGTATGTGCGCTATCGGTGTCGGTGGTGCTGACGCCGTCGATGTCATGGCCAACCTCCCCTGGGAGCTGAAGGCCCCCAAAGTCATTGGTGTCAAGCTCACTGGTGCCCTGAACCCCTGGGTCACTCCCAAGGATATCATTCTCAAGGTTGCCGGTATCTTGACTGTCAAGGGTGGTACTGGTGCCATTGTTGAGTACCACGGCCCTGGTGTCGACACCCTCTCTGCCACCGGTATGGGAACCATCTGCAACATGGGTGCTGAGATTGGTGCCACCACCTCCCTCTTCCCCTTCAACGAGTCCATGCACAAGTACCTCACCGCCACCAAGCGTAAGGACATCGGTGACTTCGCGCACACCTACGCCAAGGAGCTTCGCGAGGATGAGGGTGCAGAGTACGACCAGCTCATCGAGATCAACCTTTCCGAGCTCGAGCCCCACATCAACGGTCCCTTCACCCCCGATCTGGCCACCCCCATCTCTAAGTTCAGCGAGGCTGTCAAGGCCAACAACTGGCCCGAGGAGCTCAAGGTCGGTCTCATCGGATCCTGCACCAACTCCTCCTACGAGGACATGACCCGCGGTGCTGCCATTGCTCGCGACGCTCTCGAGCACGGCATCAAGTCCAAGGCTATCTTCACCATCACCCCCGGTTCCGAGCAGATTCGCGCCACCATTGAGCGCGACGGTCAGCTTCAGACCTTCGAGGAGTACGGCGGTATCGTCCTTGCCAACGCCTGTGGTCCCTGCATTGGTCAGTGGGATCGTCAGGATGTCAAGAAGGGCACCCCCAACTCCATCATCTCTTCCTACAACCGTAACTTCACCGGACGTAACGACGGTAACCCCGCCACCCACTCCTTCGTCGCCTCTCCCGACATGGTCGTTGCCATGACCGTTGCCGGCAGCCTGCACTTCAACCCCCTCACCGATAAGCTCAAGGACAAGGACGGCAACGAGTTCATGCTCAAGCCTCCCTCCGGAGACTCCCTCCCCAGCCGCGGATACGACCCCGGCCAGAACACCTACCAGGCCCCTCCCGCCGACCGCAGCACCGTCAATGTCCAGGTCTCTCCTTCCTCCGACCGTCTTCAGATTCTGTCCTCCTTCAACGCTTGGGATGGCAAGGACGTCAACGACATCCCCATTCTGATCAAGTGCAAGGGCAAGACTACCACTGACCACATCTCTATGGCCGGTCCCTGGCTGAAGTACCGTGGCCACTTGGACAACATCTCCAACAACATGTTGATTGGTGCCATCAACGAGGCCAACGGCGAGGCCAACAAGATCCAAAACTTCACCACCGGCGAGTGGGACGCCGTCCCCGCCGTTGCCCGCGACTACAAGGCCAAGGGTATCAAGTGGGTTGTCATTGGTGACTGGAACTACGGCGAGGGTTCTTCCCGTGAGCACGCTGCTCTCGAGCCCCGTCACCTTGGTGGTCTTGCCATCATCACCCGCTCTTTCGCTCGTATCCACGAGACCAACCTGAAGAAGCAGGGTATGCTTCCCCTCACTTTCTCCGACCCCGCCGACTACGACAAGATCAGACCCGAGGACAAGGTCGACATCCTCGCTACCGAGCTCGAGGTTGGCAAGCCCCTGACCATGGTCGTCCACCCCAAGGATGGCAAGGCCTTCGAGGTCAAGCTGTCCCACACCTTCAACGCCCCCCAGATTGAGTGGTTCAAGAACGGTTCCGCTCTTAACACCATGGCCAAGTCCGCTGGCAAGTCATAAACGGACAATGTTACGTTAGCGATACGGGTCAGGGCGATATGTGGTTAGGCGGTGTAGGCGTACCTCTTTTTATTAGCATGTTCTGGGGTGTCGGTCGGTATAACCTAAGTGTATGGCCGCGTTATGCCCTTTGTTTTGGTCGGGCAAATACCTCTGGGACTATTGTTTTTTCTATGTTATGTAGGCCATGATTTCCTAGTATGTACAAATTTGAAACGTTCAAACAAAATTCTCTCTTGAATGCTGTGTGACAATATGTCAGCAATTTCAATGGTATTTGGCATCGTAAACTCACATGCAATCTTACTGCGTATAGCCAATGACTTGACGTACCACTCCAAAAGCACTCATTCGAGAGACTCAGGACGAATGACTGAACTCACTGTAACGCTGTAGCAGGCACGTGATGATAAGAGGTGGGTGCGTCGTACAACAGGGGTCTTATCTAACATTTTTGAGATCGTCCGAAGAGGTCCGAGTGGACCGGGAGCATGCGACAAGTTGTCTACAATTTCTCAACTGCAGCAAAACATACCATCTACTTGGTGCCAACTCGAGCTGACTCAGATGCCTCGTACGGTCGACTTGACTGAATACTAGAACGACTTTCGATTTTGAACGAGCTGATCGGTGCTTGCTGGACCGCCAACTTACCACCCGACCCTCGACCCTCGACCGACCCCTCTAGATCCCGTGAATCCCGGAGGCGGCGGGCGCGATGGCTTCCAACATAACGTCCTTCAGCACCCTTCGGGCTCGCTCTTACATATTCCGTCTACCGCTATTCACGCGCATAGTTTTGCTGGTGATCATCGCCGCGTGGTTCGCCGGTCTTCAAAGTTCTTGGGATGTCAGGCATTGGGGCGCCCTGATACCTGATCAGCTGTCCTTTACCTCTTGTACGCCCCCTTTCCTGCCATGCGGCTCTCTCTCTCTCTCTCTCTCTCTCCACGGGCGCGGAGTTTAACTAACTGTCATTTGGCCGCAGCATACCGAATGAACACATTTCCCTTCGTTCACGTTAACCTCATTCACACGGTCATGAATCTGGCGGCTCTCGCGCCGTTGATGGAGCGGTTCGAGGCGGAATTCGGCACCTTGACCTCAATAGCCCTTTTCATCGGCCGTAAGATATAACCCCCTTAGTCTCCTCTACAAGGTGCAGACGACTAATCTGTCGCAGCTCTGAGCACAATTCCAGCTATTCTCTACGTCTTGATCGAACGCTTCCTCTTCAAGGGCAACGTCGAAGTAATGGGAGCTAGGTAAGAACCATGACACTCGCGAGGTACGGGAAATAAACTAACGAGAGAAAACATGATTGTAGTGTCTGGGTCTTTCTGCTCCTGGGCATCGAGGCAATCCGAACCTACAAGACGAACCCCCACCTAACGATTGCGACATACTCGATTCCCACGTGGACAACACCCCTCATCCTCATCTTGGTGGTTACAGCGCTCGTTCCCGGTACCAGCTTGCTCGGTCATCTCTGCGGCGTCTTGGTTGGATATCTCTGTAAGAGACACTTGCCCGTCCCCCTCTCCCCCCCGTCTTGCTAGAAGACAGCACATGACTAACTCGAGATTTACTTTTCTCAGTCGGCCTCGGCTACCTCAAGTTCCTGAGCCCACCCGAAAAGGCACTCCGATGGATCGAGTCGAAGCTGAACCTCCTCGGCCGACTGCCGCACTACGTGAGCGTCGACCAAAAGACGTACGGGCGGTTCGGCGTCCTGCCTACCAACAGCCATGCTGGGGGCGGCAGTGCGCCGATTGCGCTTGTTGGCACGACGCAGAGACTTGGACCATGAAGGGGACGCATTATGCGTGTATGTGTGTGTGTATCTGTGTGGAAGCTTGTAATACTACATGGCATACTGCCGGGCCAGGCTGCATTTGCACCTTGGTCGGAGTTTGGAGTTCATAGTGCAGGCAAAAAGTGGCATGTGTATAAGTTGGGGGTAGATTCTTGCTTTGTATTACAAGTTCTCTATGTTTACTTATGATTGTAACCTACCTAATATGAAGATTCTCGTATGTCCCATAAATACTGGCCTTTACTGTGGCATTTGCATACAAACGCGATGTATGGCTCGGAGCAGAACGACCGCTAAATACCTTAGCGGTCTCGCGAGTATTTGTTACTCGGGGAACGTTTAATGTTGAAGTTGATATACTTGCGTGCAAGTGTAAGCAGTGTCTAGATCGATGCCCAAGTCAGCACAATGAAATGGTCCGGCTACCTTGGCAAACCGCCATCTGCCATGAAAACCAGGCCCTTTTTCGCATAGAGAAGGCCTCTACAGGGAAGATTCAAGCTGCAAAGGTCAGGCAGGTATAGCCGGAAAGGAAAATATTGGATTGTCGAAAGCATAACGAAATTCGGCTCATATGCCTTTCATCCCACTCTTCCAACAGTCATGGAACTAAAGGTGAAGACGACGGGCCCCCCCACTTCATCCATTGCTCTTTGGGCTAGTCCAGATCTGCTCTAGCCCCGTTTGTTAAACGCTAATAAGAATTTCTGCGTTCGTTCAATCTTTTCCCCTTTTCTCTCTTCACATTCAACGGAACACAATCCTGTCAACATAAGCTGCTAATTAATCTCCTCCATGTTTGCCGCACTCCAGGATACCGTTTCAAGAGTATCCAGCCACTCGTTTGAGGGTCGTCATCGCTTTGCGCTTCCGTGATGGCTTCCCATGAAGAAGTGGCTACATGCCTCCAACCAAACATTGAAACTTGCCGTTGCTTTTTAAGTCTTATCAGATGCCCTTTGCAACATTTGACAGGTTTTTGAGCAGACGTCGTGCTCTGTCCCAACCACTGTTCATCCGGTGTCAAGCAAGAAGAATTATACACAAGGTAAATGAAGGCCAAAGTTGAACGCTAAAAGTGCTGGATATCTTTTTTAAAAATCTTCTATCGATACACCCACCCTGCGAACACTACGCAGGTGCGGGAGTCGGTCCCTTGAAGTATTTGCTCGGAACCAACGGCATCTTTGACACCACGGCTCCCCTCTTCTTGCCTCTCACCACAACGTCTAACTCGGTGCCCGACTTGTGCAGACCCTCCTTGACGTATCCCATGGCAATGTTCTTGCCCAGCGTCGGGCTGGGCGAGCCGCTGGTGATAACGCCGACCTTTTCCCCGTCCTTTGTAAAGATCTCGGCGCCCTCGCGGGCCGGCGCGCCGGACACCACAAAGCCCACGCGGCGCCTCTCGATCCCGGCACCGCCTTTGCTCTTGGGCACGAGCTGCTTGTTAATCACCTCGGCGCCGTGGAAGCCGCCCTTTGTGCGGCGCTCCTTGGGGATGATCCACGACAGGCTGCCTTCTACGGGCGTCGTCGAGTCGTCAATGTCGTGGCCGTACAGGCACATGCCCGCCTCGAGGCGCAGGCTGTCGCGCGGGCCGAGACCCGCGAGCTGCAGCCTCTCCGGGCCGGCGACTTGCAGCAGGGTCTCGGCGATGGGGCCGGCCTCGCCGTTGGTGGACTGGAAGGAGATTTCGAAGCCGTCCTCGCCCGTGTAGCCTCCGCGGCTGATCATGGCCTTTTCCGGCGTCGACTTCCACTGGCCCCCAGGGCCATCCTGGTACCGGAGGCGGGCGAAGCCCGTGTTGCCAAAGTAGAGGGTGCTTAGGTCCAGCCCGTCCGCGGGGTCGAGGACCTCTTGGAGGATCTCGGCGCTCTGGGGGCCCTGGAGGGCGACGAGACCGTAGCCCTCGAGGACCTCCCACCAGAAGTCGGTTCCCTCTGGGTTCTGGAGCGCGGCGGTGTGCTCGGTGAGGTAGGCAAAGATCTTTTCGCGCGTGCCGGCGTTGGAGACGACGGCGTATTCGTGCTCGCCGAGGCGGGTGATCATTGTGTCGTCGACGATGCCGCCCGTGCCCGGGTGCAAAAAGGTGCTGAGCTTGCTCGTGTTGTACTCCATGTCGGCGACGCTGGAGGGGGTGACCGTCTCGAGGAAGGCGGCGGCTTTGGGGCCGGTGAAGCGGTGCTGGACCATGTGGGAGACGTCAAAGAGGGAGGCGTGAGTGCGGGTGAAGTGGTGGGATTCGGCGAGGGATTGGCCGGCGTACTGGACGGGCATGTGGTGGCCGCCAAAGATGACCATTTTGCCGCCGTGGGCGACGTGGAAGTCGTAGAGGGGCGTCTTGTCCTGCTTAGAGAAGGCGGCGAGCTTTTCTTTCCAGTTGGCGCGGGAGGACGAGGAGGAGCTGTAAAAGCGGGTGTTGTGTAGCTGTGGTGATGCTCCCGCCGTTCTCGGGGCCGGGGCCGCGGTGGAGGAGCGGGAGCTTAGTCCGGCGACGGATGCGAGGGACCGGCCCTGGCGAACGGGAGAGGCCAAGAGGGGCCTTGCCGTCCGGGCGGCTGCTACCAGTCTTGAGCGTGTCATTTTCAGTAGTCCAATTGAGCTGGTATATTCGTGAGAAAGATTGAGAAAACTGAAGAAGGACAGAAGGACTCAAGGTTTCAAGAGGAGGAGGGGAGGAGGAGGAGGCCCAAGGTATGACGGAGAGCTTTCCCTTGTACCGATAAGGTATTCGGATGCGATAAGATGAGGCGGGTCCGAAGCTGGCCGAGCTCTCTGGCGTTTGATTGGTGAATTGGGCGGAATCGTCTCGGTCCAGGATCCGAGCGCTCGGTCTGCCACCCGCCGACCGGCGGTCTCGCACTCTGAAGTCCTGGGTGTTGGTTGACGGCGGTCGGGTCTGTTTCCCTTGCGGCTTGTTCGACGGGCAGATAGCCGCGCGGTCTCTTATCTGCGTCTCGCATGCGGCACACAGTCGTCTCGTTACTCTAGTAGCTAATCTGCCCCCGTTTGTAGAGAGAGGTTAATCTCGAAGAACAACTTCCGAGTCATTGGCGCACGTGGGCTGAGTGCAGTCGATATTTCGGTGCTGGTTACCTCGTTGAAGAGCTGTGATAGTTGCATTACAAACATGCGACCTCAATCTGTTGGGTTGGTGCTTGTCGAATGCCTCTCTGGCTGTCGTACGGGTTTCGCCTTCTGAGAGTGAATATCGCTCCACCGGATAATATCGAGCAAACATCACTAGGTTCATTTCTCTTTCTATCGGATCAAAGAACCCTCTTCACTGGTTCCCTTCGTTCCATGCTAGTTCTGTCACTTGTGCGCTGCTTGCTGGAGCAGAACTCGAAGGCTCAACCCGAAAAAAGGGCTGAAGCGAGAGGCTACGCAACCTAGGTGGTCGGGTCCTTCCATCACTCACTCACTCATACCAGGACCCTTTCCAAAGTCTGGTTGGAGATCAAAGGAGAACCCGAAGGAGTGGGAAGCAGGCGGTAGGTAGTTGCATGCGTGGCCCGAGAGCGTAACTAGACTTTTGGGCTAACGGTTTGGACAGTCAATGATACCAAGGCCCACAGTTGTCTGGCTTGCTCAACTTGCTGCTTTATCTGATAGTCGTCCTGTCGGAATAGGCTGTTGCCGCTCTGACGAAAGAGCTGAACATGCGGGAGTCAATTAAACTTCAACTATCGACATCCATCGGCTTATAATGCAACCGAGTTGCGAAGTCAAAGAAGACAACCATGACTGCCCAGCTAAGTAGCTACCCTGGCACCCTGGGAGTTGCGGCGGTTGAGCTTGACTAAGAGATTTGTTAACTCCCAGACCCGTGGAAAACCGACAAAACACAACACAGCTTTCCATCGTCAATATCCCTGCAACATTGGTTTCTGAGACAGCAGGCAAAGTGCGGCTGAGAAAGTCAAAACTCACCCAGCACTCCCGGTGTCGTATTCAAAGTTGGAAAGAGAGAATTGGCGCCTGGCTCGAAAACTAATAATCTACTCCTCTTGGCTGTCCGGATGTGAAAGGATATTACCCACGTGAAGGCGCGGGGGAGTCTCAAAAGCCACGAAAAGCCCAGTACAAGGCGTGTTTCCAATCGCCCATGGCAAATCTCGATGACAAGAAAGCGGGTTTCTCTCCATGGACCTCGAAAAGCCTATACCATTCTCAGACACAAGGGATCGGCATTCGCCGTACAAATCGATGGGTCGCAGAGCTTGAGATTAGCACCAGTTATGGAGCGGGAAGCTATACCACTTATACTATAATAGCACGTACCTGGAGCGAAGCTCCCCACAACAGGTCGATTGAGGCAAAAAGGAACCGTGGGAAACGTGGGAACCTCGGGCGCCCACCACCGGCTCATCACGCCAGGCTACAATGAACTCGTGCTTCTTAATCAAGTGATGGTCGCGACAATGGCGTGAATACCGACAACCTCAACTCGTGCTTGTGATCAGGCCGCAAGGGAAGAAGAAGGAAGAAGCAGCAGAGCGTATTCGTATGTACTCGGTAAATCCGTACATGAGACGGAGAAGCCACAGGGCGGCGCCACGTCGAGCTTGCAGGGAGCACCGTGGCGGGCATTGCGTGGGTCACTCGCCACACCCAAAAAGCCATCGGTCGACGGGCAAGCCATACAGTTAGTCTCGGGCGTGGGGTCGCGTCGAAGAGGGAGGGGAGGTTCGCGCGAGGTTCGATCGCAGGCACACAGCTCGATGGTCGTAGCCACACTTGGATGGACAGGGAAGCATGGTTGGACCAGGAGGGAAGAGCCCGCGAAGCCACAAATCGGGAGCCGCCTCATGTTTCTCCAAGTCTCACTCTCTTCAATTCCCACCCACTTTAGACGGTCTTTTATGAGGAAAAAAGAGGCTAATACCTACCTACAGCACTGTGGCATCTGGCACCCTCGGCAAAGCGAACCCCCCCCGCAAAAGCTCTTTTGCTGGGATGTGACCCCTGCTCGTGGTCCATTGCTCTCGAAGTTCCGAGACTTGAACATTTTCTCGACGCGATCCAGGCCTAGGTCAACTCCGTTTCTCAGGGCTCCCTTTCGCGACCGTTTGTTTGTACGAGTTTACTTACTAATAGTAGGTATCCGTACGAATAGACTGTCGATGCACGGGTGGCTGTTTCGGCAGATTGCAAACCAGGCGGATACAGCGTCGCATTCACAGCAGAATCGTGAAATTGCTTTACATCCAGGACCTAGCAGTCTAGCACGTACCTTGGGTACTGGAAGTATCCGTAGAGAGTCTATACTTCGTAGCCAAACGGGCTTGCCTTCCGCTGAGTGTCCGCGGGATCCTTGTGCTGGCAGGTGCTAAAGTCCTTTCTTTATTCTGAACCTCTTCATATTCATTCGTTAGGGACTATCAGTAGGTATGAGTCGAGGTTCAAAATTCAACAGAAGGAAAAGGTACTTACGGATACACGTATCAAAGGTATTTGACGTGCTGGGTACCTTAGCCTCTCTAGCCCCTGTGGCTCAGCCAATGGCCGCCCGCCAGCACCGTCCCGTCCGGTCGTCGCGTTCCCTCTTTGCTCGCTGGTCCCTTCCTCGCTCCGTCCGCTCCATATCAAATTTCACGTCGTGCTCAATTCCCATTGCGGGCTACTGTTGCTCTGCCTCTTGTCTCTGCCTCTGCATCGTGATCTTTTTTGGTCTACTCTGCTGGGGCCCATCCTCTTCGCCTTTTTTCCCTCATTTACTCCTCCTAGACTGCCACCCACACCGAGCACCGAGCCTGAACCCTGAGGTCAACCCATTGCCATCTTGCATCGCGGCTTGCGGCTTGCCCGTCAATTCGGTCTAGCCCCATCCCATTCCCAACCGACACGGATACGGTTGCCTCATGTCATCCTAATTTCCGTTCCATTCGCTCCCAAACGGTCGACTCGCATTGCCCTTCCGTCTTCTGTCGCCTCCCTCAGTCCCCATTGCATGCTGCTGTCCCTCTTTTTCGGACGAGGATCCACAAGCAGCTGCACTGCTGAGCGGCAGACCGAGGCCATACGCAGTACGCAGTACGCAGTCCAGAACGGCTGACCACCACCGTATCGGGACACCCATCGCCTCACCACCAAGGGACCACCCCCCAACCAATATATACAACCCGACTGCATCGCTCCCCCCCCCCCCCCCCCCGGCCACAATGTCCACCGAACCTTCCCCTCGTGCTGTTCGATTCTCCAACGGAGACGACGACTTGCGCTCAGACAAGATCATGCCCCAGCGACCAGTTGCCATCCCCGTCGACTCGGACAATTCTGCTTCCTCTGGTGAATACCAACCCGACGACCCCCACGCACTCGAACGTCAAGATGAACTCGGTTCCCTCGCCAGGTATTCTGAAGGCCATATCGCTGGCTCCATGTCCAACCTCGTCCAGGCCGCCGTAGCCAACGGTACAACCCGTAGTCTACGAAGCAACGCCAGCGACGGCGACGCATCCTACACCAATGGCGCGAGCAAAGTTCAACGACCCAGCGCTCCCGCGAGGACACCTTCCAACACATATGCCCCGGCCGCCCACCGCAGGCCGCAACCTGCTCCTTCCTTCGTCGAGTCCGTCCGAGCATCATCGAGAGGTCGACCTCGTCCTAGCGAAAGGTTCCGCCAGCAAGAGAGGGCATACGTGCAGAGGTTAAGGCAAGATCACAACGATGGCTACCCATTCGATGGCGGATACGTAAATGGCATCACCGGTATTGGCCAAGGCGCCGACTCCGACTCAGAGGGAGAGACGCCCTCTTCAGAAGGACCCTTTGACGACAGATACGACCAGGAGACCATCATGTTCTACGGCAACGACGATTTGCAACCTACAGACGAAGATCTAAAGGATCCGACAAATCGAGAACGACTAGAATGGCACGGCATGCTGGAAGCTGTTCTGACCGGAGACGTCGTCAAGCAAGAAAAGAAGCGGTTGATTGGATCCAACGAACAAGCAGTAGGAAAGAGCGGGCAAAAGGCAGAGCTGTGGCTTGGTATTCGCTCAAAAGTCTGCGGAAGGCATCTTCCAGTGCAGAGACGGATGGTCGAGGAGGCTCGTGCGGCGCTGGACCGCACACTAGACGAGATTATCAACTTCTCTGTCAAGGGCGAGAGCGAAGCTGGAAAGCCACCATACGAACAGGTTAAGGATGTGGTCAAGAAGATTGATAAGGCCGAGAGCCTGTATCCTTCTTGGACCTCACTGGCAGCTGAACACCAGTCGGCAAACTCCCCACTCTTCCACGAGGCGTCTGAATCCATCATTGCCTGGTACAACACCAATGAGATGATTAACACCGAGCTTGCCATTCTCAAAAAGTGGGTTGGAAACGAAGAGCTAGATTTCACTCGCATACGACAACGTTCACCTGTAGGCAATGGCATCAGCGATGAATCCTCATTCCTCGACCGCTTGATGAAGGAGGACGGCTTGAAGTCACTATATGACGAGGAATTCGACGAAAAGAACAAAGACGCACACAAAGGCATGTTGCCTGGCATTTCAACCGTCATCACCAAATCCAAACAGACGCTCATTCGGAACTTCGCCGCCTTCCAGAAGCGACATCTCCCACCATACATTGAGGAGCTGCTTACGCTGATCAGCTTCCCGTCCCGGTTGATTGAAGAAATCATCAAGATGCGCCTCGCTTACGCCAAGAAAGTAAAGGAGTCTGCGCAGCAAAATCCGATGATGCAGGATCAAATGATCAACCAGTTCCAGTTACTTCTCAAGCTGGCAATCCGCATCAAGCTGGAGTGCTTGGCTGTCACACAACCAGAGCCCGGTTGGGAACTTCCGCCCTGCATCGACGAGTCTTTCGATCAAGTAGTGCTGGATGCCCTGAGGTACTACTTCAAGATGCTCAACTGGAAGCTCAGCGGCAACAAAAACACCTTCAAGGAGGCTGAGTTGCTGTTTGCCGAGTGGGACTTTGCCAATGAAATTGGTAGCCACCTTCTCGGTGGCGACGTTGAGGTCGCTGAGCAGTTCAGTTCCCTGACCTTTAAGGCTATCAATCGTCTGAGTGTCACATTCGAGAAGGAGCTCCAAGTCAAACCTAAGGAGAGCACTGCCGAGATGAGCAAGAGATACAAGCAGTGCCTGGACTCGGTCCGAGTTAGACAACGAATGCTGCAGCGTTTCTCTCGCATGCTGAGCGAAAACTACGAAAACGCGTCCGATTTCAGCATATCCTTCACACCAGAAAAGCTGCAAGAGTTTTATGACAGATTAATCGCATCTGGCCACTTCCAGATCTTTACGGATCTCTACGAGCAGGAAGGCATTTTCATTATAGCTTCGCCCTCATTGATGGATAGGCACGACGCGATCCATTCCATTTTGGGTCTGAGCTCGCCGGAACAGTTTGCGGAGGATCCAAGTGACCCGTATCTGTTGATCCTTCGACCTGAGAGCAGCCCACACTGGTTCGGCGACATTGTGCAGCTTTCGGTCCGGGAACGAAACGTCGATCTGAAAAAGGGCCACATGAGACTAGTCGCAGCCGCTGCTCAAGCGCGACTCGTCAATGCCAGGAAAGCCTTCATCGATGCCGTCGACATGCATGTCGACCTTGTAGTGGAACAGAGATCGAATTTGCACAAGGTCAACACACGTCTGATGGAGACCAGACGTGTCGCCTACAAGTTGTCCAACAACTTCATGGATAGTGTCGAGATCATTCGGAAGCAGACCGAAGGCAGAGAAGTTCAAGAGCTCATTCAAACTTGCTTTGTCTTTGCGACAGAATTCGGTCAACGCTCGCTCCTTGTCATGGACAGCAACCGAAAGCAAATGAACAACCTCAAGCTGACGAAACTCGCATTGGATTGGGTGAGCTTCATCTGTGACGACTGCATCGCATCAGATCGAAAGACGTTCCGATGGGCGGTCTTGGCTCTGGAGTTTGCCATGGGGATGACCAGAGGCAGACACATCTTGGCTTTAGGCGAAGAAGAATACGCGAGGCTCCGAGCAAAGGTGGCTGGCTGCATGGCGCTTCTCATCTCACACTTTGACATTATGGGGGCGAGATCCAACCTGGCCGCCCAAGCAGAGAAGGAGCGCATCGAGGCCTTGGTAGGACAGTTCAAGCGATTGGATAAAAATCGCATGCTTGACGACCATGAGGCTTCCAAGTACATCACGGAGCAGCGTCTGGAGGAGATTGACAAGGTCGACGACATCAGGAGGGCCAAGGAGGCCGAGAGACAGGCTCTCGGTCGCGTACTAGAGGGCAATAACGAGGTCGACCGATCCCTAGCCTACCTCTCATCCTCGGCTACCAACATCACGATGCGCTGGCAACAGGGTCATTTCGTCGGCGGCGGTACCTTTGGCAACGTTTATGCTGCTATGAACCTGGACTCGGGTCACTTAATGGCTGTTAAGGAGATTCGTTTGCAGGATCCAAAGCTGATCCCCACCATTGCCGAGCAGATCAAGGACGAAATGGGAGTCTTGGAGGTGCTCGATCACCCCAACGTCGTCTCGTACTACGGTATCGAAGTTCATCGCGACAGGGTCTACATTTTTATGGAATTCTGCCAGGGTGGATCTCTTGCCAACTTGCTGGAGCACGGCCGCATCGAGGACGAGCAGGTTATCATGGTTTACGCATTGCAGCTGCTCGAAGGTCTCGCTTACCTTCATGAGAGCGGCATTGCCCACCGCGATATTAAGCCAGAGAGTAAGTACCATCCAGCCGAGATTTGAGTCCACTCTTGACAAATGTTCTAACAATCTGCAGACATCCTCCTCGACCACAACGGTATCATCAAGTATGTCGACTTTGGAGCTGCCAAGGTCATTGCTAGGCAAGGAAAGACGCTTGTCCAAGATCTGTCTTCTTCCAAGCCTAACAAGTCTATGACGGGAACACCCATGTACATGTCGCCTGAGGTGATCAAGGGTGAAAATCCTGGCAGAGCCGGCTCAGTCGACATCTGGTCGCTGGGTTGCGTCATTCTTGAGATGGCCACTGGTCGCCGTCCTTGGGCCAACTTGGACAACGAGTGGGCCATCATGTACAACATTGCCCAAGGCAACCCTCCTCAGATGCCGTCGGCCGATCAGCTTAGCCCGCAGGGTCTCGACTTCTTGAAGAGGTGTTTCACCAGAGACCCCAAGCACCGCGCATCCGCCGTCGAACTCCTGCAACACGACTGGATCATGACCATCCGCAGCCAGGTCGTAGAGCCGCCTACGCCTAGTGACGCTAGTAGCTCTGCTCAGTCAACGCCCAGCAGTAGGAGCAACACCAACGACGGCTTCTACTAGGGGCAGAGATCGCCGCATGGTGTTGATCACTTCAACTCCATAGACGCATATCTTCAGGAGCCGCATCAGGCACCACCACTGTCACAAAGCAGTGTCAATGTGCCAAAAGTTCTAGTCACGCGAACAGAGGACTAGGCATGATGTAGCAGAGCTGCATCGACACATCACTTTTATTTTCTACAAACGATACACGACTAAGTTTTCTCTCATTTTCCATACACACCGGGAAACCCCCAGAAATTGCATCAGCAAAGCGTTCGGAGTCGTTTCCTCGAGGGTTCATGTGCTTTTTCTGGTTACACGGGGTTTCACAGGTATTCAATTGCTTGATGGCTGGTTGGGGAAAGGGAACCACGGGGTCAACCCTTTTACATGACATACACGAACCTGAATGGGACACAAATGGGAAGTTGAACACGAGTATGGCTAGGAGAGCTATCGTAAAACATGTAATACAAATAATACCCAAAGGCTAGTTTACCCAGCCGTCTATACGTCATGAAGCGTTCTTTGTGCCCGAAGTGGCTTCTAGACCACCACAGCCTCCGTGATGGAAAACTCGTCCTTTTCCGAGTCCAACACCGCCAACGCGTCCATCGGCAGCGTCACGATGGGCGCGGTGTGTCCAATGTCGACATTCATCAAGATTGGGAAGGTGCTGCTCGCTCCCAAGCGGCCCTGACATAAGAGCCCCTGTATCACGGCCGCGTACTCGGCCCTCTCCCGCTCCGTGTTGTACCCGTAGGCTCGGCCGACGACGAGCCCGGCAATCTCGTCGAATACACCACGCGCCGCCAGGTCCGCGAAAGCGGACCGGATCCTGCCGAGAGGGTTTCCTTTGGTCATGTCCGCCTCAGCTGTCGCAGACTCGAGGAACATGATTTTGCCCTTCCAGGAGGGGGGGGATATGGGCGCGATGCCTTGGATGCGGGCTACGACTGTTAGGCAGCCGCCGAAGAGGCGGCCTTCTGTGCGGGGCGCCTTTCGGAGCCAGGTCCACGGTGGTGAGGGGAGGAGGGTTCGGGGCGTGGTTGAGGTGCGGGTTTGGGGGGAGAGGAAGTAGGGTGGTACGATGGGGGCGTAGAAGGATGAGCGGGGGATTGGAATGGAGGTTGTGGCTGGGGTGCTCAGAGTCCGGAGGAGGTGAGCTAGGTGGAAGTCTTGGAGGTATCCGTCGTCTTCTGGCTTATTTTGCTCCGTGTGGTTGCGGGAGAAGTCGAACGAGGAGACGGAGGCGGGCGTGGCGGTGACGGCCTCGCCTAGTTCCGAGACGGCGCATGGGCCGTAAAACGTGCGGAGGCCGGTGAGGGCACGGAGGGACCAGTGGAGGACCGTGATGTCGGAGTAGCCCACGAATATCTTGGGGTTCTCTCTGATGAGCTGCTGGAGGGACGAGTCTGCGGCGAGGTGGGGGATGAGTTCTGTTGCTGTGGAGCCGCCGACGGTGCAGAGGATCATGTCGATTGTGGGGTCAGCGAAGGCGGCGCGGAGCTCGGCGAGGCGGTTGCGGATGCTGGCGGGGATGTGGGCGCCGGAGGAGAGGACGGGGTCGAGGTCTTCGTCTGTAGGGGAGAAGATTGTTGTGATTGTGTAGCCTAGGGATGTGAGGAGGGTTTGGGCGCGGGCGAGGGATGTTGGGACGAGGGTGTTTACGCGGAAGGAGGGGGATATGAGGGCTATTTTCGCGTTGGGGGGGAGGGATTTTGGGATTAAGGGCGGTGGGAAGGACATTTTTGAGGTGGTTTGTTGTTTTTATTGGGAGTTTGGGTTGGGTTCTCGTGATGATTGGGCCTGGTGTAAGTGAAGTTGAGCGTTGATGGTGTGAGGTGTAGTGAAGCTTGAAGCCAGAAGCCAACGGTAGATGCGCGGCTTTTATACAGTCCCGGTAATGGGGCAGTCTAGCTTCGTTCGGATCAGATGAACGTGGCAATAACGTACACCAGCGCGATTGCACTCGGCTTTTGATGGTGATTCACAATCTTACAGGCCAAAAGATGCGGTCAACGTTGCGATATTCGGTATGATTCTCAGGGACACGCACTAGCTTACGAGGAATTCGCTTGAGGTTGAGCACGCACCTATCACGCAATAAAGTGCTGGCTCCTGAAAGAGACATAGGAAAGCAGGGGTGAAGTGGAGAGGAGACATGAGGTAGTCGTCCGAACTCACGTCAGCACATGCTCCGGCCCCGAGAGGGGAAGGTGGTTACGAATTTGAACCCCACCTCGGCCCGGGGTTGTGTTGCCGGTCGGCCGATGGCTCCGGAAGTGGGGTCTTTCGGCCGGCATGTGGAAGGTAGTGAATGTAAGACCCGAAGTTCTCTTCCGAACCCAAGGTGTTTTGATGAATTCTTGTCTATTGTGGGACTTTTGTAAGTTTTCTGTCTGTCTTCACGTTAGGTTAATTGCAGCGGTACCAACCATGAGGGTCTACGGAGAGTACTGCGGCTCATAGGCAAGACTCTTGGTTGTTTCCATCACGGTGAAAACATCGATCCAGTTTACTAAGGCATAGACATAATAAATTGTAGCCTCCTCACCCCAGGAGGCCTCACTTGTGATTGTCCCCAAGGTGGGTGGTGGGACATGACGTTGAAGCTTCAAGGTCATTGACCCTTTCAACCCCATCAGCCATCGCACACGGATACAACAACTCTAAGAGTCATGTTGTAAACTCTCATGAGGAATTTTCGTAGTCACTCGGTGTAAAAGATGAAGCAACTGTTGTGAGAAGTGGATAGCCGTTGTTGGCCACTAATATAAGGCTCGCGTCTCTTAAACTCAATTGCAGATGACCACACCCATTGAAGGAAACATCAGGTACCCTTTGTGATAGAAGGCTTGACTTACATGATCAATCAACCTGTCAGTGAGGACTTCGTAGCTCCACAAGAGAGAACGAAGCCGTTTCCAGCCTTAATGTCACAATGATGTTGCGTCTAGGATCCTACCAACCTTAAGCTCAGTGCTCATGAACTCTACACGTTCCCCCGGCAAACGGCAACCGACGTCTCCAAGATTCAGCTACAAAAGTTAGACATCGTCAGTTGCAAGCTTGCGATGCCCGTACTTCTGCCTTCCGCGCCAAGTCCTGGCAACCCGCATAGCCCCGAAAACAAAAGCAACAGCAACAGCACTGCCACAGAGAACGGCCCATTTTGACGGCCAACTCCAGAGGTTACCCAGACTCCTTCCAGGTCCGCACATTCCTGTAAACATTGTCTTCTCATACAGAGGACATTCCTCGTTAACCACGAGAGACTCGCCCGGGTAGGGGAATTTCACGCAGCTGCCCTTATTCTGGGTCCAGCAGCCGTTGCCGTTATTCGCCTCGAACACGAGGGGCGCCTGGTCAAATTTTGCCGCCCGCTCCTCTTCGGGGACGTCTACGTTCGTCTCCTGTCCCAGAACCACTATCGGAGCGCAGTTCATAAACATTTCCGGGACGCTCCAGCGACCGTACCAGGTCCATGCCATGACGGCCGGTCCCACGGGCAACCAGTCCGGGACGGTGAAGTTGTAGAGGCTGGGCAGCACGACCGTGGGCGAGTCTCCGTAGTTGACCTCGGTGAGATTCCGGATCGGGCAGCCGCCCTCGATGGAGTTGATGACTCTCCATTGGCTCTTCCTTGTGGGCTTGAGATCCCGAGTTACTGAGATTTGACACGAGCCGCCGCCGTGGGAAGCGCCTCCCATGGCCCTATGTAAGTCGTTAACACGCTTACACCAGAAGCAGCTGGTCCAAATGGTTGACTTACTGCAAGTATTGCTTTGAGCCTCTTTCCCAGATGTTGGATACGCCGGACCAATCGTAATCCACTTCGCCCTTACATGGCCAGTCTGAGCCATCGTTGGCAACTGGTCCATTGTCCCGGAGTTGACTTGGAAAAGGAATGGGATTCTGCATAAGCGTGTGGCTATCCACTCCAGCCGAAAAAAGAAGCAGACATGCCATCAGACTTGTTGTAATTGATTGGGCCATATTGTGTAGGGGTTTGTCCAACAGATTATTTGGACTAGAGAGAGAAAAGAAAACTACTTGTCTCGATCAAGTCAAGACCTCCATGCTGGCCATGACTACATAAGGTAAAGAACGGACAATCAGACACCGGAGTCCGGAACGTACGCTCTATCCAGATAAAACTCTTGGCTGGCGCCGTAGAAAAGTCAGTTGCCATCGTTTCAAAAACGCGGTTCTAGATCACCTCAGCGCAGCATTACGCAGCGTCCCGCTCACACCGCCGTCGACTTCAGCAAAAGCAGATGGCGGTGAAATGATCCAACGATTCATGTTGTCGCATCTAAGGGTCTGGCCAGTTCGTCATAGCATCCCTGATCACCTGCATGCCAGGTCATGTTTCCACTATTTGTCGATCAAGGGTGGCAACCGATACTGAGGGGACATCAGAGGGGTCCAGATTCACGGGGTCCCCGCTTCGGAAGACTTCCTAAAGTGGACGACGTTTTCCGCAGTGTAGAGACGCGAAATGTCAAGACTTTGAAAGCTGCTGTTGAAAGTGTCAAATATCGCGAGGTTGAAGTCTGTCTTCTGCGCTGCGCAAGGCAACTCACACAGCGAGGATGACGGCCTCGTGTTTTCGGACGACCATCGGCCGCCTGGTTGCGTTGGGCACGATTCTTACGTTTGTGACTTTTCAGTATATTGCAGTCAAGTCGAAGTCTCAACTGAGCTTCTACGAACTTATCCTACAACTCAGTTCTTGCATCCTACTTTGTAACTTTTTAGTCGTCGTTGCGCGCTGGGCAGTTTATGAACCCATCCAGGGGCTCAAGAACAATGACAGCCTACCATATGTCAACGTCATCATTCCCGCATACAACGAGTCTGAGTTCGTGAGAAACTCGATATCCTCCGTGTTATCCTCAGACTATCCCAGAGAAAAGGTTCACATAATTGTCGTTGATGACGGCTCGACGGATGATACCTGGTCTCACATACAACACGCACTTCCAGCGAAATCTTCGGCTCTACATACAACAATCCGGCACGAGATCAACCGTGGAAAACGCCAGGCTATGGTCACAGCCTTTGAAATGGCCAAGAGCGAGATACTCGTAACTCTGGACTCCGATACCATTCTCGAGAAGCATACTCTCCGGAATTTAGTCAGCCCCTTCGTTCTAGACAGCGACGTCGGAGGTGTCGCCGGGCACCTCTCCGTCTTCAACATCCAGTCTCAAGGATGGGATAGCTTCATCCCTCGTATTCTTGACTGTCTCTTTGAACAAAACGGCAACATCCCGCGAGCGGCGCAGTCGAAGCACGGGTTCATCACCATTCTCCCAGGCGCCATCTCCGCATTCCGGAGAGACGCCATCCTCCCACATACCAAGGCTCTCGTGGACACGAGGTTCCTCGGGCGGCCGATGAGACATGGCGAAGACGTGCAGCTCACGATGGAACTTTTGCGTGATGGCTGGCGTCTCAAGTACCAGAGCAATGCCGTTGGATACACCGTCGCGCCCGAGACGTTTCTGAAGGCTTTCCTCATGTACGTTCGCTGGGAGAGGAGCAACCATACCTATTGGGTGCTCGGGCTTGTTCGGTTAGCCTTTCGCGATGCGGCGAGATTCTGCACACAATGCTTTGCTGGACCGTGTCCGAGCGAGCCGGAGCTGCTGCCTCGGGACTTGGAGAAACAAGGGAGCGAAAGAAGGACGATTTCCCGGAAGCCGGATTATCATCCCTTGCTGATGATTTTCTGTGCGGGATTTGCCAACTTTTCGTACCTGAGTATTGTGATCTTGTGGCTACGGGGCTTTTACTTCTCTCCATGGGTTACAGTCATGAATCTGGGTTGTCTCATCGTGTTCGCCACTTGGTTCAGTACCCTGTTGTTGGCAGATGCCCTTCATGAGAGCGAAAGTAGCATGGCCGTCGAAGGAGACGTCAAAGAGTCAGACGAGACTTTGGTACTAAGAAGCGAAGGCTCGTATTCGAGACTGAGAAAGAAGTTGCAGTACTCTTGTTTCTCCACAGTTGCCAACTTCACGTTTGTTTGTTGGGCCTCTGTTATTGGGTTGCTCACACTGAGGAGTCAGAGTTGGTTAACAAGGTGATGGTATCTGCGGTAATGGATGCGACTTCTTAGATAGTATTACCAATCAATGTGCGCTCAGGCTACTTTCTGGAAGAGAGGCTGCGGAAAAGAGCAGAGCCTTTCTCTTGGACCCGAAAGAGGAAAGAAGCCGATGAAGCAGATAACACACCCCGCCACTTAGTCTCCAAGTAAAGCAGCGGAGTCGAAAGACAGAATCAGAAAGTTTTGGCGCCCATTCCCCCCTGCGATTTCGCCATCAACTTGCGGCATCCCCGTGTACGAGACTATCGTATGGAGTAGTCTGCCACAAGCCAAGCTGAATATGCAAGTGACAGCTCGGGTTCTCCCTCTTTACGGCAGGTATTGGCAAGCACGTCGGGGGCCCAGCCACCGGCGTGGCAACGGACGTTGCATTGGACCCCTTGACCAGGATCCATAAGCTTATACGATGTGGCCAGTGATAGTCTCATTTCCATCATCTTCAGCGCTTGCTTCATCTATTTAGAGTTTCGGGCCGACAGAAAGAGGGGGGACGTGGCTAAGCGATACTGCCGCGTGGGATGCAACACGACATGGCGAGGAACGGAGAAGATTACAAAACACGTGTGAGCTGGGATCAATTGCTGCTGCTTGGGTAATATTACAGATATTCTGCCGTGCGATTATGCCGAAGGGATGGGGGTAAGAGGCGGGAAGGGAACGGAGCAGCCCGCCTCTGAGGCCTCGTGCTCCATGGCAATTTTCTTTTTGCAGAGTTCGCGAGTGTCCGTTGCTTCATAAGTCTCAACCTTTTCAAAAGCGCATCTGGGTTAAGGCATATACTAAGATGAGTCCTCGTATCTTGTCAAAACACGGCCAAGTCATCCGAAAATGTACCGTAAGTCGCATAGCCTCTCGAGTCCTCAACCGGGAGCAACACAAACCTAACATGATCCAAAGGTTCCGGGCACAGTAGCATTTACATTCGATGACGACTCGTGGACCGAAAAGGATGACATACTGTCGCTATTTTCACAGCGAAATGCACAAGCTTCCTTCTTTCTAAGGAGCACCCCATGGACCACAGATGTAATAAAAGACAACGGCGGTGAATCCGGGATACAGAAGCTGCACGATAATGGGCATCTGATTGGACTCGGCACCTCGAGTCGTCGCCATCACAGCGACGCGGAACAACAGGACCTTCTCAAGGCCCGCCAGAAGGTTTCCATAGTCTTGGGGACCTCTTCCACCTCTGACGGCCTTCGACCGCAGTACATTTGGTCGTCCCCGAGCGATTGCACAGTACGAAACGGCTGTGTTGAAAAGTTGACGATAAATGGTCAGCGACTGGTACTTTGGGACGCTGAACCCGCGGACATGGGTAACAACACGGAGACTACGCTTCTCCTTGACAGAGTACAAGCGGCAGATCCTAAACGAGATTCTTTTCTCGTTCCGATACGAGGGCTTCGGAAGGAGAATCACCACGGTATAAGTGATCTACTAGATGGGTTCCTACAAAAGGGCTTCCGTCCAGTTACAGTAGGAGACTGTACAAATGACCCAAAACACTTCTGGTACTTAGATCACTTGGGACATCCTGCGACAGGCTTGGAATTTGGGCATGACGTAGAAGCAACCGGCACGTTTCTCAGTCAAATTCGATGGGGCGGATTACTGGCCGTAATTTTCTTGGAGTTGATGGCCCTGTCTTGCCTTTTCTGGGCTGTTTGTCGATATAGAAAGATCAAGTCACACCAACGCATAGTTCAATGACGACACATGATGATTAAGTCAAGGGAGAAAACAGGTACCAAAAGATGTCAACATATCTCATGAATCAGACTTACACGGGGCGATCTCACAAGAAGCGGACCGCAACCCGTGAAGCGATGCGAAGACACACGAGGCAAACTGGCTACTTCCTCCTCTGGACATATGTTGGTTCACCAAGTTTTGACTACTGAACACCTAGCACATGGGATTGTGATTAAGTAACGGCTTCTCGTGTGTGCGAAGTCTACATGCCCTTCACTCTAATGCCATAAGAAAGTATCCCTTCTCTCATCTCCTTCCGAGGTCAAGGCTCTGTTACAATTGTCCCATCTCCTGTAACCGCTCACTCACACTCAACACGAACGGACCAAACTCCCTTCAAAGTGTGGCACTGCCTGGTGCTGAAGGCAGTAACCGCACTGCCCCTGCAGTTTCCGTTGTTGTATCCTCTCACTAACATCCAGTAGTCAGATCATGTTCTTTCTCTCTTTTTGCTTCTGGGAAAAATAATGGGTCGTTGGAGGATCGAGGGGCTGGTCTTATTCTTACTCTTGCACTTGGTGTCATAGTCAATGACCTTCATGCCCCAGTCGGTGCTGTAGAGGGCGTGACATTCATTTGCATTCCAGTCCAGGTTGCCGCCGCCGGACGAGGAGCAGTCCGTCTTGCCGTACTTCTTGACTCTCATATCGTAGGCCGCGACGGCGGGGGCGAAGATGGCGCAGGCCGTGGTGGCTGCGGTGAGGATGTTAGTGATGAGCATCTTGGAACTTGGTTGTTGAAAGATGATGGTGAGTTGAGTTTGGGGCTTTGACTGTTGATCTGAAGAAGCTTGTTGTGAGTTGGTGAGAGAGAGATTGTGAAATGAAGGAAAGAGGACGTGTTTATATATCCCAGAGGCTTGTAAGACTAGACCCTTGTTATGCGTACTTCACCCTTCGTCTCGTATGGAAACGTGAGCCTGTGGATACTTCAAAAGTTCATGATAGCTGGATCAAAAGTTCCTCACTGTCACTTCTCGTACATACTCAGCCCTTTCCAGCCCTGCCTAAGCCCTGCCTACATTGTCTCTCCCCCTTCCTCGCCGAGAAAGGGAATTGACAACTCGAACTCGTTAGGTAACAGCATCCCCAAGGCATCGTCAAGCGAAACGGCTCAGCAGAGACATTGTAAGCGCCAAGAAGCACTGCAGCTCCAGTTCATGACATTCTCCAATTCGAGGTTCCAATTTATTCCTTGGCAATGTGAGACGACGAGAGACACCTGCTTCCTGCCTTGCCGAGGTTGTCTCTAAAGAAGATGGAGTTGACACAATTGGTCTAGAAGTGATAGGGCTGGGTTATTTAGACTTTTGGCCAGTGGGGCTAAGGATTCCGCCGGGCATATGGGGGGGGCGGAAGGAATGGGTAACTTTGTGATAAAAAGTCGAATCCTTCCGGTGGTGTGGGTATTCCACGAAAAGACCGAGGAGACAATGTAGTCCGGTCAATGGTCAACATAACTCATATCAATTGAGAAAGCATCATGTTTGTATCCAAACTATCAGAGCTGGGCCTCTGAAGCACCTATCCATCTACTGCTGTCAATTTGTCCCGCACACTCCTGCCCCTCCGTCGATTATATCAACAAGAAATGGCAATTCCCATCAAAGGAGCGAGGAAATACGACTTCGTGTTGATGCAGAATTCATTTTAGCATCATGCACAATCCCATCCCCTCCCCCCAGATCTCCAAGGATCGACCCGAGCCGCCTTCGCCCGGGTAGTGTGGCACGACTAGGGGGCCTAGGGCTATGACAGGGGGGGGGGGAAGCCTCATATGATGAAAAGTGGGCGACATCAGCCCACGATATTATTCTGTGTAAATGACAAGTGGTAAACGGGGCAGGATTCAACATCACATACATGTATGTAAGTAAGTACAAGTCTTGATGTCGATTATTAATTTCGTCGGGCAACCTCGAGGGCATAGCCGCGGTTCTAACAACGTTTGGCTCCTCCAACCAACCACGTATAACTCTCGGGCGAGAAACTCCACCTGCTGCTCGCTTATAGCGGGACTCAAGAGACTCTTGACTTGATAGTGTTGCATTGAAACTGAATATAGTCTTTAGGTGTCGTTGGTCACTCATATACGCCGCAAAAGTCATGGTTAGTCTACGCGCAGTTGAGATGATCGGAGGATTGAAAGGATCATACAGCCCGTTCCTTCCGGTGCAGGATATCAGGACTTATTCCCCGTGGAAGTAGTCCCAGGCCTCTCTTTCAAGCCTAGGTTGTTTGGTTGGTTGTCGCGACTTTGAAGTGGTAACTCTTGTATAGTATGTACTTATAGTACGTACGTATATGTACTGGTCAAATGGCCTATATGCATACCGCCGGGCGAATAAGGTTCGAAGATGTTTACGCAGTAGGTAACTTATCCAACGCGTACCCAACGCGCCGTGCGAGACGAGACGAAACTTAGTTCCCAAAGATGTCGAGCCCGTGCTCAATCATCCAGCTCATACCTTCTACCCGCCAGTCGTCCGTCTCCAACACTGTGCCGTTGAGGCCAAATACCACGTCGCTGCCAGATGCACCACCGTCCGTCGAATACGCAGGCCACTCACCCAGGCCCGGAGCACCATTAGGATCGAGGGAGACGAAGAAGTTAACCCACGCCGCGGACATTGTCTTTGACAGCGCGGTGGCCTTCTCAGTGTAGGCCGTGTCGTTTCCTCCAAAAGGATTTATGTCATAGCCAAGGCCATTAAGGTTGTTGAATACGAATGCGACCTGGGTGGGGGTTAGTCTTTGCACAACGGCCGATGGGTTCATGAATCACGCCGTGAATCGCCACGTCGCACGCAACAAACTTACCTCCTGGAAGTGAGTCGCGCCAATGAACTCTGGCACTCCATTCACAGTAACGTCGAAGCGGTACGCGTAGGACGGCACGCCGTTTTGGGACCATATGATGTTGGCACGGCGGCGTAGGAAACCAAAGAACCTATCCGAAAGTCAGCGTGTACATGCTATGCGAAGGAGGGTCATTGGGACATAGGTACATGTCTCCGAAGAAAGCCCCGCCGCGTCTCTGCTGCAGACCGCGAGCTACGGCAATTTCCTCGCCGGGCTGGATGATATGTGGCCACGTCTGCAAGCTCGGGATGCCAACAGCCTGGTCATCGGGGTACAGAGCTAATGCCTCGTCAACAAGCTCCTCGATGCTTTGGCCTGTAGTCTCCTCGACATCGGGGGCCATGATGCTGCGTACGGCCCACGCCATGTCCTCATCAGTGTTGATCGGCCCACCGTTCGGGCCCCTTCCCTGGCCGAATGCAGAACCTTCGTCAGAGTTGGATCCGATCAAAACGGGAACCTTTACAAAGTCTCCGCGTTCGAGTTGCGACGTCGCAAAGTCTGCGAGAAAGTCGCCATCCTTCATGGGGATGAAGCTGAAGGGAGACGTAGTCGCGTTCAGCACAGCGTTGAACTCATCCAAAGGTGCTGTACGCAGGCACTCTATCGACTCCTGGGTGCCGACAGTGGAGGCGCAGGTGGAAATGTTGCCGACGAAGAGGTCGTAGTTGCTCTGGTAGGAAGTGGAGTTGAAGCCGCCGACCATACGGGGAATGAGTCCTCCGAAGCCGGATTCCGCAGCCGCGCCCCTGAAAAGGCCGTCGTCGCGTCCTTGATGGTGTCAGTTGCAGATACACCTCGTATGCGTATGATGGCGACTTACCGTTGTATGCCAGCACTTGCCCAGCGACACTTTCAGCACCTGAACTTTCACCAAAGATAACGACCTTGTCGGCGGCACCACCGAAGCTGGCAATGTTTTCGTTGACCCAATGCAGAGCCAGGCGTTGATCTCTGAAGCCCAAGTTGGTCGCGCCAGCATCAAGGGCCTCCTTGCCACCCGGGAAGCCAAAGACGGACAGACGATAGTTCAAGCTGACCGCAACGAGGGGAGTCCCTTGCTTGACGCTGTTCTCGACAATGAAGGAGAGGTTGTAACGCCTATCCGCTGATCCGCCCATATACTTCGCCCTGTCAGCAGTGGTTCTCGCGAGGGTCCGGCGAAGGAACATACCAGACCGCCTCCATGGATCCACACAGCTACGGGAAGCTGCGCGTCGGGAGCCACGCCGGCTGGGCGAACAACATTGAGATACAGACAGTCTTCCGAAGACTCATAGCCGATCATGTCAGATCCGTATCCGATGCAATGCTTTGGGTACTCCGTGGCTGTATGGGTGCCGTCCCATGTTGAGTCTAGGCCTTGGGCGATGCGGAATCGTTCAGGAGTCTAGAATGGTCAGCATGTCGTCATCAACAAAAGGTTAAAGCCACATACCTTGGCGTATGGCATTCCAAGGAAAAAGTCCTGGTCATACTCTGCGCTGTGAATGCCTGCGTACGAGCCATTCTTCACACTGACAACGGGGCCGTTGTCCCTACAGCGGATAGCGGCGGACCACACCGGCGCGGAAAGGTACAGCGCCGTGGCGAGGAAGTACACAAAGAAAGCCATTCTCTTCAGAAGCTGATATCGATCCGGTTGAGATCTGGATGTCGACAAAAGGGGAGTTTGGTCATTAGGGACTTTGGAACCCTCTTTATACCGCGACCTCTTCATGTCGGATGGCATCGTCTACTAAGGTACTATGCCCTCGCATCCCATTAGTAAAGAATGGCCACGAGATTTCGTTCGACAAGGGTGGACGGCAGTCAGAAACTGGGGTCTATCGGACCGACACCATTCGCTTCGCTACATGGCGAGGGGAATAGCTAACGGAGATCGAATGAGGGACGTTCGCATGGTTGCCGGCCCTCCGTCATCGCCCCAGGTAAGTAACCAAGGCGTGAGGCACTGCTGGCGCCGCGCGCCCGACGCCCTACGCCCGAGGCGAGTTGACGGCCCAGGACTTTTCGTTGTCCAGAGGCGGGACAACTCCGGGAACTTACTCCTCTCCGCATGGAAAACGCAGATATGAAGGGGGTGATCGCACCAGAAATGGCCTAGCAACTCCCCATCGGGTGGTAATGATGCCCTCTTTCGGAGTCGCTACCAGGGCCATAGCCGCGTGGGTAGCAGTGGATGCCGGCTGTAGTGCACGGCAGAAGAAATCCAGTCGATTGTCGACGTGACAGAAAGCCGGTGGAGGTTGATGCGGGGAGCGGGGGGGGGGGGGGGGGGATGGATGGAATCTGGGGTGTCCCCGGGACAAGACGAAGAGCGAGATTGGCAGATTCAGGGGTGGATGGGAATGTTGAATGGACGAACCTCCACCTTGGCTTACCTTGATTGGACTTAGCTCGGGGTTCTCGATGTCTCCGATAACAACCAAGTCCGAGTAGGTCGGTACCTTGGTCTTTGCACAAGGGGCGCGAGGGGGAAAGCTGTTCCAGCGTTCCAGCGTTCCAGCGGCAGACGGAATGCGGAATGCGGAGGGCTGAATGTGTGTGTGTGAGTGTGTGTGTCTTGTTCTCAACGTGGTATTCGGGGCGGGTAAGCTTAGCCAAAACGTGGTTTTTGGAGCTTGATCTTAGTGTGTCCGCGTGCCAGTCGCAGAGACTGACTGGAATGCGAGTCTTGCCCGCATTCCTCGGACCACGTGGTCGAACAAAGAGCGAGCTGAGGAATGTAGGTATATGAAGTCAAAACGAAGCCATGTCTTTGTTCGGAGAAAAGAAGAAGATGTCGAAGAAAGACGTTGCAGATCTGATGCATTCCTGCACCGACCGCATTGATGGGAAGTTTGACAAGTTTCTTTCCCCACACGAACCGCTTTCCCCAAACCCAATCCCGAGGGACCTTCCTCGCAAAGTGAACGCTCGGGCGCCATTGGCTCAATTGACTTTCGGAAGAGTGGGGCCAATGTTCTTCAATGGAACTCTGCTGCGACTTCACCTCACCTCAAGTCAACGTCATACGCGCTTAATCGCAGCCTTGAGACTCTTGAAATACATCTGAAGTGTATGATGAGATACATTAGAAGCTATGACTGTGGTACATATGAAAATACATCATTGTAAGATGTCTGGCCCTCATGAAGCATAGCAGTAGGCAGGTCTCCAACGTACTCAGACTCATAATAAGATGCACGTCACTTGAGTGAGGTGATGTAAGAAAGAAGGGCGAATCATACATTTGACTGCATTTGTCTGCCGTGATTCTGGCGTGGTCGCGGTTATTCCTTACCTACAGTCGGCGTGTATTCACCCAAGTAACGTGACCTGCCGTTGCCGCGGGTTGCCCAGTCCCAAAAAAGTAAACAACACCACGCTGGGCATCGCGAAGTCATCTTTGTATGCTGCATTTACCTTCACCACCCGCAGCTCACCTCCAAATGCCCATTTGACACAAGGGAGTCATTCTTTGGCAATGTATCTATCAAGTGAATGAAATTGACCAAAGTACGATATGGTCAAAAACGCAAAAGTTCAGCACTCGAACTTGCGAGGTTCGAGCACCTATGAAACCATCACTATCAGGGCAGTTCTGTCTCAAGATTCAAGTTTCTACCAGCTAGACTACAACCCGCTCGGCTACTGCGGCTCTCAACGCCCGTCGACGCTCTGTGACCCACCGCGTCCGGTGGGCGAAAGAACGGGAACGCTTGACCCCTTATATACCACATGATGCTGATGGGAAGGCACGATGTCCTCGGTGTGGGTGGAGCTACACCGGGCAAGCGATTCCATCTCATGTTCGACCGACATGGTGAACGGGTGGCCCGGTGGACTGTGTGGCAAATACTTTTTGATTTTGGCCTCCTAAGCTCCTAAAGGTGAAGTTCGGCGTCTCTTACCCAAGCTGAGGTAGATCACTGCGGAAGATGAACGCCCTATCCCATCCTTCCTACCATCCGGTTCCATCTATCCGAGCCCATTTCCCATCCTGCACCTCCAACTTTGGTGTCCATATGTGCTGACCTGCTCTGCGAGGGTCGTGTTCTTCCCCTCACGCCGCCGCGAACCTCAAGAGGTTGAGGCATATTCCAACCCAACGCGGCTGAGACGCGCGTACCTCGAACCCTCCCGCCACCTGTCCTGTGCTTCCGATGGGGTATCCAGGTCCCTTTTTTCCTCCCCCCTCTCCAGCCACAAACAGCGCCGCCGCCAGCAGGACATAAGCCGTATGTATATCATTACATTAGGTAAAGAGATTTGTTTCTTTGGTGTATGCAGTAGGTATCATGATAAAGGAAATCGTTGCTGCAGACGAGAGAGATAAAACAACTAAGGAAATAGGGGACCCGTGTAGTCCAAGTACAAGGTAGTCCCGGTGCAGCGCCAATGGCCCAATGGTGTAAAGCAAATCGCTGTATGTACAAAGAAAAACAACGCAGTAGAGAACCTTGGGAGTTGTACAGCGCCGAGTATACATGAGCAAGTTTTTGACTGCTATGTGATGACAGATACCCCCCTCGAAACTTTACTAGGAAAGACCGGGTTTGAGTTCAGCCACATTCCGGACGGCACCTCATTCTCCATGGAAATCTTGAGCAGTCATGTTGGTGAACTGAAACTGTCTTGACCGTGATTGCTCAGGTGACGGCTTGACTGAGACGGAAGATGCATCCGACCAGTTGTACTCGGTGTTGCCACCGCCGTACGATGAGTAGAATGCCGGTCCCATGTTGCTGGGAGGGAACGAGGGTGTGACCGGCTGGCTTGCGCACCCGTGTGCAACGTAGCTGGGTACGCTCGACGACATGTTGGGGAACTCCTGGTCGAAGCTTCCGAAGCTGGGTGTCGAGAGCGGCTCGTCAGAAACGTTGTAGTCGAACGCGGGAAACAGGGAGTTCGGCATGGTCGTCATCATGCCGGGGGTGTCCGGCGGGGTCCTCATGGTAGGGTCCATGGCATACTGCGGTACTGTCAGGTTGTTTTGCATGCTGTAGCTCTTGTCCTCCTCGGCAGAGGACATTGATGAGACAGTGGTCTCACGCAGAGCTTGTTGACTGGGGACGATTGGTGTGTTTGGGGTTGGTGGCGCCGCTGGGCTTCGTGATATCGGCGACCTTGAGGCCATATGCAAGATGAGGTTCTCCTGGTTAGGACCAAAGCACATTGGCGATCTCGGACCTGAACCGGCGGGCTTCTGGATTCCCCTCGGGAAGTTTCCTGTCGCAGATGCAACGCGGCGCATCGGGCTAGGTGCCTCCATGCGTCTAGGCATCTCAATCCCGGTCTTCGGACCCGAGAAGTTGTAAGACTGGCTCCGCACGCAACTAACGAGTGCAGCGGGTCTCTTGGAGTTTCTTCTGCTAGCTATGTCGATGGTTGAACCGGACTTGAATCGGAAGTCTGGCGTGGAGATTTCGGGAGGGGAACGGGACATCGACTGGGGAGAGAATTGGTCGAACCTGTCGAGATCCTCGCTCTGCATTTGCTCCTGCTTAACGTTGATCGGAATTGGGCTAGTCATGTCGGTAGCCAGGCCGTGCGGGAAAGAAGCAAATGACTCGTCCATGTCGCTTGCGCTCAGGTGGTAAGACGAGAACGAAGAGGCACTTGTTGACTCGGGAAGCTGTGTCGTCAAGTACTGGCTGGGAATCGAAAGAGTCAAGTGGTTAGGTGTTTGGTGGATGAGCTCTGAAGGCATAGATGCGGAGAAATCGCAGGGTGTTTGTTCGGGATAGAATTGGTCGGGGCCAAGAGTGTAGCCAATGTTAAGATCCTGGTGCTGGAAAGAGTTGGATGAGTCGGGCGAGGCGTATTCTGATTCCGGCTCTTGTGTTACGACCTGTGGCTGTTCATACGTTGGCTCAGGGGTTTGAGTGCCCTCCGAGGGTGATGCTTCGCTGATAGACGACGCGTCGGTTGATACGTGAACGGGCGGGAATGGAGCCGCGGACGGGCGAAGATCGTCGTCGTGGTCGTGGAAGGACTCCTTGATGGTCTCGGAGCTAATGGACGTTTCGGTAGCCTGCTCAGACTTGCGGCGAGCCTCATTTTCCTGCGTCCTCTTCTCTTGCTTCGCCTTTGCTCGCCGATTTTGGAACCAGTTCTATAACCTGTCAGTGGATGCATGTCAAGAGACCAGGCTGAAGGGCAACGTACATTAATCCTCGCAATATCCACTCTCATCTCCTCGGCGAGCTGCTTCTTCAAGCTGCTGTTAGGTTTGTTGTTCTTCTGGAATTCCCTCTCAAGCTTGTCGACCTCGTCCTTGGCAAGTCTCGGTTTGGATTCAGTAGCCTTTCCACCAGTTGCAGGAAACAGGCCCCGGCTCATCATTGCCTGTTGCTGTCGTAACATTTCCATGTAGTCATTCTGATGGTAAAGAGGGGCTCCGGGGAAAGGAGTGCTGAAGCCATAATCGTATGCTGTCGCAGTCTGGTAGTTTGGGTAGAACGCCATGGCTGCTGATGTGACAAAGTTGTCCAAGCTCGAGAGTAAACCGTTCAACGGGGGCTCGGTGGTTAACACGATGGCGATGGTAACGAATGTGTGCAGAGCGAGTGCAGAACCAGTATGGCAACGGGGATAGGCATGCGTATTATGTTCCCGGCGATGTCTAGAGGCCGCAGGATCAAGTCACCAGACTAGAGATTGAGTGAAAGAGTGACTGAGGTAAGAGGGCTGAAAGCCTGGTGATATTAAGAGAGATGTGAAGAGAGAACGTGGGTGTGAGAGGCGCGGGAATCGGAACAGCAGATCGAGGGGAGCTTGTCTGCTTTTAGATCGAATGGGGAACGACAAGCGGGATGAGGAAGGGTCAGGCAGGGCCGCGCAGAGGCGAGACAGCAAGGTCTGCTCAAGTCCTCCAAGGTCTTGAGGGCGAGATAGTCGATCTGTCTAGGCAAGGGCCTGTAGGCGCACAGACGAGGCTTGACGAGAGAGAAAGGGCACAAAAAACAATGACAGGAGGAGTGGGAAGAAGGAGTGACGGGAGAGGAGGGGGGTGAGAGGCGGAAGATGTATTGATGTGTCTTGTCGACCCATCATCACAGAGCGAGCGCAGAGGAGCGTGTGCGTGTGCAAGCCGACGTGGGTGTAAGTCGCGCGGTACTGTGTAGGTAGGCGCTGGGGTGGCGGCAGGGCATGGGCGAGCAGCAAGAGGGGGGGGGCCTCTCTCGTCGTCCACCGGGTACCCCCCTTGGCAGCGAGAAGATCATATTTGGGTGGAGGTATCGGGAGACCAAGGGAGCAAGGGGGTCAACTCTCTTGACTCTCGGGCCCTGGGAGGGAAGAGAAAGGGGAGGTCAAGGAGGGTCTCTAGGGGCCAGGGCAGGGCAGACAAGTCAAGCCAGCAAAGCTAAGGTAAGGTAAGGTAAGCAAAGCAGCGGAGGGACAGGATATGACAGGGCTCGAGCCGCGGCCAGTTGTGCATAAGGCACAGACTGTGTATCCATAAACTGTGCTGAGCTATGCAGGTAGACCCAGACTTTGGCCCTTGAGGACGAGGATGAGGTGCCGCCGGAGAAGCGGACGTGGCCGGCGGAGCGAGGGGAGAAGCAGGCTGTGAGGGTGAGAGTTAAAGTGAGAGGAGAGCCGACGTGTGGATGAGGGTGTGTCCATGTCAGCACAGCGCCAGCGCGAGTGAGAAAGAGAGGGGGAGGAAACTACATTGTCGAGGATGGATTTGAGTGACATTGGGGGATTTGTGCAGTGAGCAGCGGCATCCATCAGCAGCTGGGCTCCTCCTAGTGTCCGACTCCAGCTTTGGAGTATGAGTGAGTGCGTGAGTGCGTGAGTGCGTGAGTGAGTGTGAGGGCGAGGACATAGGACGGACAGGAGCAGGGTGGGAGGATGGTTGCACCCACCTGAGCGAACCTGAATTGAGAGTGAACCCTTCACATCCACCGGGCATCCACACGTCCCATTCGCAACCCATCCCATCTCATCCCACACCCCCTGGTTCAAAATCCTGGTCCCCCGGCCCCAGCGTCTGTCCCGACCCCTGGTCCATGAAGCGTCTTTGCGTCCCTGGGTTTGGACGACGCCCCCATGTCAGTTGGTGCCACACTAAAAACTTTGGACTCGACTCCCCTGCTCTGGGCTGAAGATAGGCCCGGCAGGCGTGGACTTGGACGTGTATCCGTCGACTACGCGGGCGAGGCCTCTCGGTGATGAACGATGACACTCGGCAAGGCCTGGGAGTTTGTACCGTCCGTGACAAGACCAACTACAACTGACAGACTGAATGACAGGGCGGTGACTAACCGCCAAAGGGACGAGAGCGAGACATTGCAGAATGACAAGTCAATGCGCCGCCTATCGTGGGAGCACTCCAAAGAACAGTAGGACTGAGCCAGCGTAGAAAACGAGATGAGCATGGCATGACTAAGTAATCGGGCGGTGGTTTGGAGCAGAGAGACGGCACTTTGACAGGTAGACGGACAATATCCCGTCGGCTTCGAAGGGGCTCTCGAAAAAGTGGCGAGAATGTGACCGAAAGGGACAGGCAGTGTATCGGCTTGACTCGACTCAACCCGACGGCGGAGGGGGTAACGACGAAAGGGCAGTTGAGGAGGTGGTTCAGGTTGTGGAGGGCAGATTTGCAGAACCGAAGACGACGAGACAGGCGGGGCAGGTCAAGCCGAACAGTTACGACGATCCCAATGGCATCATCTGATCCGAACAGGCGAGGATAGCTGAAGTCTGTGCTGCGTCGGTGAGCAAGTACTACTCTCAGTACTGTGTGAGTACGAAGAGTGCGTGTACGTCTTGTCGATTGTCTGTGAGGGGACGGGCAAAGATGAAATGAAGCATAGGAAGAAACTTCGGATGAGCTTGCACCAAACACAAGCAGCAGGGTTGGCGGTTTATGCCGCTGCGGCGTGTAATTTGCCGCGTTGCACTTGCGCAGACAGCAGACGCTACTTTCCATTGTACACTGGTGCTACTGGGCTGTGGAAGAAGCGTTTGTTGGAGCTAAAACGATAGAATAGAGCGCAGAGAGGGGCAAGAATGTTTTGTACGGAGTAGAGGGGGACGGGCGGACGGCTTAGTTAGTTGCCGGGGCGAGTTGACAAGTCCGGCTCTTGCTTAGTGCTCACTAGACGATTGGTAAGATGAGAGTTGGCGCGATGCTCCAGAGCCTAAGGACTCAAGAAGTACGAAGTAGAGACTCCCTCCCCTTTTCTTACATTGGTCTCCGCAGCTATCGGTCAAGTGGTGATGAGTTTTTTTTTTGTGGCAGTGGCCAAGACGGCATGCAAACAAGAGAGTGAGTGAGAAAGGAAGAGAGTGAGTGAACAAAAAGTGAGATGAGGCCGCAAAGGTGCGTCAAGGTACGAACACAACGTACTTGCGGATGGCTGAGTGTAAGGTAAGGTACCCAAGTACTCCGTACCGCAGTAAGGTAAAGTAAGGTAGTAATTAATTACGAGGACGCATAGATCATGGTGATATCCGTTCCTATCTTATGTCAGCACTTTCCACGCCAGGTACACGTGTTGGTCGGGATGGTGGAAAAGATACCTGAGACTTGTCTTCTGCCTTAGGTAATTCAAATGTCAGAGCATCATGTTGGAAGCTCAGGTCATGTGGTTTGTCTTCAGGGCAAGGTACCTGTAAGTGGGTACCTACCTCACGCAGACAAGGTATCTTCACTCCACTTGGAGCTTTCCTCCCCCACCTCCATCCCCCTTGGTCAACTGCACCTCACTCTGCCTGTCCCTGCGCCCACCTCCACCGACAGGCCAGACAGTGTGGCATTGATTGACACGACCAAGCATCACACGGACCATTTGGATAAGCAGGACGAGAGGCCGACCAGAGAGACACAGAGACTGTCTGATTGCACCCACTATCCGCCGTGTCCGGTCGAGAGACAGTGTTCAAGACTGTGCGGGCTATCCTCCGATCGCCTACTTTTCTCCCAACCGTCAACTACATTGACTGTCGACAAGGCGAGGGCCTCACTCTCTTCCTTCCTAGCCTTGCTCCAACTCCAAGGGGGAAAGAAGACTGAGGGAGAGGAGACTTACATCAAGGGACGTACGGGATCCATCAATAGTCCACAAGATTGATCCATCAGCCCATACGACATGACACGAGAACACGCGCTTGCTATGATCTCGTCTTGTTGGAGTTGTCTCGTTCCGCTTCAGCTCAGCTGTGCCGGCGGCCTGCCTCTCTCTTGCACTGGAAGCAGAAAAAAACACACGGACTCGTCAACGCATCTCGTACTGAGCTCCCCGGAAGCCTGTGCAACAACGCAAAGTGCAAGCTACGAGTGCCAGAGAAAGGGAATCCCTTCCAGAGCAACGTCGACGGCAAGGTTCAGGTGCACTTGCCGCAGAATTGCGGCCCCACTGAAGAAAGTGTGGCAGGTCGAACTTATCAAAGTACACTTGCCGCATTTCACAGTCCCGACTCCCAACATGGAAATCGACCATCCGAAAGGAATGGAAGCTACGGGCTAATGCTATTTTCCTACGGATACGGATACCTTGCAGTCGGATTTCAGCTTCAGAGCTTGCTTACACCGCAACCCGTACCACGGCACTTCAAGAACCACCAACCCTGCACCTTTCCAAACAGATGGGATGCTGGCCCAAAATACAGAGTGCACCGCAGTACACTCCGGATATACACCATGATAACGCTCTTTGACAATTCTTGCTCCCTCGAGTTTCGAACGACAAGTTCATGCGTTCGTGTTGGTCGTTCCGGTCGACCTCATTCCTCTTGAGCTTGGGCCGTCACGTCACTCGCCATCATCATTTCTGCAAAATGAACCACCCCAGTCGGCGGCTTCTTAGCCTTCTGGCAACCTACAGACGGACTGCCTTTTCAGCAATCCGAGCAGCCTCACCACCGCTCGATCCTTGTTGTCACTGCCGCTGCCCCCTCTACTACCCACACGGATCGACAGCCTGCTTTCTTCTTCCTCGCCGCAAATGGCGGCTTTGCGGTATCCGGCTCTACCTATCCTTGGCCTCCCCACGGGCTCGCGCTTGGTCTGCGGCTTGCTCTGAAGCCCGCGATGGTGGACAATTACGTCGCTCTCTGTCTCGGGTCGCTGTAAATCTCCATCTGCCTTGGACATGCAGAGTATCCGTACAGACGTACTTGTCAGGCCGCCCTGTGTAGGATAATCGCAGGTCTCAGTCGGCTGCCAGCCGTCCACGTCGTCGTCGTCGTCGACATCTTGGTCCGAGGTCGACGGGCTATCACCGATCGCCAGGTACGGTACTGACTAGAGCCATGTCACAGCAACACATGCCCAGAGCGCCACTGCGACCTCAGTCCACGTCCACTCAGCCGTCCACTTCCCGCCCGCGTTACGACGGCACTCAAAGCACCAAAGTAAAACCACGACACCGGAACAGAATACACCAACCATATTTCGCCAACTGAGCAATCCTCGCATGCCGTCCCAAATTGGTTCGGCCAGCCTGTCAACTCATCCTGTCCAATCCAAGCCCATCTAGTGTAATCACATCCGTTGGAACCTGAGCACTGCTTGTGCATATCTGACACCCGGAGCGCCTGGACAATGCCTCCCGCATAATCATCAGAGAGACAGACGGCAGTCGCCGTCAGTCGCGCCTCTCTCTTGCCTGCTCTCAGCAGCCTGCTAGCTGTGAGGATACATGACTGCCCATGTTGCCACGCGACAAATGGAGCAACCATTGCGACCATTTCCGGCCGCTGAGGCCCGCCGCTGCGCAGACCGACAGTCGCTTTTATCTGCCTTTTGCTGCTCCAAAGCCGGGCCTGGACAAAAGGAGAGCAGAGACGGCGATGAATTGGGACGAGTGACTTTGGGGCCCCTCCTCTTCACTGACCCTTTCCGACATCTGCCCCGGTCAGACTGCCAGAACAGGCCGCTGCGATTCGTGGGTGCAAGCGGCCCCTGTCAGTCATGCTGCTGTCGCCTGCCCCTTGAGCCCGGCCGCGCTAACGCAGCTCAACAACGCCAAAATCGCGTCGGTTTTTTTTTTCTTTTTCTTCCTTCTTGGGCTCACCGGGGACTGGAGGCTTTTGCAGCACGCCGCTCGCTGTGATCAACTGACAGGATGGTGGGGTGCCTTGCTGTCCCACGCTTTCCCGATTCTGCTCAGCGACTCCCAAAACGCAACGCTGAGATGCAAGTCTTGGGCAGCCACTGCAGCTGCCGCATCGTCAACCTCGAAAGGAGAATTGTCTGGCAGTCACTTTGGGTTGGTCTGGCTGTGGAGATCACCACCACCTCCGTTGCCGTAAAACTACCAGTACCAAAGGGGCAACTTCATCACCACCTGGCGTTACCATACCCATCCATCCATACAGAGTACAGCATCTCAAATAGCCCAGACATGTGGCCGAAGACGCCCAGGGCAGACGCCGGTCCCCTTACTCCAGGTACCAGCCGCTGTTCCCGCAGACTAGCATAATGGGCCCCCACCCGTTTTCCGCTCGTCTCACTCGGCAACGCGTTGGTTCGCCAGGTCGCCGAACCTTGACGAGTTAACAATGGGCGAGCCGCAAGTCTATTCCTTTTCGGGCTGAGATCTTGAGGAGGAGAGACAACTCACCTCAACGCTGTTGACTTGTAACTGGGAGCCACCGGTCTACCGCTGCTGCACAACAAAGGGGACGCAATGCACTGATGTGGCTGTCTGGCCAAAGCAACTTTCACCGGCAGGCATACATAGATTTCCACGTCAGTTCTGTGTGTAGTATCCGTACAAAATGTGCGGAGTAGCGATACGGATACGCAAGTTCGCACTGTCTTCCATGACCCGTCGTTTCTCTCGAGAGCTGGACTGCCTGCTTGTGAGCTTCGGCGGAAAGGATTTGTGGGTGGGCCTGTCAGAACTCCAAAAGACAGGGCAAGGACGCTCCGCGGTATGAAGAGCTGACATCCATGCTGTATCCGTACGGGTCAAGGAGACATCGGCCCATCAACTAACTTGGAGCCTGGCGGAGACTCGTCGTGTGGTGTACCTCGTACCGCATTTTCGGCGTTAACTTAGTATTGCCTTGTTGCCTCTTGCGAGGTACTGCTGGCGGATTATGGTTGGAATGCGTTGTACGAATACTCCTCACTCTGTATACCTACGACTTGTCTCGACCTACAGCGGAACACTTTTCTTCTTCCCCGCGAACCAGGCGACACACACATTGGACGCTGTTTAGAATCACAACGACCGACAGACCCATGTCCTTACGTTGGTGAGAGAGCGAAATGGGCTGAAGAATCAGCCAATGGTTGTAGACTTGCAGCTTCAGCTCCCACTTCGCATGACTTTCGCCTACGAAATGCTTGGGTTGCCGGCTTGTTCAAAATTTGTTCTCGGCCGTACGAAACGGAAAGGAGCAGTGTCAGGCGTGGTTCCATCACGACGCAGCTGCAGCAGTGGACCAATATGCTCTTGGAACTCGGGAATGGCACAAAACTTCCAACTCAGCAGTCACGTAATGAACCAAGCCTTTGGGAATGTAGAAGGCGCCTCTTGTGCACAGTTGAAGCAATCGCCAAGGGGGTCCCTCGTCGTCGATCCTAAGCCAGCAGTAGCCCGGACAAGGCCGCGAGATCGAAGGCCCAGCCAGCGAGGCCGGGGGAGCGGGCAACGGCTTTCATTCCATATTTAGATGTAGCGTCTTTACGCTACGGGAAGTTTTCCCTCGAAGATTTCCGCGGCTTTGGTCTGAAGCTAGCCGGGTTTCATTTCTCGTCGAAGAGTCATGGTCCCTTGACAATTCGTGGTTCGATTGGGTCTTCTAACCTATTAGTAACCAGACGTTGGGAATATATCCTCGTTCGGGGCGGCGACCCTTTCTCCAGATTGCTCGACAGCAGTGACTAGGTCCTCATTCGAGCCGACACCGCCGCAGGACCGCCGCAGGGTTGCAAGCGGCGAAGACACGCGAGCTACTATTCCTGGAGCTTGTCGTCTCGCAACATGGGCATAGGAAGTCTGCGATGCTCACGAAATTCGTGTGCCGGGGGCATATCACTGTGTACTCCGTAGAACGATATCAAGTCCACTCACGAAGCTTCCTAGCCACTCGGAAGCGATATGGACTTGATTCAAGAGTTGCTTTCGGAAACCTCCGTTGCCTTGAACTTGGCCATCGAGGAATCTCAATACCGAGCATGGATATTTAGCCTGACCGCGATGCTGCGATTTCCCTCCTTGACAGCCCAGACGGCGTAATCTGAAGTCACATCGCGCTTCCCAAGCATCTATCCAAGAAGCGGCTGATCCCAGGTGTCCCAGACCGAGTACCAGAGCGCAGACGTGCGGTTGGCCACTTCCGACTGGGTGACAGTGCTAAGTCAAACGAGGCGTGCAAACCCAGGCCCGCCTCAAGCCTCGTTCGTGGGATTTTCTTAAGATGTGCATGTTATAGGACCCCCCTTGCCTAGAAACAATCGACCTGGGGGATCAGTTATGCAGTACGCGCATATCAGAACGCCGCATCTCCTCACATCGCCATGTCAGGAAACGAGGCCATGGCTATCAGCTAGACTTGAAATGTCGCCGTCATTGCGCAGATTGTTGAGTGTGATCGGGCTTCAGCCCACCTATCGCCCATTTCAGCCTGCGCTGCCCAACTATCTTGGCTCATTATCCCTGGGCATGTTCGCCATGGTACTCTGTATGGCGATCAGCCGGGAATCTTGGATGGCAGATTGGGCGTTCATCTCTTGCTCGATACAGTCTGACACTGTCCGGGAGAGAACTTCCCCGGAAAGGCGAGGCGCCTCTTTCTGTCGATCTCTGGAGCTCGTCTGTGGCAATCACCAAGTCATCATCGCCGTTTCCCTTCAACCTGTCATTATGTAGGGAATGTGATGCCTGCGTTACTTTCGTACCATGATTTGGGACCGAGGCAGTAATTACATGAACGCAGGACGCTTGGATATGGTTCAGCTGCTCTGCACCCCCCTCAAATCGTGCAAAGATTCGGTGCGGGCGAATTGGATTTATTCGGGCCGCCAACCGTGCCAAGCCAGCAGACAGCAATGACCAAAAGTCTCACAATTCCTCGTCACGCCTGACAACTTGGACGTTCCAGGCCATACTCTCATCGAGAACTTCTCCTACGTCCTTGTCGGCTTGGCCTCCATGGGCCTAGATTGTGCAGACAACGAAGTCCGGAAGTCGGGGTGCACTGCAATACAGAGCCAGAACATACACGCGGCAGCACACCTAGCCAGACTATGGTGTGGGGGCGTCTCCGGACCATCGCTCATCCGTGGGCGTTGTAACCTCATCACTGAAGCCGCTTCGCGATCCTCTGAGGTGGGGCCGCTGCCAGCCCCGAGACATCGTTGGCCATCTTTGATGTCTAACCAATGCTGCACATGCGGAGGCTGGTATTCGCGAGATGCGATTGGCGGCAGGAGGCGACAGAAGCAAGGCAATGCAGATTGCAGCTTGGAAGACAGTATCTCTTGTCCTCAGCAAAGCCTTTTCAGCAAGGTCGCTACAATTCATTCGCCTTCAGTATCAAGGGATGCACAGTTCTGCGAAGAGCTGAGGACCCAGAATGTTCCCGAGCTGTCAATGTTTAGTGCACAGGGCAGAGTCAGTCCACGACGTTGCGCGAATTCACCAGACACGCCGCTTTTCAGCGTCCTTGAGGCAAGGCGGGACACGAAGACAACGGCGCCGAACTGTGTTTGGCGTTTCCTGGAGAGCGGAACGCTTGTAAAGCTAGCAAAGCGGCAAGAAGACGTTGTCTCACTTTGTCCCAGTTACTTGGCGCCTTTGTCCGTGCTGATTGGGTGACCTACGACTGTCAGTCTTAGTCTTTACTACAACACGCTTATCACGCATCACGTCGGCGTTTGACGAGCAGCTCTAGGCTCTAGCCTCTACTCCGTACTGCGAAGCAGTGCTCTCCTGACGTTGCGCTACGGCTAGAGCGATCTGAAGATCCAACCCTTGCTCGCTAATTCGGAAAGACTTGCTGGTGCAAATGTATTCACGTCAAATTGCCAAGTATAGATGGATCGGATCAGCATCGCCGGCCAGAGGTGTTGCACAAGTCTTTTTCTTTTCAGCATAAGCTCTGTGCAGTATACGTATTCGTCATCCTCTTTCTTTCTCCCCTGTTCGAACTTCGTGATGATTTGCCGAAGTTGGCACTTCTCCCGGCGGCTCTCAAAAGTCACACTAGATTAGGCTGCGCCTCGAGATGTCGATGTAATCTGCTCGTCAGACATCTACCCGTCGTTCCACTCTGACGAATCGACGAACCCTCCCCCGGAGATGATATTCGGCAAGGAAGATATACGGAGCACCATGTGGACTGGAAGGGTTCGGAGTGTAACCACTTCTATTTTAGTGCCTCCTTGCAAGGACGTAGAACCCGACGCCGTGGATGAAGTTCAAGTTCTGCGCGGAGAGCGACTAGCTGCGGAGTAGAATCAATCGGCTCGACATCGCTGATGCTTCCAATCGTTCAACAGGGAAAATATGGGCAAGAGATGTCCGCTGTACAGTACCGAGCCAGCATAGAAGGTTACCTTCTGGAACGCGAGAAACGAAAGAGGGCGCAATTGTCTAGTCTAATATAGAAGACGCCGGCGGTTGACGCCAGTGTCGAAGGCGTGACGCCAACAAACACCACGGAACATCCGCGCAACACACAAATGCCAAGTGACTAACTAACATGGTGTGCAGGAAGACTTCCACAAGGCTTGCTAAGAACTAGAGGAGTCATGACCATGCATAGCTCCAACATGCGCGTGGGACATGGAGCTTTTTTTCCCTTTCACGATATGCACGAGAAAGGGGTTCGGTATCCCTCAAACCTCTTGACTCCGGACAGCGGACACCGAAAGAGATATATGACAAACAACGGCCTCTTGCGGTAACATCGCCGCAGAACCCCCCCCCCCCAAAATCGATTTTGGTGGCTACGAATACTCGAGGTTGTTAAAGAGCAATGACGATATACGAGGCAGAGAGTGGCTTGGTTAATCATCAGATGGATAGTGGCATCCATGATCCAGATTCTGATCAACTTTTTTTTTTCTCTGCTCCAAAGTCCAGGGTGGAAACAGCGGCAAGCGGGAGATTGGGATCAAAATCGGGCCCTGGCGGCCACGTGCGGTGCCGACAGTGACGACTGACGAGATGGATGAGGTGTCGACCCTGCCCCTGCATTGTGGAGGGGGTAAGGACTAGGAGTCTGCAGAGGCTCGATTTTGTTCCTTCACAAGTTCACAAACCAGCATGGGATGCTGGGGGGACGGGGACAATATGCCGGGTTTTTTCCCCCTTCGTTATGCGCACAAGCCGCAGGCCCATGCTTCTCATTAAACTCGACCAAGGGTCCTCGTCACGGCCGTAGTAAAGGACCCGTGGAGGACGCGTGCGACGCAGACAACACTTGCATTCGACTGGACTGGTGCGTGCTTTAGTTTCCACACATGCTACGGACAATACCCCATCTCTGCGACGACACAATTTCCTTCTCGCTCGCTAAACTGAGCACAGCCTCACGACATGGCCAGCTCGAGTCAGTTTTGCTCTGTCCGCTACCGAGTATCGAACCGGTGCAAACAATGCGGATACTGCCGGACGACGTCTATCGTGTTGGAAGCTTTGGAACCTTATGGGACTTCTTTGAAGTTCTGGGGACTGGCGGATGCCGGATGGCAGACGCGCGAAAACAGAGGCCGTCACCGGGAAGCAGACACCAGAGCCTATTGTTCCCTTAGCAGCCGCGCGGTTTTGCCTGCCGGCCCGATGACCTGCGTCCCGCGGGTCGGCCTTTGCTCGCCAGCTTGCACTACTTGAACGCTCCAACGCCATTGGGAGCTGTCGCCATCAAAAGACTCGTCACTTAGGGAGGCATGCGATCTATCCGTGTTTCAATCTCCTCATGACTTGTCTTGTGGTGACAAGTATGCAAAAAAAAAAAAAAAAAAAAAAAAAACCCCCGAGATTGCTGTCATCCCTTCCGATGTTCTGCTAGCGCGCCGCCTCAACGAGATGGAGATGTAGCTCCAACTGAGCCGGCCCTCTGTGTACCTGCAGCATCAACGACCGTTCAGGAGCTGACGCCCATACTAAAGCCTGGAGGCTGTTCACATCAGCCCTCCACATGGAGACTTCGAGATTGACCTTTTCGCGCGCGACGCCTATGTTGGCCTAGCCTTTGAGGTTCCTGCATTCGCCCATACGAAAAGTTGGCGTCCGTTGTGATACATGTCGGAATGACGTGGTCGGACGCCTGCTTTTGGATGGGCTGCGCTGTAAGCAAACAAAGTCCGCCTGGGTTCCTGTACCGGCGTGGATATACTCGTCGTCTCCGTGTGCCTAGGTAGACACTCATCGTACAGCTGTCTCGGCATCATCCGCCAGACTCTCTCTGAAGCTGATCGTACCTGCCGCCATCGATAATCTTGCTTGCTCATGAACAAAATAAGGCATCGACACTTGCAACTATGTTGTGTCAGGAGGGAGGAATCCTTCCGCTGCTGTCCGACCCTTCTTTACCAAGTATTACGTCCCGAGGAGTAGTGATAGACGACATTGTTCCACTCAATGGGTAACACATGTTCACTGTCTGGAGCAACACACCCACGACTCAAGCACGACGATCTCCGAAGTTGCCTGCAAGATGCCAAATTCTAATTCGCCTTGCAGGCTTGTCTAAAGTTGGTGCCCTGAGAAGAGCAGAGTACACATACACAGTCCTGCAGGCAGCCAGGTCCGTCAGCATGAAGCTCCGGAGCTGACAGGTGATATTTGTGTCTTCGGGACCTTGCAGCTCCGAATTACGAAAGGTGGTCACAGGCCGATGTGGTTTGCCTTGCGTACGGAGTCGTAGACTACAGCGGGTTTGCCGTTATGCAAAGTTACGCCACATCCACGGTCTCGGGACCGCTCCGCTCAGCTCTGCAAAGACTGAGATAGGTCAAGAGAGACCAGTCCACCGGATGCGCTCGGCAAGCTCTCGCCCTCTCTCAGACTCTCTCGTATACGGGCTGCTTTTTCGTGAAACGACCGCGGGCTTTTGCAGGTTGCTTTTTTCTGCCTGACCAGATGCGGTGCACCGACCGGGCTGAGACCTCTTAACGTTGCTTTTTCCCTGATCCAAGGTCGCGAGATCGCAGCAATCACCCGTGGTTGGGGGAAGAGCCCCCGAGGAACCTAGGACAATGACGAGACGAGACGAAGACGTGTCGCGATATGTGCTTGGTCTACCCTGCACCTGAAGCTGATTTTCGCCGACGCACGCTGCTTTGTGCAAATTTGTGGCAGTATAATCCAACACACTTCCGCGTTTGTCGGCGAAACCAAAGGCAGCGGCGGCGAGGCGAGTGGTAGTCAAGGACTCACTTGACTCGGCCGAAGGAGGATATTCTTGGATCCTGGGGTTGCACATGTCGAGTACACAACATGCGGCGGGGACTTTGTCTCCAAGGCTAAGGACATTGTCTCGGGCCCTTTGGGTACCTTGACCCAACTTGGTTCGGTTCGGTACACGCCCCCTCGGTGAAGTAGATAGATGATGATGTTTGTTTTGTTGTTGCACTCACTGAGTGCCTCGGATCAAAATAAACATCACGGAACTCACGCGACACAGTTATTAGGGATCTTCAGGTTCGGGAAAGGGGACCCCGTTTCAAGAACTATTTCTCATCTGAATCCAAAGTTGGTCTCCCTCGATGAGACGACGGCGGGGGAAAAGGTTAGTTTGGGTTTGCCCTTCGTCCCGCACTGGCCGGACTGTATTCCGTCCATCATCTCTTCTCGAACCCTTACTCCCTTTTTTGGCTCCAAGGACTTGTCCGGTTCCAAGGGAACGGTGAAAAAGCGTACGATGTTGTCATACTAAAGTCTATACCAGCAAAGTCTATTCATGCTCTATCGATTCATTAGCAGAGCCTCCATTCCTCACGCCAGACAGCCGGCCAAAGTCGTCGCCGGGACTAAGGCTTCGAAACGAGGGCATCGGTAAACTCCAGCGTGACGACACCGTCGCGACTCTCCACGACCTTTACGGAATCGAGGTCCCTGACGATCCAGTCGGGCTCGGCGCCCGCGACCTGCTCAACGGTGTGGCTCGTGACGAGGCCCAGCACCTTGCACCCGGCCTCCTTACCGGCCCTGATGCCGGCGGGACTGTCCTCAAGGACGAGCACCTGCTTGGACGCGTCCTGCAGGCCGAGCTTCGCGCGGCCGATGCGGTAGCAGGTCGGGTCCGGCTTGCCGTTCTCGACGGACTCGGCGGTGACGAGGTGCTGGGGCTGCGGTAGTTTGAGCGCGTCGAGCCACCCGCCCACAAGGGGTTCCGTCCCCGAGGTGACGATGGCCCAGGGAGCGGATTTGGCGATGAGGGCGTCGAGGAGTGCCCTTGCCCCAGGGATCTCGACAGCGTCTCCTCCGTAGAGTTTCGGAAGGCGGCCTTCCATCTCACGCGTGTCTGCGAGTAATACCTTTGTTAGCCTTCTTTCGCGAACCCCTGAATACGCGATCCCCCCCCCTCCTCCCATTCCCCCCTTGCGTCATGAAGTGAACATGCATGAAAAAAGTTGGGGAAACCTGACCGACGGCGTGCCGGTGAGTCGTGTTTAGGTAGGTGAAGTAAGGGGGGAACGTTAGATCAGGAACAGAAACAGGAACCAAAACGCGAGATCAGACAACGGAGATCTGAGATTTTGTTATTGTGTGTTTTGTACTCACACTCCCAATTTGCTTTTTCAGGGGCCAGAATCTTCAAGATGTCGATGCTACGACGGCCGTGCGAGGTCTCGAGGATGACTTCGGGCGCGACTCCTATTTCGTTGCCGACGCTGCAAGGGAGAGAGAGAAGACCGGTGTTAGTGGGGTTTCGAGAGATGAGAGTGAGAGAGGGCAACCCCTCATGCAAGGGATGAGGAAAGATGATGATGATGATGATGCTGATGAACCGGTGGAGGTGGGGTTTTGCGGTTTCCTCTTACGTGTGCCAGTGCTTCACGACGGCCTCTGTTGAGTCGATGATGGTTCCGTCCATGTCGAAGAGGAAGCCATCAAAGGCGATGCGTTGCGGAGGGGCCGTGTACGACATTGATGAGTCTGGCGGGCAGAGTTAGCGGGGCATCTCTCTCTGATGTAAGTTGTGAATGTATACCTGAAGAGCGAAACGCGTTTGGTTAATGTTTTGAATCTACGTTGGTGGTCTTTTTATGTAGTCTTTCATGAGAAATTTGTTGAATCCAAAAGTCTAGTTGAGATTACCAGTTGAAGTTGAGTGAGATATGACTCTGAAAGGATCGTCGAAGTTCCGAGTCGGCAACGACAACCTTGGTAATCCGCCTTTACCAGCCCGCTATTTGAGCTGCGGCACCTTTCCAGCGGCCAAAAACACCGAGACGGGCATTTCTGTCCACCGGAAGGACCCTCTCTGACACTGCGGCAGCGGTACCGCGGCAGTACCGAGCGACTGTGGTCCACCGGTTCCAGCACGCCCTTTTTTTTTCTTTCTTTTTTACTGTCAACTTTTTTCCTTATGTCAGCCGTCGCGGGGCAAAGTCGACCATGGCGGGGCTCCTGTTTTGGGATTAGCGTCAGGCGGTGAGGATTCTCCAGTGGGGAGCGATAGCGATAGCAGAGGCGGTGTGTTCTGGCAGAACCCGACCTCCCACTAAATTTTTGAAAGTTGCACTGCAAGGACTGAGCGAAGCGCCAGGAAAGTTTTGCGGCGGTCGAGGTAGCAAAGTACCAACCAAGCTCACCCCCATACAACAAAATCTTGCCAAACCAACTTGGTCAGATATCACGATGGCTGGCTCAATCAACAAACCCAAGAGTATGTGACTATATCCTCTGACTTATTTGATATCCTTTTCGTTTTCCCTTTTGACTGACAGTATTTCTCCGCAGAGCCAAAGTCCAAGAGGACGACGGTTCGCCTCCGCCACAAGATCGAAAAGAAGTCGGCGGCGAAGCAGAGGAAAGACAGAAAGAAGGCCAAACAGAACCCGGAATGGCGCACCAAGCTCAAGAAAGACCCTGGTATCCCGAACCTGTTTCCCTACAAGGAGAAGATCCTCGAGGAGATTGAGGAGAACAAGCTGCGCAAGCAGGAGGAGGCCCAGAAGCGTCGCGAGATGGCAAAGGCCGCCAAGACGGGCACCACCGTCGCCGGTGCGACCGGCCAGCAGGTCGACGTCGCCGACGACGATATGATGGTTGAGGATGATGAGGACGACGAGGACGACTCGAATCCCATGGCCGCTCTCCTGCGCAGCGCGAGGGCCGCCGCCGAGACGTACGAAAAGGAACTGCGCGACGACGACGACGACATGGACTCGGACGACGACTCGGGCGACGACTCCGACGCGCCCGCTGAGATCCCCGTCGGCAACGCCACCTCCCGCAAGGCCTTTGACAAGGTCTTCAAGAACGTCGTCGAGCAGGCCGACGTCATCCTCTACGTCCTCGACGCCCGCGACCCTGAATCCACTCGCTCCCGCGACGTCGAGCGCAGCGTCATGGCCGCCGCCAGCGGCGGCAAGCGCCTCATCCTCGTCGTCAACAAGATCGACCTTGTGCCCCCCAAGGTCCTCAAGGACTGGCTCGTCCACCTCCGCCGCTCCTTCCCGACCCTGCCCCTGCGCGCCTCCAACCCGGCGCCCAACGCCCACACCTTCAACCACAAGGAGCTCACCGTCCAGAAGACGTCGTCCGACCTCTTCCGCGCCCTCAAGTCCTACGCTGCCAGCAAGCAGCTCAAGCGCGCCGTCTCCGTCGGCGTCATCGGCTACCCCAACGTCGGCAAGTCCTCCGTCATCAACGCCCTCCTCGGCCGTCTCTCCGGCGGCCGCGGCGCCTCAAAGGCCTGCCCCGCCGGCGCCGAGGCCGGCGTCACCACGAGCATCCGCGCCGTCAAGATCGACAGCAAGCTCACCCTCCTCGACTCCCCCGGTATCGTCTTCCCCTCCGCCACCAACGCCTCGACATCGGGCCTCGTCTCCCTCAAGAACGCGACAGACGCCCATGCCCACCTCGTCCTCCTCAACGCCGTCCCGCCCAAGAACATCGAGGACCCCATCCCGGCCGTCACACTCCTCCTGCGCCGCCTCGCTGCCTCCCCAGACCTGCTGCAGAAGTTGACCGACGCCTACGACCTGCCGACGCTGCTGCCTAGCCGCACCGACGGTGACATCACGACCGATTTCCTGGTGCAGGTCGCGCGGAAGCGCGGCCGTCTGGGACGCGGCGGTATCCCCAACATCAATGCTGCCGCCATGACCGTCGTCACCGATTGGCGTGACGGCCGTATCCAGGGCTGGGTTGAGGCGCCTGTCCTGGCTGTCCAGAGCGATGCCAAGGACGCTGCGGCTGCTGGCCCCGTCGCTGACGACGTTGCTGCCGCGGATCAGAAGACTATTGTCACGGAGTGGGCCAAGGAGTTCGATCTCGGTGACTTGTTCAGCGGACTCGCTGCTGTTGGCGATGAGGACGAGGCGATGGAGCAATAAAGAGGCGGTGTGGTATAGTAATGGAGAGAACATAGTGGGGGGAGAGAGGAGGAGCACATGATATCAAAAGAGAAAGTGGAGAAGATGTTGTGGTCCCATTTCTTGGGTTTTTAACTCCCTCATGGAGAGCCTGGCTGGCTGTTAGAAGCCTCGTTTTGTTTCACATGGCGTTTTTGGGGGCGGTTAAAGGGAAAAATAAAAAGCAAAGAATGACGATTTAGCCCGTTGTCCTCGTTCAAATCTACACATGCTCCTTGATACGGAATGTTCTCTTGATTTGATCTGACCTCTATGAGATTAAAAAGACTCCTCTCATCCCCGGTGACCTGCTGCTTTCCATCCGTTTGACAGCGTCTGGAGAAAAGATTGCATTCGCATGGCGTCCCACGAAAAGCTGTGATGAAGTCCCGGATCACAGCCAGGCAGACGAGAACCTCGCGCTTGGTGATTGACTTGCTGAACCTCGTAGCCATGTTAACACCAGTCTTTCACGGTGTCAATTGAAGACTAGAAAATTTTCGCCAAGCCCAACCTTGTTGTGCTTGATGACCCACGCGTAAGCTGGGCTGGGAATGCCCTCAGAAGGCGATATGGGCTCCATCTCAGCCCAAGGAAAGTTGGCCTTTTGAACGTTATCTAAAGTGAACCAATAGTCTGAATGTCAGCAAGCGTTGCCTTCGTTGATAGACGACTTGACTCGATGGTTGAGGCACTGACCTGGGTAAAACCAAAGTTGTCTCAAGATCTGGAAATGCATCCAATCCTCTCCGATTCGGGGGATGTTCTTCTGCAAGGTACGCTTGAAGATTTTAAGCATGATAGCATGTGCAGTGTCTTCGAGTTCGTTGACCATTATGTCAGGCTCCTTTCCAGCTAAATTCTGAAGCACCATGCACTCCACAGAGGGATTCGGACGGTTGTTCTCCGGGAATTTCTTCAGTAGGGTCTGCAGCTTTGTCCTCCGCCGTCCACTAAGCATCCAGTCTTTCCACGCAGTTTTTAGCTGACCCCGAGAGAAAACAAGCGATGAATTCTGTGGCGCAAGTGGCTTGGGGATGCTGGCAACTTTGGGTGTCTGCTGAGACTCGTGGGTGACCGCTGGTGTCGAAGGCCTCTTCCTGGGAGATGCCTTTGTCTCCGTAGCAGTAGACGTCGCTGGACTCTCGACTGTAGGTATGCGTTGCTCCATGACTGTAGCTGTCAAATCCACGACTTTGGTAGTTGTAGGCGTCTTGAACTGGGGTGCTACTTCGCTGGTATCGGGCCGGAGGCTCACAATGCCTGTGATGATGACATTCTCGCTGTAGTCGAGAATTCTGTCAATCATGGCATGGGCTTGCTGGCGTGATCCATGAAAAGCGAAAGTGTCATCCGAAATATGATCAATCACGGGCTTTCCAAGGCGTCTGGTGTTGTTGATATTGGCGGTGATGTCTCCAGAGTCGTCGGTATTGAAGGCGACGTCGAGGCGTCCGAAGACGGGCTTGATGTTGTCGGAGGCCGGTGACGACAGTTTGACTCGCTTGGCCGATGGCTGAGATGACGCCTCCGCGGCAGACTCGCCATCAACCTCCATCTTTCGTCAATCTATGGATGAAGTGTCAGGAAATCAGACGATGTAGAAGGGGTAATTTGGGAAGGCAAATCTGAGAATGAGATTAATCTGGATAGTGGTGTAATCTAGAAGTGGATTTGGGTGAGGTGGAAGGGTGAGTGTTGTAGGCAGACACGACTGAGGCGGTTCCTTCTCCTCCTGGAACACGTTCACTGAGTAGTGTGGGACCCTCACCTTGAGGACGTCAGGTTCCAGACAAGCAGGCGACTGATCCGTTATCAATAGGATATAAAAGGCATGACTTTCTCTTTTGCTACCACTATACTAGGAACATACCATAGTGAATATACTCGGATAACTTCTACTTATACAGAACAACAGCTCCAATAGTGCTGGTTGTAGCGATGGTGATAGAACGAAGCTCCTGGTATATACAAAGTTGTAATATATAAAGCTGTAGTTGCCTGGGACACCGAATTCCGGACTAGGGTTATGAGGATACTGAAACTTGTAAATTGTTGACCTGGGTAACTTGCCATAAGTGAGTTCACGAGTGAAAGGGAAAGCCATGTCGTTGCAGTCTATGAAACATTTGCTTTACCCGGTCAAATGTAGAATAGCTGCCGAACGGCGCCATCGTCTTCTAGAAAAACCAGGCTGCTGCTTATCCTTGACTATACCGTTGAGTTCAGCTGACTTCAATACTGATAATCCGTAAAGGCCTTTGTCGGCTATCTATATCAAAGTTTTTATGCATCCATTGCACGTGAGTTCCCAGTGGGTGTTACGCGGTATGGTCCATACTTGCTCTATAGTTAAATTACGCCAAATTTCTCTCTCATACGCAAAAGATTCGCCTTCAATCAAATACGATCAAGCGTATAATTGCTTAGGAAAATAACATTGTTGTTGAGCACGTGCAAACAACACTTTTGAGTCATCTTGAAATGGCTGAATCAGACACGCGGAGGCCCTACGGTTGGATTTATTCGCTCGATAGAAATCCAACGCCATGGAAGTCACACAGATGACATTTCAACGAACATCTTGAAGATTGAATAAAGAACTTGCGCGGTGTATTTTTCAGTGCTGAGACGGAAGAAGCCAAGTGTGGGGTCTGCGAAGTCAGGCCTGAGGCAGTCTTCGCGGCGTTGATTCTGACCTGAGTAGTTGCCGCGAGGCAAGTAGGTAGGTGTTTACTGTATCGCCTGCCTCTACCATGAGAAACTCATTTCCGAAATCGCTGTATTCTAGTGTATTTCAATTCGCTCGGATTACGTACTCACGTGATGCATAGGTGACGGAGGTCAGGTGAAGTCGTCTCCATTCTTCCTACCTGCAAACGCCCCTGCCCTGCACTTCACTCTCAACTTCAACTCAAAACGTTACGTTATCTTTTACCAACACAAAGATAGCACGCTGGTAAGGCGTTTCAAAGTGCTTCCTGTACAAAAGAAGAAAGATACATTTCTACATTCTCGCCAAAAGCTCCCCTCTCTAATGTTTGCGTGTCCTACCAATTGCAGCGGCCTACCTTCACAACATTATCCCTCTTACGACCACGTCAGAACAATCTCTCGAGATGAAGAGATACAGAACTCATAGCTCCAGCTCAGATGATTGAACTACGGGCCTTATGACGTTCGACAGTCAAGGACGGATGATAGAAGAGACGTCAATGCGGTCAAAAGACCCAAGACGAACGATGTTCTGGATGGCACTTTGTCGATGCACTCGGGCGACGAGAGATCGGTACAGAGCCTAAGCATGGAATCCGATATTTCTGAGAGAGACTCCTTACAGTTCAACAATTAACTTGCCTGGCGGACTTGAGCTCGACAACCCCAAGTTGAGCTCCTACACCGAGAGTCAGATATTCGAGAACCAGGACGAAATACAGAGTGTCCATGATGACAGGCTCGATAGAGCTCCCCTAAGACATCCAAGTCGCTCTATCGACGGCGCAGACCGGAGCAGAAGTAGCCCCAATCATGGCGGCCTTTCTGAATTTCGCCATCGCAATGACACCCATCGAGATACACAGCGACCGGTGGCTACCAAGTCGAGTGTTCAGAGAGGAGGATCTCACCAAAGTCCCTCTACGAGATCATTCCAGGGCACCTCTAGCGGAAGATACAATGCCAATCGCGCCCACCATACACAGGAGAAGCCACACAACAGAACCTCCCAAGGCGAAGCAAGATCGGCGCCGACCCACGCTCCCATGGCTCCCGCAATGGACTCGAAACCCTCCCAGTACCTGAGCAACGGTGGTCAGAAGCGAAACAAGGTCTACCACGACACCGACATCCGCCGTCACAAGCCGCCCTTCCGAGGCAAAGTGAAGATGACAAGCGAGGAAAGAACCCGGAACCAGATCACTACCTCGCATTTCCTGTGCGGTGACCGCTTCAACCCGAACAACATCTGCACCAACTGCGGGCACGCCGGCCACTGGCTCGGCGACTGCGTATTTCCAGACGACAACGGCACAATCATGGGATGTCCGGTCCACAACACAAAGCTTCACGTCTTCGACGACCGCCCAGACCTGCCGTATATGACCCTCCAGCAGCGCGTGACGGCCCTCGTCGTGCGCAGGCGGAACGAGCCCGCGATCCGGTCGAGGAAGCCGTGGATCGAGCTCGTAAAGGAGACAATGGGTCAGGGCCTGGAAGAGTTGGTGTGGGCGCCCTCGGTGTGGACGCAGGAGTTTGTGGTGCGAATGATTCACGACCGCAAAGCCCTTCAGCCGTGGCTCGACTTCGATTACGGTCAGGACCTCGTGTCCAAGTTGCCCGTCAATCCGGAGACGCAGGGAGATCTTGAGTCTTTGCTGCAAAAGTCTTTGTTGTGGGACCAGGTTCATATGCCCGTTCGCCAGGCTCGTTAAGCATGATTTTCTTTTTTTCGGGGGGGGGGGTTTGGTGTGTTTATATCTGTGACCAGATGTGTACAGTACGAGGCTGAGGGCGAAGATGGACACGGACTGAGTCTGATGATGAATAATGTGCGCCTCCACAGGCTGTATACGATACTCTAGATAAGCAAACATGGCATGGTACTACTGTGGTGTCGTGTTGACCGAGACAATCCTGATGTCGGAAAATGCTGACTTGGAGATATGAGCATGACCTATTCCGTCACATGGAATAATACCCAAACGACTAGTTCTACTCACATTTCGCACTTCAGACATTGCAAAACGAGAGGAGGCATAAATAAAATGGTTCATCTCTAGAACTTTCAGGTGGCTTAATCTCTGCCATCTTCTACTTCAACACCCCAAGACACCCAAGAATCCGTATACTTTTTTCCCATTCCCATGTCTCAGCTCATCCACACACGCAGAGCCCCTAAACGCTAACAAGCTCCATCTTGACACCCCTCTTGCCCGTCATCTCATCCTTCTCATCCGTAACCTTGACCTTGACCTTCTGGAACAGCTCCACCCGCAACTCCTTGCTCCCGCTCGTGGTGAGGACATAATTCTCGGCATCGAACGCGCTCTCGGGCTCGGGCTCCGCAAGGTCTCGCAGCCGAATCAGTCCCTCGATACCGAACCGCGGCACGAGCACCACGAAGCCGTTGCTGAAAATCTTCATCACAAAGGCCTCCTCCTCGGCGACCCGGCCCTTGAGGGCCTGGCCGACGTAGTAGGCGATGCTGGCGCGTCCCGCGAGCTGGGCGTTGCGGTGACGCACGTTGATGTTCTTGCACACAGCCTCGAGGCGGCCGCGGCTGCGGACGGCAGGGTGGATGGCCTCGTAGCCGATGGCGGCGGCGAGCTGGCGGTGGGCGACGAGGTCGGCGTACCGGCGGATAGGGGAGGTGAAGTGCGTGTAGATCTCCGAGGCGAGACCGTAGTGGCGGAATTCCGGGTAGGCTTGGGTTCCGGAGCAGAAGTACTCTGCCGACATCATGCAGCGCGTGGCCATGATGCGGACCAAGGTGTTGAAGAAGGGGTCGACGGGGTCGACGCAGGTGTCGAGCGAGTCGGCGAGCGCCTTGCTTGAGTCGACGCGGAGCTCGAGGCCCTTTTTGACGCGCAGCTGGTTCGAGAGCTCGTCAAAGTTAGTCTTGGGGGGCGCGCCGTGGCGACGGAGGATGGCGGTCTGGGGGAAGGCCTCGTAGATCTTGGCGGCGACGCTGACGTTGGCGAGAAGCATGAACTCTTCGACGAGGGACATGGTGTCGAGGTGCTGCTTCGTCTTGACGTCGATGGGATCCGACGTCTCAGACTCCATCTGCACCTTGACCTCGGGGGATGACAGGCTGAGGGCGCCGGCGTCCATGCGCTTCTGCTTCAGCTTCTTGGACAGCATCATGAGCGTTCTGATGCTGTTGGTGAGGTCGTCCTGCTGCGAGGCATCGTCGACGCGGAGCTGGGCCGCCTCGTAGCTGAAGGCTTCCTTGGACTGGATAACTGACTTGGTAAAGCGGGCGCCGACAACGTCTGCGTTGGCATTCATCTCCCAGATACAGGAGAAGGCGTAACGCTCGACGTAGGGCTTCAGCGAGCACAGGTCGGTACCGAGAAGCATTGGTAACATGTCGATTCTCTTATCGACCAGGTACACGGTAGTGCCTCGCAAGCTGGCCTCCGTGTCCATGGCATTGGCGGGCTTGACAAAGTGGGAGACGTCGGCAATGTGGACGCCAACCTCAAAGTTTCCGTTGGGGAGAGCCCTGGCGTGGAGAGCGTCGTCAATGTCCTGACAGCCGATGGGGTCGATACTGCAGATGAGGAGCTTGCGAAGATCCTCTCTATCCCTCCAGCCGGGGTCTTCCAGGCTCTGTGGTACTCTCCAGTCATGACCCTCCTTTGGCAGACAGTCGAGTACCGTCTTGGGGAAGGGACGATACTGAACATCGTACTCCAACAGTAGGGCCTCCGTCTCCGCAGCCTTGGTCTCGAGCTCACCGAGCGAACGTACAAAGTGGCCCACGGGGTGCCGAGAATCGCGGTCCCAGGCATCAATCGTAACCAACAGGCGTTTGCCGAGAAGCTCGGCAACCTGTCTCGAGCGCAGCTTGATCTTGGGGATGCGCTTATCCATGGGGATGAGGAACACATTGTCCGACTTGCGACCCTGGCCGCCGCTCTTGCTCGCAGACGAAGGGTCAATGTGCCCGACGTACTGTCGCCAGTTGCGCTTGATGACGCCGACGACCTTTGCCGTCGGTTGCGGCCGGCCCTCGGTGCTGTTCTTGTGCGTCTTCTTCACCTCCTCCTGCAGCGCCTTGCGCTCCTTCTCCGAGACAAAGTCCTGCGCTTCCTCCCCGTCGGCGTTCTCGTCGCGCGTGACCGCTTCTTCTTCGATGATCTTGGTCGACGGCTCCTTCCATTGGTCCTTTGGCAGGACCTCGACGACGACGACGTCGCCGCTGACGGCTCGGTTAATGTTCTCTCTGCCGAGGACGATGAGAGGCTTGGGGAACGCGGGCACGTGGATAGAGCCCTCCAGGTAGTTGTATGGCGAGACATTGAAGATGCCCTGGTGAAGAAGACCGGCCTTGACGCCGGTCATCAGCTTCGACATGGTGAAGTATTCCGGGTAGATGGGACCGGCGGGCTTCTTGGAAAAGCTCGAGTTCCGCGACTCGGCAATCATGTCCAGCAGCCTCTCGCCATCCTCAAGACCGCCAACATACTCGGAGAGAGACATGGCCGCGACGCCTTCGGCCTTGGCCTTCCTCAAGCAGTCCTGGTCATCGCTGAGCATCACGACGGCGGGCACAGTCTTGGCCTTTGTCTGCGCCAGGTGGTCGGCGTACCACTTCACCGCCTTGCGCACGGCACGGTCATTGCGGTCGTTGACCGTCTCATTGGACTCGCGGTTGACGTACGTCTCGAGACGGAAGTCGTTGAAGAAGACGTAGAAGCGCTTGTCCTCGCTCTTTGTGAGCCCGACGAGACGGTTGTACAGGGGCAGTGAGCGGTTACGCAGCTCCTCAAGCACCGTCTGCAGAATGACAACGTCGTAGAATGCTGAGCTCTGCTCAAAGAGGTCCATGGCGTTTAACAACGCATTGGTGTCGGGGACGATATAGTGCCCCTGGGGGAACGCCTTTGTCCCCGCCGGCTTGTCAGAGAGGATAAAAGGTTGAACTAGGAATCGTCGTCAGTGATCATGCTCGTGGCGATAAATCTAAATGGGGGTAAACTCACCATTATTGGCTGCATCTCTAGGCGCCGTCTGCAGACAGGCCCGGCACAGCTTTGACGAGCAGGGAATATCTTGACGCAGGTAAACCTCCCTCACAATCTTCTGAACCTTGCCTTTCCTTGTCGAACGGACGTAGACCTTGCTGGAGATGTTGGCGGCGAAAGGGTCCGCCTCGAATGAACGCTTAAGACTCGTCATCTTTGACTTGCCAATATATCAGTCGCCTCGTTGTCGAAAACTGAGTTGGCGACGTAGGCTCTTGAATTTTCTTTGAAATTATTATTCCGCCGCCCCTTCACACTGGGCACTCTTTGATGATGAAAATTGAAGTGAGGTGAGGCGCGGTCACCGTGGGGCGGCTGACAAACGAATCAGGGAGCTTGTGGCGCTTGAACGGTTGCTTATCGGAAGACGTCCAGATTGCTTATCTCTTATCGATAACACACTTATCAGCGTCATTGCATCAGCCACTTCACCGTGACACCTCATTTCTGTGTACCCAAGGTACGTCTCGCAGACTTTCGGTTTCAAACGATGCATCATGCCGTGCACCCCAAGATCAATATCGTGGTCCGCCCTCTTGACAGCAGCTGGACGCGATAGGCTTGCTGAACCCGTGTTGTCGCCATCAATCTAAGAAGGGCTGTCTTGTCCTCGCCGACAGCCTCATCGGGAAGTAAATCTTTTAGTTCGTCCGGGACTCGGGTGGGCTGGCCCGAGGAGAGTCAAGTCACCAGAGTGTCTCTCGTATTACTACACTCTTCAAGTGTTTACCGAGCTTATCACGGTGGAATTACTAGGGCACGCGCGCCGTCCCCCTTCTGACGACGGACGAGTACTGAAGGAGATACGAATAAGCCGATCAGCCGAAATCTCTCGGGTTCAAGCTTCGCTGTACACTGAAATCTCACAAGGAACGCGTAGAGTTAAGATTCAGCTGCCGACTACCTAGATAAGAAAGCAAGCCCGCTGGTCTAAAGCTACCCAAGTCCCCGTGTGAGCGCTCCATCTGTCGTCGTCGGCGTCGTTCCCGAGTATCTGTCTCTCTTCGTTGCGCGCCCGGTTCCGCTCATGAGCGCACGGCGGGCGCCACGGCGGGAAGAGGGAAGAACAATAAAATAAAAGCAAAAATTTAAAGCTTGTGTAACTTTGACCCTTTTTTCGCTGGTTACACAAAGGGGGGGGGAGAGAATAAGAAGCCACAATATCCAAAAATAAGAAGGACGAGGGAAGGCGATGAATGGGATTACTTCGTCCCATCAATCGGGAAACAAACCAACCTGTTTCGCAGACACGCCCCCTTTGTGCTTGGTCTTTTGTGTTTGTGTGGTTGTTAGTATATGGATGTGTGTGTGTGTGTGTGTGTGTGTGTGTGTGTGTGTGTGTGTGTGTCTAGAGAGTGTGTCCCGCCTCAAACTTGACGTTTCCTCTTCTCCCACAGGACCCTCGAAAAAAGGATCTAACTCGTGGGGTGTGTGTGTGTATGCGTGCCGACTGGAAGAAGAACTCGTAACAGTAAATCGATTAAACGAGGGATCAGAGCGGCGCGAAAACCGGGATTCTAAAAGCTTTTGCTTACTGATGTTCCGCGTTTGGTTATCAATCATCAAATGGGCTTACCTTACTTCGCCAATGATATGATCTACGGAAAGGAATCGCGAAAGAAAAAAAAAGGCTACGGTTACAGGGACTCTGACCGGCCGCTGGCCGCTTTTGCCACGCCATGTCAGGTCAGGTTACCCTGCTTGGATTCGGCCGCCCCGGTTCCGTGGCCCAGGCGGCTCGGGGGGGAGGGCGCACGCACACTTGCACGCACGCATCGCTCGCGAGGCCACTGCGGGAACGGCCCTCATGTCAGCGTTGCATCCTGCTGGAAACCGTCGACGCCTTGGGCCCTTCCCTCGATCTTACGGGGGAGAATTATGAATGGAAGGGAGGGGCCGGGGGCGGCATGGCATGGCATGGCATGGGCCAGGTTGGCTTCTGCAGGTGTCCGAGAACTCTTGGCCAGGCGCGGGAACGCACCAGGATGTGAGGGAGAAAACGGTTTCCCTTGATCAGCAGGACCAGAGATGAGACGTCGACTGCAGAAGGCTGGGCTGTTCACTCTTGTCCATTGTTCTCCCATCTTCCATCGGCCCAAAAGGAAAAATTGTCGGAGCCAAACCAATTAGGGAAGAAACCCAATCTGGCTTTATCAAGTCTGTAGCGGCTCGGCCAAGAGAGTTTTCCCCAGTCATGACAATAGAGAAACATCGTTTCGGCCGGGAGGCCGGGATCGTGGTACTCGGGGCTTCTTCCTGCATCGCAATGCATCGCAGATGGTAAAGAGTTCGAAAACGTGGACTTTGTGGGACCCTGAAAAACCTTGGCCGAAGCAGTTCAATCTTCTGCAGGGCTTGAGGTGCCTCCAGAATCTGTTGCTGGACATCAGTCCGAGAAGAGGTTGACGTCCAAGGAGGCTCGAGGGCCACAGCAAGGGTCACACCCCGTCGCATTCGCAGCGTACGAGTCAAGCGCATGAAAATAAAAGCAAACAGCCTCCCTTGGTTCGGCTCGTCGTCTGAATAAGCTATGAGCAAGAGTCGTAAAATACTGTAAGCTGAGAAAGGCGAGACAGATTAGGAATGGGGCATAAATCCACGACACACACATCTGTGCGGAGGCGGGAGCTAAAAAACGACTGTCATGGGCTGGGCCAAACCTGTTTTACAAATGTGTTAATCGTCTCCATCGGGAATCGTTGAAAGAAACATATTGCGCCACGGAGTGGCCAAGGTGAAGCGTACGACGGCCAATGGCGGTTCTCGCGTGTCTGAACACGACGTCCAGCAAGGTTCATCGCTGTCGGTCGTGGTCCTGGTGGTATTCCGTCGACCGGTAGGTAGTGTAAGGTAGGTAGGCAGGCATTGCGTAGGCAGATAGTCAGTTACACTGGCCATGGCAACATAGAGCAGCGGCGTGATGTTCATGTGCCGATGATACCGCTGTGTCGATTACACCCCGAGTTCTCTTTCCGAGTGGTACGGTTGCTGTGTAAGAGTTGACCAACTCCGCCGAAGCCGTCCCAGGAAGCCGGCCACTGGCTGGTAGAGTGGCACGCCAGTCGGCGTCGGAACCCGGTTGGAGGGTCCCACGATGATCGATCCAACAAACCACGGACGCCGGCGAGGGTTAGGTTACGTTACGCATGGCCGCCCGTAAGACTGGGCAACGTATGAAGAAGGAAACATTAGGGGCCCTTTCGGCGTCTGATGCTTGTATCAAGAGGTAGATGGGCGCTCTTCGTGGGAGTAGAGAGACGTGGTCGTGAATGGATGACGTTGTGTTTTGGACATATTTGAAGGAAGGGTGACATCGTCTTGATCGGCCCTCCTCTGCCCCAAGCCTGCTGGAGCATGAATCAGAGATGAGCTAGATGAAGGGTAGAAAAAGAAAGCAAACTACTAACGATGAAGGCATGCATATATCCCGTCCCTCCACCAGCGAACCTGGAGAGGGTAGGGCATGCCGCCGAGTAGCCAACCACAACCTATCTGTACATGAAGAACCGTGAACCATCGCCCACAAACAATAGAACGGGGGCCAGAAGATAGAGAGAGTCAGCGGCATACCAATTATGACTTACATATGTAAGTATGCTGAGCTGGGGGTGTGATGGTGTAAGGTGGTGTAAATGTTGGTGTGGTGGTGAAGGTAAGGGTGGTGGCCGTGTCTCCACAGCGGCTAGACACCCGCAGATGTACATTAGCTGCTACTGCTGCTTATTGCTGGTTGCTAGCTATTGCTGCGAACGAGAAGCGATGGAGATCGGAATTGACCATGCCTGAATGGGTTCCCACAAAGGAAAACGAGATGGGCGAGATCATGCCGTGTAGATGCTCTTCTGCAGTTGGAGGGAACCTGGAAGGAGAAGGGTGGGCAGGCAAGGCAAGGCAGGGCGAGTCGAAGAATGGTAGGGGAGAGGAGGGAAGATGAGGTGTAGGTGGGGGAGCGTGATGGGAGAAGGAGGAGGAGAAGGAGGATGAGGAGGCTTAGGGGGTGTGGGAACTGCGAATGGAAGGGCACGCCGCACTGGAGGCATAAAGCCCCCCTTCCTCGACTGGACTGGTGACTGGCAGCTGGGTTTTGACGGGGGGAAGGGTAATGGATGGGTATGGGTATGGGGGATGGAGGGGAATCTGAAGGAATGGGGAATGGATGAGCGTATGCTGCACGAGCGGGTAGCCAGGGTCCAAAGGTAGCTCCCGCGCTGCAAAAAGGAAACACAGCGGGCCATGTCCACCTGCCAGTCCTTGCAACTATCCAAGTTGTGGTGTAACTGGTCAAGTTGTGAGGTGTTGTGTAAGTCGTTCTCGCCCCCGTCCATCCAGTCTCCCGTTTCCCGTCCGTCCTCCATACACTAGGTATTACAGCCACAACCCCCAGTCACCTTCCCCAGCCTCGTTCTCATCTCAGTCAAGGCATGCCTTGTTCAACGATTGATAACGAGAACCAACACCTAGTTCCATAATCATGGCCTCTCAACATCCTTTCCAGGCTAGTGGTCCATGGAGCATAGACGGTAGACAGACCGAGGCTTGCTTCCATCCTCAGTCTCCCTCAAATCGTCGAGGCTTCACCTCCCTATGCTAACCCAGCCAGGAAGTCAAAGCAGATAATGATAGAGGCGAACAGCACTATTACCATGGGCTAACGGGAGCTCACGGACAACACACCTACTAATGCTACCGAGACAACACTACCTCATTCAAGAAAATAGCTTAAACCGATAGCAATGAGCATCGGCTGGCGTCCATCCCCAGGTTAATAAGCGGCAAGCCTCAACGTTTGATGAAAGCACCTACCTGACACCCCTCGCTGACCTCTTTTGCTTCAGCCCTCCCTTCCGTTCTACCCCAGACCATTGGGTGCCGCTGCGCCGGCAACCACGGTTTGACAGCCACCCATCACAGCAAGTAGTGGGCATGGACTCGACACCACCCATCCCGAGTAGGAACATGGCCAACCGCTCCCGAGGTGAGGCCCAGACGCAAGGGCCAGAGCCGCTGTTGAGGCCAGGGGAGGTGTGCAAGAGAGAAGAAAGCCAAGTGCAGCTCAGGAAAGCTCAGGACGTGTGACCACCGTCACCTCCGTACATCCCATAGCAACGTCCTCTGCCTCTATGGCCCGTCTCTGTATGGATAGTGCATCTTCAAATAACGTTGGAACAGGAGATGCTGCCGATGCCGATGCAGCAGCTGAAGTAGCAGTTGCTCTGCACCATCATCCATCCATCCATATCCACTACCGGCAGCTCGCTGTGGACCACGATAACAACCTCTCGGTTGTTGCCGTGCATTTGGGCTGGCACGGCTCGTTCGGGGAGAATTAAATGGTTGGAGGTGTGGAAACTCGCCCGCCCGTAGTCACAACCCTCTTCGTCCGTTGTCTCGACTCTTTAAACCCTTTGATCTTCTTTCACTCTTGCAGCAGTATTGCAGGCACTGCTGCTTCCCAGCTTGCATCAAATCATCCCAAATGGACGGAAAGGGAGCAGCACCTCTCGCACCTCTGGTGTCTGGTGTACACCACCATGCTGGCCGTCCCCTCCATCACCACCAACCCCTGCTTAACCGTCCACCAGGCCATGCCTTGCTCGTGCTATGCGCAAGGAAACAGATGCCAATCCATCCTGAGGGTGGGGCTCTTTTGAACCCATGATTTCTTGCTTGGCTTGTGCGTCGGTCATGAACGTGACTTGTTGACCCAATCGCGTACGGGGATTCGGGGTGAACCAACAGCCAAGGCGTTTCTAGGCCATCTTTTCGTCGATATCTCCCCCCTCCATCTTCGCAATCGCTGCCGCCCATACCTTACCTTATGCCTGCTCACTCTTTGCCGCAGGGCCATAAGTAGTCGTGCTGTGAGTGTACGCCGTACAGCTAAGCTCAACTCTTCACACCATCTTTCCCTGAGGCAGAAGCTTCCCACGTACGGTCTGTCCCCTCCTCCCGAACAAGCCTGTCTGATTTCGTCGCTCTTGATCTTTTGATTTGTCCAGTCTATGTGTGCTGCCCGGACTCTGCCCAGATGTTGAGTCATCTGGTTCGCAGTAGCTTCAGCATAGGTAACAGTAGCTAGCCCCTCGCTCCTTATCTGATCGAGAACCAGCCTCAGCCGCCGCCGAGGGACGCGTTCTAGAGGCGCGACAACCTGACGCGAGGCAACGACAAGCCAGAGCCTGGCCATCATGACCACTTGCGAAACAAGCGGGGAAATCTGACCGAAGCCACGCGGGACTTCTGCGGTTGACCGGTCTTTTGCTCCATTATGTCCGAGGCATCTCCGCCCTGCGGAAGTCGTTACGGCGGAATCCTTCCTCGTTCTTGATTTCAATATGCACACATCCCAGCCTTGAGCCACCTCGGCTGAAACGCATCCACTTGTTGACAATTCTTGTATGTCGACCTCGAGGCTCGAGTAAGGCCGCTGCAGAGACACGAGTAAGTGGAAGCTTCTTCACGACTAATAAAAACGCTCTTTTCGCGTCTTGCTTTCGAAGGTTGTCGTTGGGCATAGGCCGAGACGAAGCTAGTGAAGCACCGTCTCCGCGCAAGTGCCATTTTGCGGTCTTGATAGCGACGCCGCCGTTGCTTTCCCTGACCGCTCTCTTCTCGGTTGTAAAGTCCATTTCTATCGCCGCCTTTACGATGACGGGCTACCAGTGATATCGAGTTTCAGCTGTGGCGCATACTGATATTTGAACCGGGCTAGGGTCATGGGCCAGGAGCCAATGAGCGACGGCTTTTGTCGATACGTGAACGTCCGTGATGCCCGTCAGCGATGGAGACCCATGCGTCACCTCGAAGCATCTTTGAGCTGCCAGTCGCATGCTCCGCTGTCGCCTGATGAGGAACGATGCAAGTCGAGAGGCTTTTGTAGCCAATGCAAGATGTCCTCTGCTCTACCGTCTATTCTTCTTACACAGCGGCTGCCCGAGCATGTCATCACCAAGGTCTCGGATCCGCGCAACTCCTCCGCAGTGGCCATTGCGATTTGGACCGTCGGCAATCGCATGTACATATGTGACTTCCCATAGCCAGATCCGTGACACCATGCTCATCTATCCGTACGCGGCTCTGTGGTTGGTACTAGCTACTTTGTCGTCTGCATAGTCGTCGCCTGTGAGCTGAAACCCATCGGCTCTCTACGAGACAGCGTGACAGTATCCGTAGAGCCCAATGATTTGGACGAGAGAACCCCGAAGGAGGGGAAGTGTCCAGAATCGCATTTCCTGTGTGAAAGAGAGACCCCGGTCAAGCTCAAGCAAATCAGCACAGCCTGCTTGCTTGACTTGGCTGCAGTGTCTTGCATCGCCCTTGTCCTACCTAACCTTTTCGGTCAGCTAATCGCCGACGGTAACATCTCACTTCTCCCAACACGCGGCGACTTGTTGAAGACTGTGACTGTTCATGTGATGGGTACACCGTCGTGACCGTACTGTTTGTGTCGGTCCAGGTTCGCTTCAAACCCCTTGCTAAATGGACAAGATGCCTCAGGTCGAGGAACACATTTGGTAGTCATTTCGTCCGCAATGCTTCCCCAGCGTCGAGACGATGACGAAATGTCTCTTGTCTAGCCACCTTAGGCGGCGCTGGCCGTGCCCCTAAACGTGGCGCGTGATGTGATAAACGGGGCCATTATTGCTCATGTTATCGAAATGATTGCTAGCGGCTGGCATGCAGCAATTGCCAGGAAGCTCTGGACGAGAGGAAGGCGCGGATAATGGAGGATAATGGGAGCTGCGGGCTGACCTCATTTGGGTCAGAGCCGTGTGCGACGACGACAACGACGGCCTCCCCAAGTCCACGAAGGCGCCGTGTTGTGACATTGCCGTTGGGTGCTGATTCGTACGCCGAAGCAGCAGCAGCTGCTGGACTCCGTAGCAGCATCGCAATTATTCTTTCTGTCAGGCCCTCAAATTTCCTCTGTTACTGATCCGTGGTGACCCAGTCACGTCCCTCGTAAAGTATCAACGTGCAGAGTGAGGTTTGAGTCTAAATTAGTATTTTGTCCGTGGCGATCAAGAGACAAGAGACACGAGTCGAGACCAGGGCCGCATGTCATCTTTTCTCGTGTACTGCGTAAGAATGCGCGGAGACGAGGCCGTCGTTTTGCAGAAGTCAGACGCCCCGCGAAAGGCACGACGTTCGGCTAGTATTAGGAGCATCTTGGCGGAGACCTTCCCTGATCCCATCCGTTTCGCCCGCCTTCAACCGTATTGTGAACAGGGGTCGACGTCGATAGTGTGTGCGCCATTGCTGGGGTCCTAGTCAATGGTAAGTCAGAATGGCACGCAGGCTGGAGCGATTGGCTGAACAGATTCATGGCGACAAGAACGGTGTCTGTGCGAGAAAAGAGGGCGGCGACGGGATATGTCCATTGAGCGAGTCAGTGTCGGGAATTTTCCCGCCTCCACTCTTGCACCACTTCGTGCCCGAACGGTCGACCTCACTCGACTTGCCGCCTGGCGTGTATTCGGTACGGATACCGGATATCGAAATGCAGCTATATTGCGTAACCTTCCCGCAAGAGTCTCGACTGCTTAAGCCAGAGGTGTCGCAACAGTGGCCGGCTACTTCTGGTTTCGGTTGCTGTTCATGTTACACAACCTCGGAGCCAAAGGTTGAAGGACTTCTTTTGGGTTGACCAGTAGGTCGACAAGGCATCGTTAGACGCCAGTGTGTTGCGCGCCGTATACATCCCAGGCAAAGTTTCACGTCAGGGACAATTGACCTCATGGTTCTCTCGGCACATTGTTGCTGCTTCGAGAATAGCTTGGTGATGCTGAAAACTGCTGCATTCGACCAGCGGGGGCAATCTAGAAGTAACGGGACTCTCGAAGTAGCCCAGATGAGCCAAGGATGGTTAGTAGAAATTGCCGCTTTAATGCTTCGTCCAGTCTTTGGGACAAGGATCCAGAGTTGTCAAACGAAAGTTTTGCAACTCCTCGCAGGTATCCAAGTAGGAAACAAGTCCATGGCACAGTGCTTCATTCCAAGTTGGGCCGTCTGCATATGATGCGTCAGGAAGAAACAGAATGGCTAGACGGCCTGTTGTGTCGCAACTACTCTGTAGGGATGCTCCCTTTTTTGTGCGTATAATACCGATGGAGGCAGCATAATGCTCTTCTAGTGGCAAATGAGACCGTCGTGTCGACTGCGAATCCTCCATGTCCTGCACCTACGTATCAGTGGTGCTTCGCTGTAAGTGATGGGCCGCCTAACCGCCTACTGCATTGTTTCGAGCTTTACCTACCGAAGCAGGCGGGAGCTTGCTTGGGCCGCAACTCATGCCGCGGAGCAATGCTTGGTCAAAGTTCGTCTTGGGGTCCAACGATGAGGGGACGAATGCTGCGTTTGCAAAACCTTTCCGAAAACTGGAAAACGAAATCGTTGGCAGTGATTGTGCTTCGCTCTCTTCAAATTGACGGAAACGAAGCTTGGTCGAATCAGAGTATCAAGGGCCTGTATCCGTACAGACTACATAGTCGTCGTCTGAACCTGTGCTTTGGGGGCATTAAAGCGGCCAGGGAAAGCCGAAGGACGAGGAGTGGAGGAGCTGACCCAAGGTTGTTCGGAAGGAAGGAAACTGTTCGAGTCACTCTCTAAGCCGGACTAGCCGGCGAGAGTGCGGATAGAGCGGCTTGTTCCTGCTGTTAAGTCCTGTGAAGCAGTAAACGATTCGCCTTGGCTGTTAGAGGCATTGACTGCTTCTCTTTGCTCGAATTCCGGATGACTAGAATTCGTCTGACTTCTTCCTTCTAGGACATTGATGCCAGATAGCACGCCAGCGGATGACTCCTCTATGCCCCACTCTAAGTGCTGAGTATAGTATGAAAGCGTGGGATCATGGATGTGAGGTTCGGGTGATGGCCGTGGTGGGCGTGGTTGTGGTGGTGAGATGGTGGGCAAGTTTGACCGGCATGGGCTGCTGCCAGGCCTCTTCTGGGGCTCAATGATGGGTAGTGATCGCTCCCGCACCTCATCTACGCAAGCCGGGGAGCCACTTCGCCGCAGCAATCCTGCCCGCTTCCTTTTCTAATGCAGTCGGTCGCAGTGTCGCGAGACCAGGGCAGGGGCGGTTCTCCGTGAGGAACCCCTGTCGATGTCCTGGACGGGGTAGGGGGAGTCTAGACGGGCCGCAGACTATGAGATATCAAGTATCAACGAGCGTTTGAACAGAAAGATTTTCGAGCGAGGTTGGGTGGCTGGACGTGTATGCCTGCTTGAAGGCCAGGTTACTATTATTCCATGGTTCTATATTCAGGTGTGATGCTCCGAGCGGGCCTCGGTGGGCGTTATCCAAGACTTTTGGTGTCGGATGAAGCCCTTTTTGACTTCTTGTGCAGCGAGCATCTCGCCAGGGTAATTAAACCAACTTGAAATTGGGTGATTTGAGGCTTGCATGCGAGACTCGAGAGGAGCTAGAGACTGCACTGCAAGTTGCCATGTCTAAAGGCATATCGATGAGAGAGCAGCAAGTGCAGTCTCTAACACTTCTATCGGGCAGCAAAGCGACAAGAAGGCGAGGCCAAGGAGATAACGCTCAGAACGAAAGTCGTCGTCTCCTACGGGGTGGGTGTCGAAATATCGACAGGGCTTGGATGGCGAAGAAATTCCATTCCAGGTAGGTGTTGAAGGTTTTGTCCAGTCAAGAGGCGTCGTTGGTCTTAAGACATTGACCGAGTGTTGGTGCCTTGTCTTCGGTTGGTGTTGTTGGCGTTGACGACGGCTTTGCGCGATCTTGATCATAGGCATTTAAGAATCGACAGAAAAACAGATCTCTCCACCGTACGGACGTAGCTTGGCCATATCGGTGCGAATAGAGTGTGAGGAACAGGGCATTTCTGTCACGGACAGAGATGGAATATTGCATTGCTTCGTGAGGTAGCCTGAGCATAGTCAACGATGCATAGTCTGGAAGGGGTACCATTTTGGACGCTGACTTGACGGCAGATGGCCCGGTCATTGCGTTGGGCAAACGAAGGGACATGATCACGTAACTGAAGAGGTGCTTCTGGTAGCAAGACTCGCAGATTCGATGAGGAAGGGAATTAGTTGTAGGTAGGCTCGCGATGCAGGTTGCCTCTCTGGAAGGAAGGAATTCTAAGATTGTGTGCGTTCTCGTACCTTGGGTAGTTTCCCAATAATCAATGACAGACTCACACCCCCCCTCGGCAAGAAGGTACCGCGGGGTGAGGTACTTTCTCGAAGAGGTCACGGAAAGCGCAAGGTACATTGCCATGCTGCTGGGAGTGAAGCAGGCACTCTACATAGTCAGTGCCTTACATAAGCTACCTGCCTTAGTTGCCCGCATATCATCCCGTCATCTACAGGTGCACCTCAGGCACCATGACAGACAGGACGTTCCCGTTCCTCGGCCCTCGCACATCCCATCATGCAGGCGCGTGGAAGGCGCGCTCACTTAATCGCTTTATTACTGCTTACTTTAGTTCGACCGGTCAGATAGATGCAGGCGCCAGCCAAGTGAGGTAAGATGCAGAAGCGGATGATGGACACTGAGAGGTATCCTTGGATCGGAACATGTACCTTGTCAAGTAGCTGCTCTTCCAACAGATTACGAATTCACGGGGCACCGTGGTTGATAATAGCTGTAGCTCAGCTTACATGCTAGCAGAGTAACCAAGGTGCCTTACTTTGGATACCTTACCTGGGACTCAAGAGGCGTTGTTTGCTATATTCCCAGGCATTCTGCTGTAGGTGCTTTGCCGACGGTAAAGGGTATAGACAGCCTCTTTCACACTGTTTGATTGCCCTGCCCTTCCGTTCTCTTTTCACTTGCCTGCCCGATCCCCCGTCTCAGATCTATATGACCCCAGCTGAGCTGGAGAGGAGTACAAATACCTCGAACACGGACCGGCCGTCAAGCGAAGTGGACCACTGCGTATGGCGGCTGCTAGTCTAGGCAGAGACGATGGCAAGCCGCAAAGCAATAATTCCGTCAAACTAGCTACCAACCCGAGGGCACGGAGACACGGAGGCACGGAGGCACGGAGGGGAAAAGACAATGTCAGTCAACCCAGCAGCTTCCATTGCGTTTCTGCTCCATTACTAGCGTTGGTGCTGGCACTGGCGCTGGCGCTGGCGCTGCTGCTCGTGCTGATGCTGGTGCCGGTATTGGTGCATGGCATCCCTGTCAATATCACCCTGGCATCATCGTCGTCCGTGCCCACGCGCCCAGATGGGTAGGCCCAGAGTTGGATGTGCTCCTCTTTTTCGAGCAGGCTGCATACTAGCGTACGGAGTGCTGCGTATTATGGAGCAGGGGTCTGAGAAAGTGGTCATGCTGATGAATGAACCGTTTTCCCGTTTCTCGCACGCAGCACGCGGCACGCCTGCGCCTGCATTCATACCTTACCGTACGGAGGAGAGCCCGTTTTAGAGAAGCGTGTGATGACTACAATCTGTAACTTCAACTTTCAAGGCAGTGGTGGAGGTAAAGTAATATGGTAAATATGTGTGAATACTGAATAGTGTTCGCATCTCTGCCCGTACTCTATTGTCAAGTCAAGCCTCTTTCCCAGGGTCATACTGCATTCAGTATAGATACATGGGTTTCGAGTGGCATATCGATATGCAGAAGGCGCTTTCACACGCCCTTTGCCGACTTGTAGTCTTTGTAATCCGTACATACGGAGCAGTAAGTTGCAACTTCTCGATGAAGCTGTCTAAACTCCTCGGATTCTTGGCTGGCCTCTCGTAACCGTGAACTGGGGCACACCCCTGCCACCTTCAATTGTGTCCTGTTTTTCTCTTACCCACTTGGACGCAGTACCTATGTCAATTTCTTCCTTGGCTGTGATGGAATCATCAGAGGAAGGAAGCAAAAGACTTTTTTTGCTCCATTCTCAGTCTGTTCCTTCCCTCACCTTTTCCTCTGCCTTCAGGTTCCCCGTCGGTGCCTTCTTCTTGCACGTCGTTTGACTTGCATTCTTGGATTAAACCCACCCCCTTCCGAAATTTAAATTCCACCCCCCCTTTCTCATTCCTGCCGCCCGCCGCCTCCGCCGGAAAATCCATTAAAGTGCGAATGAAGCGTGTGTTCTCTGAGGTGCTCGCCACACCCGAAGAACGCCGCCCGTCTGTCGCCGCCGTTCCTTCTGGGTCCCGGCAGCCTTCTGCGCGTTCTTTGGTTTGGTGATTTTTTTGTCGACTTTCCGTTTGGTCTGGTCTAGTCCATGTACGTTCCCTGTCACCGTCATCATAGCTGTGCCAAATCCCAATCTCAAGACTCGAGACTCAATCACCCCCCCCCCCTCCGGTAGCCTTCCCTTCCACACCACACCCTCTACATGTTTCCACGTTATACACCCCTCACCCCTCTTCTTCTTCTTCCTTCTTCTCACTCACACACTCACCACACTCTCACACCCCCCGTCAAGAAACTTGGAGACCTTGTCCCAGTCCAGTCCAATCCATTTCATTCCCAGCTTTCCCATCTTCCTTACGTCGCGTTGCGCCGGGACATCTGCAACTGACCTGCCTTCTGCTTCTGCACCTGCCGCCGCTCTTGCTGCTAGTCGCTACCACTATCCGTACCTACTCTTGCTACTCCATACTGTTCGCTCTGCGCATGCACAAGCCTATCCCAGCCAGGCTCTAGCATCGACCAAGCTCCAGCCCGCTTCCCACACCATCACCTCGCATCGCACCTGCTGATGCGACCTGCCCAGCTGCGCGTTATCCGACCTCATCCCTCCCTCCACTCCATTGGCGATTTACCAGACCCTCATTCTCCCGGCTCGCGGGGTTCACCAGTTCCTTCTGTCACTGTCAGAGATACTACACACACCAACACCACCAACACCAACAACCAGCACATACCGTAGAAACTCGAGCAACTCGAACTTGCGCTAGCCCGTGCCAGCCCTGCTAGCGGCCCACACTAAGCCCTTTCGAGGGATCAGTTTTATCCGATTATATAATCGACTAAACCGTATACGGAAGGCGGTAAGTGATTATTTTCCATTTTTTACTCCTACCTAACTGCCCACTTCCACTAATTACATTACCAATTTAACCACCAATTATACTATCAATTATACCTCTAATTACACCTCCACCACGGGCCTCGTTAACGTGCCTACGATACCCTTATAACGGGCCCTTACTAAGAAGGATTTAAATACGGCAAAAGTACTAATTATACCTCCAGCAGCTAAGCGCCGTAGGCCTACTCCTACCCTTATTAAAGACCGGAAATATATACCGCAAAATAGCCTAATTAAATACCGCTAACACCACTATACTTATGATACTAAAGTTAACGTCCTAATGTTTTTAGAGCATTACTATATAAGGAAACTTGATAAAGAGTCAATTTACCCCCCGAGGCTATGCTAGGACGAGACCGAGCTCCTAGGGATATATAGACGTCCTATATATTAAAAAGCCGTAGATTAATTTAAAGTCCCTTAAAATACGGTTATCTCCTAATATTAGAACTATAAGTTAATCGTTAATCGGTCCTCTAACTATATTTACTACCCTTAATAGCTAGAGCTCGAGATAGCGCTATACGGCGCCTTCCGCTAGTAATAAAATAAAGGAAAGCTCGTTAATACTAATTAATTTAAAAAGACCGCTAAACGGATTTTTACCTAATAGAACCCGAATAATAAATATCTTTTTATTTTTTCCCTCGGTTAGTTTCGTGGCTTCTAGAATCGTATAAAAATTACTTAACGTCGACTTACCAAATAAATAATAAAGTTACTTACTAAGTACTTCAAAGTTATTAATAGCTTTCTTTTTTTTATTTAACAAGTTAATTAAATAGCCCTAGCTAAGGTAAAGCGGTCTAACGTCGGAGATTTATTCGGAAGTCTAGCCCGTCGATTTCCTAATTTATAAATTCTTAACCTCGATAAGACCCTAGTTCCTTTTAAATACCTAGATAGTTATATATACAACGACGTTAGGGCTAAAACCATAGCTAGTAAGAGCGACCGTAGCGGTTAGGGCAAGTAATAGGCCACATTAATACTCTATATCTTTACTAACGGTATATAACGAATTAAACCAAAAATAATATTCTACAGTAAGCCCATAGAGGAAAGGGGTCAATTATAAAAAAAAGAGGGCCTATTATACATAGAAGGAGTAATAATTAAGTTTAACAAGACTACCTATAACAATAAATACTTATTTAAAAAATAGATTAAAGAGGAATTAATAGCGCTAACTAAGGGAGACGAGTACCTATTAATAATAAATATTACTTCCTTCTATAAGACAGATTCCATCCTTATACTATTACGTCAACACTATATTATACCCTACCTCATACCGCTAAGGACTACTTCCCTCCTCTAACCTCTTAATACCATAATTAATAAGCCCTTTAAATAGTGGCTTTTAGAAATAACCGACGCTTACGTACTCGACGAGGAAGAAAAAGCGCTAAATAAGTAAAAAGAGCTCAAGTAGGAGATAGGTATAAAGAGAATAATAGTCACTAAAACAATCAAAACGGTAGCCGCTAAATTAGCCCACAAGAAGGGCTTAATAGTTAGCTAGGCCTTCTTATAATACAGAATATCTATTTAGCCCGATAATAGCTAGGTCAATAAGATCCAGATTAAAGACGTACCCGCCGAGGCTATCGATTACACTAGGTAGGAGCTTTTCGACATAGAAGCCTATATTAAATAGGAGACGCTATAAGAGGAGATTCCAGACTTCGCTATTTTAAACGACGGGTTAAAGTATATTTTTATAATAGAGGAAGTCCGTAATAGTATTAATAGGCAGTTCGTCGACCCGATAGTCTAACCGCCGTATAAATAGGGGCCCGTTAGAGGCAGTAGGCTAGGGGATAGTTAGGGGCTCGGTTGCTTACGTACGACTACTTTTAATTAACATTTTTGCCCTTTTTGCTAATTCGACAAAAAAAGCTTAAAACCGACGAGAAAGCCAAAATAATTATTGAATTATATCAATTATAGGTCCGGCCTCGACGGCGAGCTCTTATTAGTTAGATCGATCGAAATATTAACCTACGCCAAAAATAGGTGGCGGCCGCATTTAACCACTTTAGGCAGTATTACGATTCTGCCAGAGCGCTAGCAGGGCTGGCACGGGCTAGCGCAAGTTCGAGTTGCTCGAGTTTCTACGGTAGCTCGCTCTGAGCAAATTGAACAGCCCAGCCTACCTGAGCCACTACGACACCTACCTTAGAGATAGACTCTATTGTTCGTACATGCTTCCCTAAACGCGCCCAGC